CTTTCCATAAATTACGATAGAGCTCTTTTTCAAAGTTTTATTGATGCATGAATTAAACAAGAACGTGAAAATGACGATTACTTTTTTGAGTTATTTTCTTTTGAAAGGAAAATATAACGAAATTAGAAGAAACGCACAGCAGAGAGAATGCGTGGTCATTCCCAGCAAAAGGAATACAAGTATAAACGGGATAGGCGAGTTAGTTTTCAATTATCAAGTGATTGGCCAGAATAAGTACTGAAATATAGAAGTACCAGGGAGAGAGATTGATAACGGCATAAAAAAAATGAGAAAGGAAAAAAAGCCCTAAGAAATGAGAGGTTGTTCTTCGAGGTTGCTTGGTTAACTGTAGGAGCGATTACCACGCATTTGATTTGAACTTTCGGCATTCACATCCTAAATCTTTAAAACTTTGCCGAATCAATTCGAAGTTCTTGTAGTGATCCTAGCTCTCCAGTTCCCTGACCTCATATACCTCTATGCTTTAGAAAGCATTTCGCATTAGGGTTGAGTATTTAACACAATCTCAATTCTTGATTCGTTTATTTCCAATACTTAGGGATTAAAATCTTGGCATTTTTCCAGGTATTATTCATCCAATTTCATTTCTCATTTGACACGGGCCATATCCATTTCTGGATACTTGATGACGTCACCAATATGGATGTCGTAGTGGGACCTCGAGGACACCCATTCATTACTTTAATTCGAGCCCTAGCGACTTTGTTTCCGAGCCATATCCCATGAAACCTTGCAAAAGTACAGAAGACAAGTAATCACACGGTCAGCATTAGATTCCATCCACCAAAACCACCTTGGTCGAGAGGGACTGAGATGGAATGATGGAAAAAAATTACGAAGCTACGACAACATGCCGACTTATCCCGATGACCCAAGTGTATTATTTGTTTGGGAAATTGCGTCAAAACTTTTTACTAAAGAAATGGTAAGTATTAATTTATTGTTCGATTGTAGTATTATAAAACATTTTACGCAATTTTATTCAGATATTTCACGTATTTAAAAGGTGCTTAGATGTTACGTAGTTTTGGTGGATGTCATTAGGGACATCCACCAAAACTTTGACCAAAACCATCAACAATATATTTTTTAAATTTTATCTATAGCCATTGTTAGATGTTCAGGGAGACAAAAGATTTATACCACTAATTAGCAGTTAGTGCTCTGGCTAATTATTTTTTATGGTGCACAATTGCTGACCGACCAAACGTTCATAATGATTATCATAACTCTTAACACATAGAATAAAGTGGTTTTGGTGGATGTTTCTCCATCCACCAAAAAAACCACAGAAATTTCTGCTACTTCCTTACAGAAGACTGATGTGACCTGCTATTTGGAGTACATAACCACAATCTATTTCTTTGTATGTAGAGATATTTTGGAAAGTTCTTGAGTCAGCACCTTTTATTATTGAAACCATAATCATAACATGGTGCATAATATAGAATACAAATGATTCTGGTGTGGTAATCATGTAATCTTGAAACAGGAGAGTTTTTAACTGACTTAAACTGATTTAAACAAACATTTGCAACAAAATTCCAGGTCCAGAAATTTCTTCCACTATTTCCGCTAAAATCATAACCTTTTAAGTACAACAAATCAGCACATTAGTAATTGTTATCAGGGTCTGAAAATCCTATAAATCTTTCACATTTATTTCAAGTAACCTTTAATTTCACATGGATGAATAAGTATACACTCAACATGCAGAATGTCTTACAGTTTACAAACTATTTCCCTTTTTATGGATAGACAGTGAAAGGCCTTTGCCACATTGGTGAATCAAACCATTGTATACCATGCATTTTGTGATAATTGTTTGTTTTTGCTCACAATACCCAGAAAATGGAGGGATAAATTTAAATAGCAAATTCTATGGTTAAAATTAAATAACATTGAAAGATCAAATTAACTTTGTACTGTTTAAAATTCAGTTTTGGTTTCTTGCTTATTCCAGCCTCTTGATATTCAAAAAAGCATTCCTTGTCATTTTTGTGTTCTTCTGTGTACATAACTTGAAAAATAAACACAGAGAAAGGAAACCACAAAGGATTAAACTTGAAGCTAAAGCAAAGTTTAAGTTGAGCCATAGCTGATCCAAATACTGAGCACTTTGTATTGTAACCCATTTAGCAGTAAAGTTTATCTATATGTCTGCCAGCTTGTCACACGTCTTACCCCTCTCCTTCAAAAGTCTCTATAAATAAATTTTTCTTTGTGGTCCCTAATTGATGATTAGTATATTACACCTCCTCAATTTTCCTCTCTCAAGACAAGGTTACTCTAAATTTAACAAAGTAATGGACTTGATAAAACTCAAACTATAACTCAGCTGGCTGCTACTTGCAACCTTAATTTCTAGATATCAGTATACAATAATCAATATGTTATAAATAAGAACCCTAATGCTTAATTTTGCAGTGATCACCTTCCTCCTTTTCATTTGCAGACCAGACTGGAACCTCTATAGGTGTGTTTGCTTGTTTTGAGTGGGGATGGAAGAAAAGGAGTCATGCCGCATATCTGATTTATTAAATTGGATTTGTTCTGTTTATACATGAGTAGAACTACCTTGTTCTCTGAAAAAAAAAATTTCTCGCATTTTTATCTGTGCTTTGCAGTCAAACTTCCTTGTGTCTTGGACAAGAAATCTTATTTTCTTGAAAACAAAATCTTTGTTTCCAGCCTTCTGTAATAGGTAAATATAACAGTGTAAGATGAGTGACAGTGTATTTCTCAAGTTATTTTTTGGAATGTGACAAAACGGAAGTGTCATAGTGTGATAAGGAGCCAACATATGATTGCTTGATAGAAAGCAAAAATGCAGAATTGCATATATTTTCTCCTTTGTCAGCAGCATATGTTAATGAAAAGTTCTTATAATTGTTAACTTCTAAACCATCTTCAATTTAGTCAAGATTGAACTGTTATCACGTTTGTCATAAAAGTATTCTGAGATCAATGTCATATGACCCATTCATGTATTTGACCTTTTGAATTAGCAAGCCATAGTTGACAGAAACACAAAGGTTGAGGATATAAAGAAATTATTATATACAGTACTTCTTCTGCATCTTTTCGTTTCTTTTTCTCTCAGCTGTTCTATCTATGCCGTGCTGGCAATTGCACTTTCCTTCCCAAAATTAGGAAAGGCACACCAGTAAAAAAAACGAATTTTTGCTCCTTAAATATCTCATGCATCTTCCCCCAGTATTTTGTGACTTCTGTCCGAGGAAGGAGGTGTAAGCATTAAATTAATCCGAATGATTCCACAATTGTGGTAGAACTTGAACTAGATAAACTAGTGAGAATGCACAATAGCGATAGCAAAGCTTTGTAATGTCAAAGAGCTATATCAATATATATATATATATATATATACACCGGTGTTCCCGAAACCTTTGACAGCTTTAAAGAAAGAAAACTTCGTCGTCAATCCTGTTTCAAATTCCGCAATAAGTTTATGCGCCTCATCAACAGAATTTACGTATCCTAAATTATCTGCATGTCTACCATCAATGGTTCGCGACTTAAAATTCTCGCTATGCTGTTTCTGTTTGTTCCTCAAGAATCATGGGATTTACAGCTTCGGATGTTCGGCTACATCACTTGCGGATTTCCGAGAATCTTCGGTTATGTTTTGCAAGTCATTAAATATTCCATCTCAGTCCCTCTCGACCGAGGTGGTTTTGGTGGATGGAATCTAATGCTGACCTAATCACACACAACAAGCATAGAATGGATGGCGGTCGCGTTGACAAGACAGAAAAATTCAGTTGAAAAGTCGGGTGGAGGTGCTTGTTGCGGAGGGCTCGATCAAGGAGTAACACCTCTTTAGTTGAGGTTTTCAGGTATGCAACATTTTTTTTGATTCTTAAAAAAAATCTTTTCAAAAACTAGAATAAATTTGCTTTCAATTTGTCAAAATTCCAATCGAGTGCACGAGGTTTTTGCTCGAGTGCACGGATGTTGAAAGTCTGTTAGTGTGCTAACTACCAGGCCGATTCCTTTGTTGAGATCCATCGGAGTATCGTGTAAACCATAAATTTTAACCATACTTTGTGGCCGGGCAATTTAAAGTAAAATGACAATTATTTATCGGACCTTTATAAGCCTACATTGTGAATTTCAGATCAGGCCAACGGCATGGATGAACACATTCAGTATCTGGAGACACTTTGTCGTCTTTGTGGCACAAATCTGCCACGGACCAGGGTCAGTGCTACAAACAAAGAATCTTTCAAATCGGAGCTCTGGATGAAATTTCGAATTAATGTCGATCTCGACAGCCGAGAGATTCATCCATCCTCTATCTGCACGGGGTGCAAGCGATTTCTGTATAGAGTTCGCACAGTTTCCGATCCAGAGGAAGTTGCCACAAAGAAGGAACCACATGTGTGGAGAAGCCACACTGAGGACAATTGTCCTTGTAGGGCCAGCAAATCTAAAGGAAAAGGGCGTCCCCGTAAGATTTCCAAACAGCCCTTGGAATGGAAAGCAACAGAAACTTGTGGAAGCGAAACCGAAAGTGGCGAGGACAACGAATCAGAGGGAGAAAAAAAGTATTGTCTGGGGTTCAGTGCCGTTATGCACAACATTGTGTTGATGGAAAAAGAGGAAGCAGTTACATGTGCCAGAAAGCTGGCAGAAAAATTTTAATTTCATCTTCTTGGACAGAGATAACATGCTACATGAAATAAATAAGCTAAGTACTGAAGATAGACTGTTGCTTACTTCAACTATTTTTCGCTCAGAAAAGGAAAATGTGAAAACTGACATCTTGTCTTGTAATCAAACATACAAGAATCTAACTTCTATGTTAAATGTGACCCCTCATACATGGATTCAGGCCAGAAACTCAGCTTTGACATGTGTAATCAATGCCCTTAGCCACGAAAGTGCCAAGCCAGTTCATAAGGCAGTAACTGTCGATCAGCTTTATTCTATTGTGCAACCCTTTTGTAAGCCCATTGATGTTTGCTACAAATCTCTTGGTATACTCTGTGACACGTAGTAAACTTGCCCTTAATATCCATGGTAAGATCCACCCTGCTGGAGGAAACATCACTGTCAAAAACTGGCTAAATAACTTAACAATGGAAGTCCCTCAAGTTCCCTCTGGTGATATTCTGACAGCTATTGACAATGACCAGGTGCTTATTAGGAAGTGGACTGTGCGTAAAGATAACAGGGCACAAATCAGTGTACTAACAAGTGTCTGTGTGGCACCTGTTTATCCCAATGGAACATTGCAGTTGGATTCAAATCTTGCTCCAGGGTAAGAAAATCATTTGAAAAAATGGTCAATTAGTTATTGAATACACAAGGATTTGTTTTGTTTAATGAGCACAATCTTGGACAAGTCATTTCCTTTCCAAAATTGTTGCCAGCATATTTGAAGGTCATGTATATGTAATCAATTAAAATGTGCATACATTACCATAGTAAGGTACAGTAAATTTGATAGACTATAACTTTCAGTGTTTTTCGTCTTTTATTTTTATCAAGTATTTAACAGTTATTCCTTGAGGTTAAGCATGATAGGGAGAGGTTTGTGCTATCAGCCAAAACCTGAGGCAGATAACACAAATTATTCAGTAGTTATTGTTTTATTAGGCATAAACTTGTAAAAACAAGAGCACATACAAGAAACTAACCATGCTAGGTCAACTTGTAAACAACTCAGAATGTAAGCTTAAAACTTTGATGTTGCAGCACATTCCACAAGTTTCCAGAATTGAGATAGCGATACCAAGTATTACTAATTTGGCTCTCTCTTTTAGAGCATGGTACAACCGCATTGAACAAGCCAAGACATGTCAAGATGAGCGGGAAAAGCTGGCAAAGGCATGTTCAGATTCAGAACCTGATAATGAAATAATCCGCCAAGAGGTAATTATACATTTGAAATTACAGGTGTACAAGAAAGGTCATCTTCTTGTAGATGTAGTTTACAATTAGGAAAACAAACACTAGGAGAAAAAAAAACATTGTGCAAATTTGAGGCTTAGCCAGCAAATTATGGATTATACTATACCTGTTTTAAGGACAGGCCTACTTTTGTGAACATGTGTAAAGTTAAAAGGCAATTCTTTCAATTGACTATAACATTTTGTAATTGAATTTTTTTTGTTGTACTCAGACTAATCCATGAGTTACTTCAGGAGTTACTTAAAGAGCAGACGAAAACTGGGGATGTGTGGCAAGATGATGTTGACATCAGAGTAGATGACATTAAAGCCAAAGAAGGAAAGCGTGTTTGTCCTGTATGTCAAACAACAATGGATAGCAACAAAAGAAAATGTGTAAATCTAGATTGCAGGGTGAGCCTGAAAGATGCTGAGAAAGAACTTCAAGGCAGTGACATCCTAGGTACTGCACTGGTTGCCCCCATCCGTCAGTACCGACAGAGAGTGAGAGAAACACAGCTGGGATTCATCATTGATCAGAATGAGGAGGCACATGTCATTGTAAAAGAAAAATTTTCTGAGTGTTATGATGAATTCCAGCATGTGCCATCAAACCATATTGATCATCCAGTCAACATTGTGACAAGTGATCCTGTATTTGTAAATCCAAATTCTCCGAATGCACTCAAGGAAGTTTTACGTAGAGTTGGCATGGCTGCAAAGGTGAGGCGGTATCATCCCAATGATCCAAATGCTCGACAATGGCTTAATGTTACCATGGATGGTCTACCTTACCTTGTGTGCAGGAGAGTGGTCAATGATGTTTTCCTCTGTACAGAATGTGGTGAAGAGGTCATGGAGGAAAGTGTGAATGAACATTGCATTAAAGTTCATCAAGGACAGAAATGCAGTGCTGTAAAAGAGTTTGACTGGGTGGTACTTCGTATTGGAAAGCTTCATCTAGAAATGAACATGGCAAGACATTTCATTGATTTAAACTGGGATGTCTTTGTTTCTAAGCTTGCCAGTGAGCTTGGTTTTGTTTCTGATGCTGCTCAGAAATTTGTCAAAAAGGGTTCAGACCACCACAAGACAATGTCTATCCTGAAAGTTGCTCACATTGGTTTGTGGAAGGAATTACTCATTCCATACATCCGGGATAGGCTTGACAGTGGATCTGCAATGTCAGTTAATGACTACTTGTATGACTGGATGCCTAATGTTGGCTGGAAAAATGCCACCTACAGGTACATCTTTGGCATGACCTGGACGTATTTAATGGCTCTCTGGGTTTTCCGCATGGGCATCAGGAGAAATAATGCTGCCTATGTAAGAGCAGGGCAGATGACATTTGCTACTGTATTTCATAGAAATGCAGTGTCTAAGTATGCTTTGATTGACCTGTATGACAGGTAGGTAAATGGAAACTTTTCTTGATTGTTTTTTAAACTTATATATATGTACAATAATATATAACAAATATTGAAATTTTTTAGTGGTCAGCTCCTTTCATTCTTCTAAATGAAAGGCCTCCCATCTCTGAGTCAACAAGCAATTACATCCATGTACAGCTGACATGCTGACTAATCTTACACCTAACAACTGTTCATTAAGTCATTATCGTTTTTCTTTCATTATTGTAGTGTAGACCGAGCTTGCTACCCAGAAGAACTGACTGTATTTGTGCAGAATACAGAGACAGTTAGTACATCAGGGAATGAAAGCAAGGGTGAAGACATGGATGCTTGCCTTGAGGAGAAAAACAAGGAGTCAAAAGTGTGGCAGCATGGCACCATGACTGCATTGGATTGGCTGAGGATTTTCAGAAATCTTGGAAATCTTAGCAAGGTATAGTGTATGCAAACATTTGTTTGTTTCACTTTTTGGTGTATTTTGAAACAGGCACAAATGATATACATGTACTTAATTTATAGTTACTTCAACATCTAAAAGCTACTAAAGAAGGGCAAAAAATATCTTTGTAGTTCATTACCTTTTGTACATAACATTGTGAATCATTGCTAAGAGTTAGTAAAAGCATTTATCTCCAGGTTACTTGGTTTTCTTCATTCCTAAAATCCTAAAAATTTTTAAACACGAATTTGGTCTGATTCAGAAGACCTTCTTGAAACTATCTGTGAGTAGTTTGGATTCCTCTTTAAATACCTCATTTATTTTATTTATATTTAGGTGAGAAATTGGCTTTTCTCCCTGCTTGGATTGCATAATCCCAAGGATGAAGCATTGAACTCAAGAAGAAAGCATGATTTTGTAGATGAAGTGCTAGCATGGCGCATAAAGCTACGAAAAGAGAAGTAAATGACACAATACCTTTTAGTATAAGCTATTCAGCTCCAGTATGTAATAGTAGTGGTGTAAATTAAAGAGCAATTCTCAATGCAATAGTTGGTTCAATAAGTTTATTTCACTGCTTTTCCTTCAAAGGTATTTGCAAGGAGGGTTGTCAAATGTTGTAACATCCTTGGAAGGCCCTGAACTGGACAGTGATTTGAAAAATTATGAGGAAATTCTTAGAAGGAACAGAAGCAACTTGCTTCATACACACTTCATTGATGGCAAAAAAAGAGCAGATACCCAGTTGCAAGTGCTATATGTAACTACAGAAGACAGAGCTTTGGCAGAAGACATAAGGAATGCATCCAAAGATGAAATCTTCAGGAGAATAGCTGAAAAGCTTCTGCTGCTCACTGATGAGGAGACAAGGGAGCCTCTGTCAAGCAGATTTGGAGCTATCAAAGCACAGCCCAGCAAAGTTAAAAAGGAAACTCTTGTTTTGTTGTACAATGAAATTGTGGAAGAGCTACAGAACCAAGAGACACAGGAAGAGGTGTGTATCCTTGACACCACTGAGGAAGATAGAGAAGCTGATTGCAGCACGAACTGATTTATTTCTATGTCAGTTAATGTTAGTTGACATTTACGTGTAGGTCTGGTACAATTCCATATTAAATAAATTTTATTTTATTGTACCCCATGAAACCCTGGGTAAGATTGTTTGTAAGGTGAATTTCAATGCCCAAGCTCTGCCACTGATTTTACAGTGATAAGTCAACAGTGCACTGATTTGAATAATAAGGATTTGGTAAGATTGTTCCTTTTCACATAACTGTAGGTGACTCAAAATCTAACTGGTTAGGTAATGTAGCAGTTTCAGTTTTTGACAGTGTTAAATTAGAAACTCTGGGAGCTGGCAATTTCAGGAAACCCAGTATTTGTGAGAGTATGAGACATGAGAAAACATTTTAAGGGTTGGTTTCATGTAGAAAAGGAGAAAACAAAGAACAAAATTTTACTTGTGCTTTTCTTGTGCTACCATCTATATGCATATAATGTACAAACAGTACATGGCTGTATTTCATGCAAATAGGTTTAAATATACATCCTGTAAGAGGTGTAATTTTTAATGTCAAGAATTAAGGAAAGCATAAAAAATACTTAGTAGGCTCAGATGTAAATAATAATTATATTAAATGTAAATCGTGTACAAAAGACATTTCATGTGCTCAGTATTATTTTCAATATTTTGCGGTGTGGTATTTATAATATAATATAATAATTCTGACCTAATTAAATTGATTGATTTTATTGACTTAATTATTAAAAACAGGAACCTTTCTTATAAAGTCTTCAACATCACGTGTGGCATGAATTCCAGGGGTTTATCCTGGGGCTCGGGTTGGAGAATAAATTGCAACCCCTATGTTTATAAAACAAGAAAGAAAAATGCTACAGTTGAAAGTTCAATATACATGTGCATCACCTATCCCCAAACGTCCACCCCTAATGTTATTAACAGTTTATGACAGTGTTTTCATCGGAGACAAAAGTTATTTTGCTTTGTAGCTGGATTGGGGGCACATCGCTTCTCTCCTTGTCATTTATATGCGGTTTTGGCTTGTTTAGAATTAACTCCTGAACTGGAACGGGTACCGCAGCTTCTGAAGATCTATACGACAACCGTCTTCTAGATTGGGTATTGTTTTCAATGTCCCTAGTTTCATGCCCCAGTACTTTAGCCAGCCTTGGATCTAGACTGACACCCTCTGGTGTTTTGTCTAGTGGTTCAACGCTGGGGATTTCTGAGTTCCTGGGATCCGCCATAGTTACGCCATCATAATTGTGGTCTGCTTGTGTAGGGCGAAGTAGACCCTTATTGTAAGTATCCAGAATAGCGTCCGAACCACATACAAATCGTTGTCCGTTGTGTTGGTCAATTATCATGAGTACTTCTGCTTTTGTCATGGTATGAAGCTTCAAGCCTTTGCTGAACAGCGTGGATTTCCGCTTGTACAATGTACACGACCTGGCGTGGGATTTTTCCACATAAGCGATTTTTTCTTTCGTCCGACGTGACATTTTTTTGCCTACTGCCAAATTATGTGAGGGCTCTCTGAAAAAAATAAGGCATCTCACTCCTTACAAACGAATGAATGTAAAAATGCGCGGGAAACGAAAATCAAAGGCGCCAAAGAAAAATTTAGAAGTGAAATTACAGTACTTACTTCAATGCATTATTCACCTCGTTAGACGGGCCATCGTTGTTCATATTGCACTTAAGCCAAGGCGGATGCACACTAAAAAATAATTCCAGGAAATCACGGATCTTACACATAAACGTGGTTATCCAGCCAGTAAGTTCTCCTTCTGGCAAACAAAGAGGTATTTGTTCACTGGGCTCTCACATCTTCAGGTATCGCATCCGGGAAATGTGCAATAAGAGCGGCATGAAGATGAAAATAAAAAATCACATTGGTGGAAAGCCTTGCTGAAGTGTCTCTTCTGATAGCGTTCCGGAAACAAAGGTTTTAGTTTAACTACACGAACTGATGAGAGTGAAATTTAAGTCTACAACCACGAGGGACTTATCTGTAATTGCGAAACTCGTTTAAAAACACCGCACGTGCTTTCACATTTTGTAGTGATGGACCTATACAAAATTTCTATACAGGGTGTTCAAATCAAAGGGTAAGTGTAAAGGATATATTATTGCTGACTAATAGCTATAGGACCGATTTTGTAGTGTTCTGAGACCTAGATTCTCCCGCGAATCGATCGATATCTATGGTTCTCTTGCATTTAATTCCATCACGGATATTCGTCTTAAAATAGATTGTGACTACTTGCTTTTATTTTATCCCACTTATGTGTTTGTTGGCGTTTATTTTCCAGGTATCATCATTTCAAGATCAAAGCTCCACGTGGAACACCGCTTGTTGTTCAAACTGAAGACAACAACAAGTATGACCCGCATGCACTGGCTTGTCTTCTTCCACGAGAAATGGAACGCATTCCAGAGGCTCTACGAGAAGTCCAGATTTTCAGCAAATCGCAGAGAAAGAAATACACTTTAGAAGATGTCAAAGGGCAGCAGATCGGCAGGATTCAGCACTTCCTAAACGTACAGCTGCATGGCTTGCTCCGATGTGGCAAAATAACCAGGATTGAAGGGTAAGTTACTGTTTTCTTGCCTTACTGTTACTTTTTTGTAAAGGCTTGATGGACTGAAATTGATACATGTCTATTTAAAAATCGGAGAGAAGCAAGATAGTGTCTTTCCTCGATCTATACTGGAGACAAATGAAATTGTCCCGATTCCGCGATCTCACACCTTTCTCGTCCCTATTGTTATCAGTGCGCGTTATTTGGTTCAGCCTTATTAATTTGGTTTTCTTGTAACCCAAAATAGGGAAATCAACGGAGAACCGACGATAACATCGAGGCCAAGCTCTACCCAGAAGTTCTCCAGATACAAACAGGCTGGCGGAGGAGCTTTTATTCCCGCGACGCTCTTGGTGGAAGGACCACAGCATTACAAAGAATTTGTGCTGGAAAGAATCCGCTGTACTCTACCAGAATGCGAGAATGTCCAAGACATGCATGTTGAATGTTTGAAATAAATGAATATGTTTAATGTTATCTTACGTCCAGTCTTTATTAGCGAATTTTGTTTCGGCTTACTACCGCATTACAACATGGCCGCCACAAAAAAAAAATAATCACCTTCTTCTCGTTTCCAGTACCTCTCGGCCAAATTTGCTTTGTTTTGGTTTTGATCTCACCCAATCACAAAGCTCGAAACCGATATCCAGAAATGGATATGGCCCGGACTGTTTGATAGTAATAAAAAAGCAGCCCTTTATTCGTTTCAGTGAAAATGTGCTAATGTTATTGGTTCTGAACAGCCTACGTTCTCGGCCAGAAACTAATGGTCTGATTCTTCTAGGAATTATGCTCCACCTGGCACAATTGCGGTGAATATTTCGAAAAAGGTGCAATTATATCTCAATCGTTTTTCACGACGTTGCCGTCTGGCTCATTTAGGGTCCCCGAGGCATCAGTGATTACGTCACTCTTGTATTCGAGTTATATAAATTTTTCATTTTTGAACTTCGAAATCAACTTCCTTTCAGCATCGACTGGTTTTTATCATTTCGAAAACCCTGTAACTGTTTATTTTAATCATTGTCGGAACCGTTGGGCAACGGTCATCCTTTTGGAATATATTTACATTCAAATCCTAAATTGTATCTGATATTCGTATTAATTTGTTCAAACAATCATGGTGGTTACAGAATATTTTTCATGTTACCTTTATTACTTCCATTACTTACATAAATGCAATGATGTGAATATTGTCATTAAATTTCAAAAATTGAAAGATAATGTAGAATTCCTTTGTTACTGTACTAGTGTCATCATTATCATCCTCATTTAGCTATACCTTCCCCCATTTTGCCGGAAAAAAACTACCCTCCATGGACATCTAAATTTGTAATTTTTTATTTCTGTGAACTGTTTGATTTGGGTATCCTCTTTATCGCTACTTACTGCGACTTCAGCACAACAATATTATGCGAAAAGCGTTGAGGAATGCAGAAAGTTTTAAAACGCAAGTGCTGAGCTATTTATTAAGCTCCTTATTTTTTTAACCCCCTCAGAGTAACTGAATTTTTATTTAACCTTAAAATATCACTCCTGAATCAGACATCAAGGTCACGAGGATAAAGAAAGTGATCACAAATTTAAGAGCTCTTGATTGCCGAAAAAATTTTCTCTGTCAGTACCTTAAGAAATTTAAAAAGGAAAGTGCGGGGAATATGTTTACGTATGTTAGAATGAAAGGATTAATTATTTTATTTCGCCACTTTCTTGTTTCCATTGCTGTCGTAGTTTCTTTAAAGTCCATATAAACGCATCATAGCTGAGAAAAGTCCAAATCATATGTATATCCCCTCAAAGCGATGCCGTGGTTTGGAGTTTGTAAGACTCCTGAGAGAAATCGTGGCCTTTGGCCTCTGGAGACTGATTCTTTAGATTGGGCGTGGTCAGGGTATCCCAACGCTGTTGACGAAAACGAATTAAATGCATGAATAAGTTAGATGATGTAAGAGATCACGAAAATAAATGATCCTCGCAGAAGTGTTGGAGTTTTAGCCATTGCAGGAAAATCCTAAAAAGATTCAGGCTCCGAAGGGACCCGTGTCTCCCGTATAATTGTTGGCCATTACTACGTACCAACTGAGCAACGAAGCCATTCGTTGGGAGTGACGCAAATTCTATGGGATTCTTATTGTCCGTGAGGAATCTTCATTACAAGTCGATGTAAAAGATTGCTGTCAGCACTCACGACTAAGTATGTGTACGTATAGCGAGTAAAATTATTAGAAGATTCGTCATGGCATCGAAATATTTGGATCTCAACCAGTAAGTCAAGGCTACGTCTGTGGGGACGTAGAGTTGATCGTAAAAATGGCTAATTAACTCTGGGTTAAGGAGGGCTGGAGACACAAGTGTCTCGTCAATGAATACAATAACTGGCCAGAGCTGGAATGTTGACCGGTGTGGACTCTGCAACAAAGCCCGAGCCCTGACCTCAGCAACTTTCAAGTATAGCTGGTCGAATTATTGTGAGACAAGCATATTACTTCTCAATGAAAGCGTTGAGGTTCCTCCAATATATGCAAGACATGTACACTATGCCTTGCTTACATTGGGGATAAAATATACAGACCCATAATTTTATGATTGTACTTGGTGTGTACAAAAGAAAACGAGGAGTCTTAGTGAGAATTGAAACGTTTTCATCTAAAACTGATGAAAATCAACTGCCGACGTTTCAATCACAAGTTTTTCATTCGCACATCGTATTTGAGGTTAGAACATTTCTTTTTCAAACATGGTATCAACAACACATTCTCCCGTTAAAAGTTAGCGAACACTGATGTGGTAGTTACCTCTCCTAGAGAGCCTGGTGTTGTGGCCAACTTGTATATCATCACAATTGGAATGCACACGATGGAAGACAAAGCCATGATCCAGCCTACGGTTTCTCCCCAGTCAGGATACTTGTAACCGTTGTATTCTAGAGGCGAGTACGTCGCTAGACTAAAAATGAAAACACCCTGTGAACAAAAAAGATAGAATCCTTAAGGTGGCTCGAAATAATTTTCCTATCTTTTTTATTTAGCTACTCTCTGATGGACTGTAGCTTCAACGCTTTTACTTTTCATTTCCCTGAAACTCATATCAAAAAAATGTTTCATTATTTCTCAACAATTTGTGATCATTTTTCAACTAATTAAGGTTACCACAACAACGCTGCCACCCCTTTGAAAACCCCTACTGTTCTGTTTTTTCTACCTCTAACACAAAACGAGTGGGGTTATTCCCATTTCTATCACTGAACTGCGATCAGCATATAAAATGTGTCTTTCTACGAAACTCTTGAAAGGAACGTACATACAATTTAAAATGGCTCTAAACCGTATGGAAAGATTTTTGCAGACTTGGCAAAGAAAAAGATCAACATTCAAGCAATCAAAATATCAAGAAGCGCTGTGAATGGAATTGTTACAAAAGAAGACATGCACTTAATTTTCCTAGATTAAAATTTCCATTCTGGCCAAGGCTCAAACCAGACTCTCTTTACCCAGATGCCAATGTGTTAAACGTCACGGCAAATTAACATGTATCTAATAAAGTCATTGCCTTTCCCCCTCTCTATTACGTTTCTTAATGAAACTGAGAATGAATTCTGAGACTGATAAGTAAATATTTTGTCCTACCAAACAGAAAATAGGTGTGAATATCATCCAGCACCACCTGAGCCACGGGTTAATACGAAATCCAATCATATTCTCCATATCGTCATAGAAACGTTCACCACCTGTCGGAAAATCGATAGAATTGGGTCGGTTTCTACAAGATACCAAGACAACGGAAACGCGCACATTATTAAAGGAAACGTGGACTGTGGAATCGCACTGCCCCCTAACTTATCGTAACGTTCATTGGAGGTTAAAACTCCTTGAGACGGTTGGTAAAAGCATATTCTGTATCCCAACGTTTTTAAAAAGACCACTTTTAGTCAATTCAGGCGTATAAACAGAACCTCCGTCCACACTCTTGGTTGCAACTATTATATTCTTACCGTAGATCCAACCAATGGCAATACTTTGGAACAAGGCGATCCACAAAAGAGCAGAGCCACTGGCCGAGTAATTGTCAAATAGTTGAAAGACGTACATCCCACCCTGAAAATTAAAGAAAAACATCAACATTTAACGAAAATCACGGGCTAAAATTCCACAAAGGTATGAGTAGAAGTGAATATGACACTATAACCTATCATATGATCAAGCTCGCTGACGCTTTCTCCGTTGCTCGTCTGGTTGTGAAATTACTGAGAAATCGACACAGGCTCGATTGGAATCCTCACAGGGCCCTGAGATTTTATTTCTTTATAATATCAACCTTCTAACCTTTAGAGTCGTTTTCTACGCTAAAGCACGGAGAAACGTTTGCATTTACGCTAAAAGAGAGGTCTTGCTGCTATTCTACCACAATATCGTTGTTTTAAGGATTAGAGGAAACGGTTAAATATGTAAAATCAGAGCTTATATCTGTTTTTGCCGATTGCAGTAGTGGTGTCGTTTAAAATCGCACTTTTCTTTGTTGCATGTAAGAGACATATGCTCAATATTTTTTTAATCGTATGAAATTGTATAAAAATAGATATCCCTTTAAAACTAGGGCAAATGTCATTGTAAAACATATTCCATTCCTGCAGAGAAATACTTCGTAAGTTCGCCCTTCTACAGAAAATCATTTGCTTTTACGTTCTATGATCTTTTATTTTTTTGTTTTTTTGGCAAATTATCAATCTCACGAGAGAATTTTAAATGAAGTAAAAACTCTGTGGAGGCTTTTGATCGGGGTTTCATTAACCAGGAATTTGATATAAAAAGTAGAGCTGCTTTTCAAAAGAGTTTGTTCAGGTCTTCATTAAGGACCTTAAGCAGCCAGGACGGGAAAGGCGAGGAAGACATTGTTGAATTAAGAAACTAAATCTTATTTTTGGTAAGAATTTCACGAATGACTGGACCTGTTTACCATCTCTTACGTTACCACACCTCAACTTACGCTTAACGCATGTGAGCATAGTTGAGTTCAACATGGAAACATAAATGACCTGCCGTCGGAGTTTCTCCCTCAAATTTTGGCGATTTCGCGGTGTTATTTTGCGTTCTCGTTGCTGTCGTCGTGGTTTGCTTAAGCTCCCTATTATTAGAGACCTTTAGCAGTTACGACGGCAACGCCAAAGAAGACGTCGATTTAAAAATGAATTTATATTTGTTGTCGGAATTTCGCAAATTAGTGGATATGATTAACATCCCTAACATTACCGCAAGTTAACCTCAGCATAGCTACGAGAACAGCGTTGAGTTCCAAATGGAAACTTAGATAATTTGCCGTCGAGGTTTCCTTTCTCGGACCATGCAAATTTTTATGATTTCACATTGTTATTTTGCAGAGGACGGCTAAGAAATGTACACACTTTGAAAACACACGAGCTGAGCTATTGTTCTGCTCATTAGATCTTTTGTTTTGCCACTTCCTCGTTGCCGTCGCCGTCGTGGTTTGCTAAAGGTCCCTACTATTAGTGCTCGGCACGAGAGTTTCTTCACCTGCGGAAAAGTAAGAGGCTTTGAGAAACGCAAACCAGTAAGAAGTGTGCAGTGAGTGTAAGTCTCATTATTAGTGCCACTGAGATCCCCGACACCGATCCTACAGGTAAACCTCTCGCCGACTCGACTCAAATCTTTTCGCAGGCGGAGAAACACACATCCTGCAGGGCTCATCATTAGGGTCTGCTTGTAACCTAGTTCCAGAAAGTTATAACACAAGATCTTTACGTTTTTCTTTTATGCTTTTGAAGGTACCTTAGTAACCATGGACAGACCAATGAGAAACCAGATACAGCACATAGATGCGATGAACATCTCTTTACGATAACCACGCCTCAAGTGTCTGGGGAACAGGTCCACAATGGCTGTTACAAATCCCTCAATGCCCACAAACTTGAAAAAAGACAAAAATTAGAGGTCATCATCATAATATGCCCCTTCATGTTTTCTGCAATGTTTATGCACATACTTGTAAAACACACAAGATATCCAGTTCAAAGTTTGATAAATTGCAAATTCACTCTAGTACCTCGCTGTCGAGTCCCAGCAAGAAGACCATAAAGAAAAACAGAACCGACCATAGAGGGGCCAAAGGCATCTGAGCAACGGCTTCTGGGTAAGCGATGAATGCAAGTCCTGGACCTAGGGAGGAGGCGATGTGATGAGTTGGAGACTAGTAAGGGGGGGTTGGAGGATTTGAGAGGGGATCTCATGGTTTTCAGGGGAAACGGAGGGATTACTCGCCACCAACATAGTATAGACAGGGGACTTAAGAAAATTTGATTTCCGATGAACTGCCAACGAGGGGGGATAATATGTATATTACAGAGCCCGAGGGATCAGGTAAATTTTATCGTGACATAACCAATATCTTCTGAATGAGACAACAAGTAAGATCTTAAACGGCTGTGAAAGTTATACATTTGAACTGCGGATAAAGACGTGAATATGAAAGCGATCTTCACAGTCGTTTATTCACCACTTCACGGGTTTATTTGGAACCAACACAGTGACCATCTCCCAGTTGGTAGAGCACTGCACCAGTGTCGCAGAGGTCATGGGTTCAAATCCCGTACAGGCCTGAATTTTTTTCAGGCCTTTTTTTCACTACTGCTTAAGTAGTGCTCCGCTGTGAAGATCGCTTTCATATTCAAGTAAGATCTTCTCAAACTTTGTTTGAGAAGATACAACTTAATGAACTAATAAACATATGCGAGATTGGAGCGAGTTTTCTGGACTAATTACATAGGGATGGAAGGCAAATCCAATGGAATCTCGAGTTGGTTTCAACGATTGTTTGAAAATTGCTCTACCCAGGCTCTACCGTCTTTTCTTACCCCCCTTTGCCACGTCCTTTACTTCAACCCCTTGCTTCTGAGCCATGAAGCCAAGAACTGAGAAAATCACAAAACCGCCGTAGAAACTTGTTCCACTGTTTACACATGCGAATATTATGCTGTCCCTGTGCGAGAAACAGCATTAATTGTTAAGTTAAATGTTTAACACAAATCTTCGCTAAATAAGCAAGAAATCCAAGCTTGCACTTCTTCTTTTTATTTATTCAGAATTTAATTTTATAGAGCAGTTTTCAATTGAGAGATGAAGAGAGAAACCAAAACCCAAGTAGTCACAGAAACCAATCAGAACAAGGGTGGAATCACCATGGACCAATGGGAACTCAAAATAAAATCAGGCACCCTGCGTCAAGCGCGGGAAAACGCCAGTAACCAAGTTGAGATTGGCTTTAGTTTTGCATTTAATTGACCGAGGTGGTGGCGAGAGTTTTTAGATCAATTACGGGGAAAAGTTAAGAAGACTTATGCAAAGCAATCTACGATCAGCTGAAAACCGCGCTATCGCTAAATACTCAGTACCTGGGTTTTAAATAGATACAGGTTTTAAATAGATACAGGTGTTCGACCTCTTTGACTCTTCATTATAAAATCCTATCAATGATGTCACCGTGTTATTAAATTGGATTCTCCATGGCAGCTTCGAGTTTTAAAAACGTGAGCAAATTTGCTGATTGAAAGCTCAGTTTCGCTATATGTAGTCCCATAGAAACGAAGCCATAATATCTCAACTAGAACTGTGGAAAGGTTATCGAAACGTCACCAAGTAGACAAGAGGCGACACCCTTGGCAAAGAAACCAAGCAGATTTTCTTGTGTTTTCTAACCTGTAACAGTTGTGATGGAATCTGTTGTAACTCCCGAGGGCAATCAACGTTCCAAGTCCAATAGAATATGAAAAAAACACTTGCGTTCCAGCATCAAGCCACACCTTCGAGTTTGAACAAATACTAAGAGTAAATAATTGACCAAGTGTAAACTTTAATTTAAAGGTAGGTCTCAATGGGGTAATAGCTTTTACGGCTAACAGTTAAAATTTTGGCCCATTAACAGCTAACAGTCAGTTTTTTCCCGTTGCAATTAAAAGAACAATTTTTACGGTAAACATTTTTTACGAATAACGGTCTAAAATTGTATTTTTTTTACGCCTTACCCATGGAGACCCTCTTAAAGCTTAGAGTTCATAAATAATTTAAAAATATATTTTTTTTTTACTTGGCCCATTCAATTTCAGTTTTTAAAAATTTCTTCATCACTTCTCACCTGACCGTCAGCCAGTCGAGTAAAATTTGGAGTGAGGTAAAACTTGATCCCTTCAGCAGCACCAGGTAAAGTGACGGCTCGAACGAGTAAAATCGTCAAAAGTACATAAGGAAATGTGGCAGTGAAGTAGACAACCTGTGAAAGATATCATTCATGTAATGATGTGTTCCTTTCCCTGTCCGTATGTTTGCTTGATGTTGTTGCTGTTTTTTCTTTTTTTATAATTGTGCCGTTAATGTTAGCTAGTTATATTGGCCAATATTGTTGTCTCTACAATAAATGGTTTAAACCCAGATGTAACATTTGAACGTGTGGTTTAATCGTCTTGGTGAGGGTAGTCCCGAGAAAGACTATTGTCGGTAGAAGTGACCGACGTTTCGACAACCTAAGCGGAAGTTCAATTTTAATGCGCTATATAAGAACTTATTATTAAGTCATCATCAATATTAAGTGATGAGTTTTTGTCAGTCGAGTGTTAATAAGTCCAGCTCGTGTAAGCTGATTGGTCAGTTTAGCCGTGATTTATCGGCAATAAGGCTCGAACGGCGTAATAGATCATGACTGGTCAGTGTGGATCCGTTGGTAATGTTGTCGTTCTGTTCGGTTCGCCAGTTTATGGTGTAAATGTCGTGGATAAGTCGTTGGTATTGTGTCAATGGATGTTAACACCTGCTATCTATTAACATAAAAGTTACGCAGTTAAATCGAACCCTGAGAAAGAGAATTAACGAATTGAGGGTCGCACATAATCGAGATTACACTGGTTTAATTTCAATGTGCTAATTAATTTTTAATTTTTATTTCGGTTTTCATTTTACGACATATCATTCGAAAAATGATTTAATCAAACTAACCTTAAAATGAAACATCTTTCTCTACATATTCTGTTCACTAATACGAAGCTGTCGATATTGCTAATCCTAGCCGTAAACAGGGCGCGTAGCAAGTGAACTGTAATGGCGTAGCTTGCCATAAAGTTCCCCGAAGATCAGAGGATGAGTATCAGAATGCGTAAGTCTGAGTTTCGATTCATCCATGTAACGAGACGAAAACGGCATATTTATTAGTTTTAAATTAACTGTGTTAAGATCATCCTAAGAAATGATTCGGGTGAAAGAATATCTAAAAAGGCCAGAAAGAAGTGACAGTTAGAAGATTTAAAATGATTTAGATATTCCATGATCCTTTCGAATTTAGCTTTTAATGAGGGATGATAAAAATTCAGTTCTCGAGGAAGCTCTTGTGGGAGTTTTATTAGTAAACCTAGATTATAAGAACATCAATTACAAACAAAAAGTAAGATACGTTTCCTATTATGGAAATTTTCTCAAACAAGTGATTAAAATTTAAAAGTCCCTTAAACTCTGGTTTACATATTTAATGAATGTAACCAAGGAAGTTACAATTCATAGACCCAACGTTCAGGGGTGATCTAAACGCCTGGTTAGTTAGGCATGTGTGCTCCGATAAAGCTGAATTTTCTCTTTTGCGAAAGAAAACCGTTTTTTTATGTCTAGGACAGGCCAAACATCTGTTTGGTACACGTTTGAAAGAGCATCAAAAAGCGGTTTTCTTTTGCAAAAAAGAAAATTCAGCTTTATCGGAGCACATATGACTAACTAACCATACTATTCGGTGGGTTAATTCTAAAATCATCACCACGTATTGGCGTTACTACCAGCGCCTTTTTTTGGAAGCTGGGCATATTAACTCCGCCCACGCTCCGTTAAGTCGTGATGATGGCGGCTTACTTCCTGACGCCTATTTACACCTCGTCAATTAGTCAGTTAGTGATCATATAAAAGGACCTATTGTTACAGCGTTTAGATCACCCCTGATGAAGGCACTAGACAGGAGTGTCGAAACGTTGGGTCTATGAATTGTAACTTCTTCGGTTGCATTCACTGAATCTGTAAACCAGAGTAGCATCAAACCATGTCTGAACTAAATTCTATCTATGAGAGGCAACCTAAAAGAGCAAGAAAATTAAAAATGTTAAGATTACGGCTCCCTCACCTTTCCTGTGGATTTGACACCTTTGAAAACACAGAGGTAACAGATTATCCAAGCCAACAAGAGACACAAAGCTACATCCCAGTTTACTATACCGGGTTCATCCAAAGCAGTGCTCAGCTTTAAAACTCTATGTCTAGAAAGAGAGGTAAGTAGTGTAATTGGAAATCATCTCGGTACTCGGTTGACTTATGAACTTGCCTACTAGATATATTTGTTAAATTGTTCAAATTGTTAACAGCCTGCATAAAAATAATAATAGTTTTCTTCCCTGTCTTAATGAATGACCGACTGACTGACTGACCAACTCACCCACCGGCTGACTAATTGACTGACCGACTGACTAACCCACTGACCAACTGACCAACAGACTCACTGAACAACTGACCAACTAGTTGACTGACTGACTGACTGACCGCCTAACTGACAAACTAACTGACCGGCTGACCAGCTGACCGGCTGGTTGGCTAACTGACCGACCGACCAACTGACCGACCGACCAACTGACCGTCTGACCAACTGACCGACTGGCTGACTGACTGACTAACTGCCTGACCGGCTGACTGACAGACCAAATAACCGACTGACTGACTGACTAACCTTCTAACTCACCGACCCGCTGATTTACTAAATGAATGACTAACCGACTCACCAACTGCCCGATAATCAAGAGCTTCCTTAGTTTGTGATCAATTTTTAATTCTCGTGACCTTAATGTTTGATTCAGGGGTGATAAGTCACTCTTAAAGGTCAAAGGCTTAATACTTAACTACTTTACAGCTTCACTTACTCAAAATACTCCTCGCTCGCAGACACTTTAGCTGCCTTTGCCACTGCAGTTGGCACTGTTGACATGTTCGACATGTTCGCCATTACGGTTGGTATGAGTGTGGTATTGGCTATACTGGAGCCTTTTTGATATGTGATATAGTCAACACAATTCGGTGTGTTCCATTCATTGCCACAGCGAGACCAAGGAAGCTCGGATTGGAAAGACGCGAACATGTAAAACAGAGCCCAGCCGAGGATGACGATGTAATATATGTTTAAAAACTGAACGATGATAACACTTGCCCATCCAATGCCTGCAATGAAATCGAATTTCAATATATATATATATATATTATATATATTATATATATATATATATATATATATGTGCGTGTGTGTGTATATATAAAAGATATCATGGTTTCAAATCCTTTACAGGTCTGAATTTTTTTCATTCCTTACTTTCACTACTGCGTACGCAGTTTTCATTACTGATAGGATCACTTTCATATTCATTTCTTTAACCGCTGTTCACATATATGATTTTCATATATTCACAGTCATTGATTTATCACTTCACGGGTTTATTAAGAACCAACATAATGACCAGCTCCCAGTTGGCTTGTTAACTCAGTTGGAAGATTATTGCACTGGTATTGCAGAGGCCATAGGTTCAAATCCCGTACAGGCCTTAAAATTTTTTTTCAGGCCTTATTTTCACTACTGCTTTAGTAGTATTCATTACTGCGAAGATCGTTTTCATATTTATATTTTACTAGTGAAAAGGATCATCATCTCGCCGACAAAAAGCAGCAGAAGGTAAAAGAAAATGCCTAATTGTAGGTATATCTTGTTATTATGACAATGAAAGCCCATGAAAGCCATTTCGCATTAAACTCTCTGTTAAACAGAGAGAACAGCTGGTGTGAACGAACGGCGGAAGATTGTCGAGGCTCGGTGTAATGTAATACAACAAGAAAATATCAACTGACAATATTCTCTTGAGCACAGCTTGGAAATCATTAATCGAGGTAATCTTCTTACTTGGCGCTAGCAAGATGTCGGCATTAAGTTACAAGGTAAAAGGTATTTAAAATGTTACATCAACCATTTTTACTTCTCTACCCTTGAATTGCTATCGATGTAACCTGTTTTCACGTTATTTAATGGTCACGTATTAGTAACACTTCGCTCTTTTAAACATTTATGGTTAATGGGAGCTGATGCTCGAAACGTTAGAATCTCTTTACCTTAAAATCTATTTACGGTGGCCATTTTTCCTTATAAACTCAGCTGATAGGACCAAATTATATCGTGATTTTCCCCCCCCCCTCCCGCAACTTACCGACACAGCACCACAGTTTCCTTTAAAACCTTACACTCTTTATTCATTATCATTAGCAGAGTTACGAGAAAAACTATAATCATGATTTCTTGATCATCGTTTGCCACACCCAATGGAACAAAAACTAGCGTTAAAACCGAATTATTACATAGCTTTTAGCTGATTAAAACAAACCTTGAAAAAGTGGACATATCAGCCATGCTGTAATTCCACCTTGACTTGCAAACTGTCCCAGACAAACTTCCAGGATCAGAACAGGGACACCAGCAAAAACGAGGCAAATTAGGTAAGGGATCAGAAAACATCCTACATGGGGTACCCGGTAACACATGAAAACAAAACAAAAATGTGGATAATGAATCAAGAACGAATCACAACTCAATGGAAAACACATCAGCCAGAGACTTTCTTTGTCAAGTGCACCTCTTAACGAAAACCTGTTCATTGCGTTTGAATCAGCAAATAATGTTTAATTGTAAAGAAAAACTTGCTGTTTATAATTCTCAAATAATATACACTGGTTAGGTTCGTTGACAAGGCAATTTTTTTTTCATAAAACAACGATAAATCGCTCGAGGTAAAAGACCATCAAAACCAAAGGAAAGTGAAATATATTCAGATAGAGCTGGAACAATTACATCTTGACTATTTCAAAGTGGAAGCAGTGTAGAGTGGTCTAGGAGTGGTTTCAGTTAAAATCTACATATTTGTATTTTTCCATGCATGCAAAACCTTTTCGATTTCTGATCCTGACAACAAAAAGAAAAGTTTTCAAGCTTAAAGAGGGAGAGTGATTAATAATGTACTAAAACAATAGCCCTCAAGCCATTGCTAAAGTTTTCAAAGACGTCACTGTTTGGCATAAGTATTGGCTCTATTGCAGTCTACGGTTGTTCGATCGCGCCTAAAGTTATACTCTAGTCACAGAAATGTGTTTGTTGCTCTCAGCAAAACAAATTTTTCAAATTCAGTGTCAGGTACATCATAAGGCATCTACTTAAAGTTCTCAAATAAAATTAAATAAAGTTTTCAGCCGAGTGTTGAGGCACGAGGTTAATGGAGCCGTTCAGAACAAGTTTGACCGATGGGATTACTCGCTTGCTCACTTGGTCTCAGCAATACAGAAAGAAACAGTTTTCAGATCCATTGTTAAGCACATCACGAGGCCACTAGGTAAAATTTTCAAATCTAATCAAATAAAATTTATGGCCGTGGGCTTGTGAGACACGTGTATGGCCTTGACGTGAGTGACGCACGGACGGAGCCTTCTCAGTATAATGTGGTGAATCGATGTCAGAACAAGGTTGACCAAAGCTATATTTTAAGAACTGTAAATTGTTTTTCAAGCTGGCTATGCTGCAGAATACCCTGCCACTCATTTAAATGTCACTGAATAAGAATAACGTTTATTGTGTTCTGCCTCGATCTTGGAAGCGTCCCGACGCATATAAATGAAGTGGACCAAAGTGGCAGGGTATTCTGCAGTTGCTCCTTCCGCTTTAATCGAACATACTCAAATGGAAACGAATAAAGTTTCGCCAGATTATCAAAAGCACCAGCACTTACATAATACAAGTAAATTTACAGTAATCATCATCAACCATCCTGACGCCATCTACACTCACCTCCACCATTTTTATAGCAAAGGTACGGGAAGCGCCAAATGTTTCCCAGTCCAACAGAGAACCCTACGAGCGCAAGAACAAAGTCGATCGTCTTGCCCCAAGTTTCCCGCTTATTAACTTTATTGTCCATTGATAACGGGCAGTGGTTCAACTCAACTGTGTGCCGTTGAAAAACTATTTCATAACGAGTGTGTACGCTTCACATTTCCATCTTATTTCCATATACATAAATCATGCTTTGAGTGACAGATGTCCATAAGAATTAGAAATGAGGTTTTCTATTTTAACTATTTTTTTTTTGGTAAGTCGCCCTATCAAGTGCTTGTGAGAGCTGATTACGTGTATGAGTTTATCTTAGCTTTGAGGAGCAAAAAATCTCACGATTAACACGTTTGTTGTGGTTTTCGAAAAGTTTTTTTTTCGTTGAATATGATAATTTTTTTTTCTCTGGTTTGAATAGTTTTAAACGATTTTCAAACGATAAATATTAGTAAGCTCGAGCCTGAAGTAGCTGTAGTCATGTTAAAATAACGTTTAGCTCTATTTATTATCGGAGAACAAAAACAAGGAGTGGTCGTATCCAAGAACAAGTGACAATAGTGCACAAAAAAAATACTAAATGCTAAGGGAATTTACTTTAAAACTTAGGAAGAAAAGTTTTACACTCATTTAAAGTAGGTAATAAAACATGTGTCTAATTCATTTCCACTAACGGACAAATGATACTTACATGATCAAGTTAAACAAGCAGTATCATAAGTATGGACTTTGGCATCTAAGCCATTATTTTCTTACCTAAAAACACTCTGCTCTCGCTTTATGTTGTTTATTTATCTCTCTCGATTAGGATTATCATGTAAAATAGCGCGTGAGTAGCCGTCATCTGCAACTTTCCCCTCTGTAACTTTGTCATGTTTTAATTGCCGTGTTATGGTGCAGTTATCTGATACACAAACTGTGCCTTTTAGAACCTGAGAGGTTAAAAGAAACCTTTTAAATACAACTCTGACTTAAAGTGCAAGACAGGCGAGATGTTAAGCGTTACGAAATTTGACGGTCTTGCAAGTCAACAACAGCTAGTACTAGTAAGCAACAGCAGGTAATCTTTCTCGAGAGTGAACTAAAAAAAATTACGTCATAAATCGAGAACAAAGCTGTATTAAAAACCCACGAACTAAAGCAAACTATGTCAGTGCTTTTTTTAACAGCGAATGTTGATTCGTTTCCTTATTTCCAGGCAATCCAACATTAGAGAAATTTGCTTATGTCTTTCGTAACCAGTCAGCTGCGCGAGGTATTTTGCATAGATTCCAATAGAGCTATATCTCAAAGTTATATTGATACATGAATTAGACAAGAACGTGAAAATGACGATTATTTATTATTAGTCTTTTTGAGGGAAAATAAAACGAAATTAGAAGAAACGCACAGCAGAGAGAATGCATGGTCATTCCCAACGAAAGGGATGCAACTATGAACAGAACGCAGCTCTTCCCTTTTCAGGCTGAAAAATAAATATGCGGGATAGGCGGGTTAGTTTTCAATTATCAAGTGATCGGCCAAAATGAGCACGGAAATAAAGAAGTACCACGAAGAAAGATTGATAATAGCAGAAATAGAACTGAGAACAGAAAAAAGGTCTTTAATTATGGAATGCTTTTCGAGTTTGTTTGTATACCTGTAATATAGATTAATTACCAAGCCTTTGATCAGAACTTTCAGCATTCAATCCCTAAATCTTCAAAACTTTGCTGAACCGATCCGGATGCCTTGTAGTGATCCTAGCTCTCCAGTTCCCTGACCTTATGTACCTCTACGCTTTAGAAAGCATTTAGCATTTGGGTTTAGTATTAAACACAATCCCAATACTTGATTCGACTATTTCCAATACTTAAAGATCAAAATTTTGGAATTATCCTGGTATTATTCATCCGATGTCATTTTTCATTTGATATTAATAAAAAGACAGCCCTTTATTCGTTTCAGTAAAAATGTACGAATGTTATTGGTCCTTAACAGCCAACGTTCTCGGCCAGAAACTAGTCGTCTGATTCTCCACCTGGCACAATTGCAATAAAAATTACAGATGTAGGTGTTGATGGAGGGTTGCTTTTTTTCATAAAAATGGGGAAAGGATAGCTAACTTTCTGGTTTCCATTACTGTTGTGGTTTCCTTAAAGTCCCTATAAACACTTTATAGCTGAGAAAAGTCCAAGTCATATGTATATCCCCTCAAAGCGATGTCGTGGTTTGGAGTTTGTAAGACCCCTTAGGGAAATCGTGGCCTTTGGCCTCTGGAGACTGATTCTTTAGACCGGGCGTGGTCAGGGTATCCCAACGCTGTTGACGAAAATGAAAGAAATGCATGAATAAGTTAGATGGTGTAAGAGATCATGAAAAGAAATGATACTAGCAGAAGTGTTGGAGTTTTAGCCATTGCAGGATAAGCCTAAAAAGATTCAGGCTCCGAAGGGACCCGTGTCTCCCAGATAATTGTTGGTCACCACCATGTACCAACTGAGCAACGAAGCCATTGGTTGGGGGTGACGCAAATTCTATAGGATTCTTATTTTCCGTGAGGAATTTTCATTACAACAAGATGTCAAAGATTGCTTTCATCACTCGCGACTAAGTATGTGTACGTATAGCGAGTAAAATTATTAGAAGACTTGTCATGTCATCGAAATACTTGGATCTCAACCAGTAAGTCAAGGCTACGGCTGTGGGAACGTAGTGTTGAGCTGGATACACAAGTGTCTCGTCAATGAATACAATAACTGACCAGAGCTGGAATGCTGACCGGTGTGGACTCTGCAACAAAGCCCGAGCCCTGACCTCAGCAACTTTCGAGTATAGCCGGTCGAATTATTGTGAGACGAGCACAATACTTCTCAATGCAACCGTTGAGGTTCCTCCAATATATGCAAGACATATTCACAATGCCTTGCTTACATTGGGGATAAAATATACAGACGCATAATATTATGATTGTACTTGGTGTGTACAAAGGAAAATGAGGAGTCTTAGTGACAATTGAAACGTTTTCATCTAAAACTCATGTAAGTCAACTTCCGGCGTTTCAATCACTAGTTTTTCAGTCACGCATGGTATTTGAGGTTGACACATTTTTTTCAAACATGTTTCTCATTCTCCCCTTAAAGGTTAGTGAACACTAATGTGGTAGTTACCTCTCTAAGAGAGCCTGGTGTTGTGGCCAACTTGTATATCATCACAATTGGAATGCACACGATTGAAGACAGAGCCATGATCCAGCCTATGGTTTCTCCCCAGTCAGGGTACTTGTAACCGTTGTATTCTAGAGGCGAATACGTCACTAGACTAAAAATGAAAACACCCTATGGACAAAAAAAAGATAAAATCCTTAAGGTGGCTCGAAATAATTTTGTTATCATTTTTTTATTCAGCTACTCTTTGATAGACTGTAGCTTCAACGGTTTTTTTTTCATTTCCCTGAAAGTCATATAAAAAAAATGTTTAATTATTTCTCAACAATTTGTGATAATTTCTCAACTAATTCAGGTTACCATAACAACACTGCCACCCTTTTGAAAACCCTTACTGTTCTGCTTTATGTACCTCCAACACAAAACGAGTGGGGTGACTCCCATTTCTATCACTGAACTGCGATCAGCATATAGAAATGTGTCTTTAAAACTCTTAAAAGGAACGTACATACAATTTCGTCTACGATTAACAATGGCTATAAACCGTGTACACAGATTTTTTTTTGCAAACTTGGCGAAGAGAAAGATCGACATTCAAGCAATAAAGAAATCAAGAAACGCTATGGAATGGAATTGTTACAAAAGAAGACATGCACTTAATTTTCTTAGATTAAGATTTCCATTCTGGCCAAGGCTTAACAGAGACCCTCTTGACCCAGATGCCAATGTGTTAAACGTCACGGTAAATTAACATGTATCTAATAACGTCATTGCCTTCCCCCCTCTCTATTACGTTTAATAATGAAACTGAGAATGAATTCTGAGACTGATAAATAAATATTCTGTCTTACCAAACAGAAAATAGGTGTGAATATCATCCAGCACCACCTGAGCCACGGGTTAATACGAAATCCAATCATATTCTCCATATCGTCGTAAAACGTTCACCACCTATCGGAAAACCAATCGAATTGGGTCGGTTCACACGAGATACTGAGACAATGGAAAACGCGCGCATGATCGAAGGAAACGTGGACTGTGGAATCGCACTGCCCCCCCAACTTATCGTAACGTTCATTGGAGGTTAAAACTCCTTTGGACGGTTGGTTAAAAGCATATTCTGTAATCAAACGTTTTAATAAAGATCACTTTTAGTCAATTCAGGCGTATAAATAGAACCTCCGTCCACACTTTTGGTTGTAACTGTTATCTTCTTACCGTAGATCCAACCAATGGCAATACTTTGAAACAAGGCGATCCACAAAAGAGCAGAGCCACTGGCCGAGTAATTGTCAAATAGTTGAAAGACGTACATCCCACCCTGAAAAATAAAGAAAAACATCAACATTTAACGAAAATCACGGGTTGCAATTCTACTAGTAGAAGTGAATATGACATTATAACCTATCATATGATCAAGCTCGCGGAGGCTTTCTCCGCTGCTCGTCTGATCGTGAAATTACTGAGAAATCGACACAGGCTCGATCGGAATCCTCACACGGCCCTGAGATTTTATTTCGTTATAATAGTAACCTTCTAACCTATTTTTGAAGTCGTTTTCTATGTTGAAACAAGGAGAAACGTTGGCATGTAGGCTAAAAGAGAGGTCTTACTGCTGTTCTACCACAATAGCGTTGTTTTAGGATTAGAGGAAAGTTAAATATGTAAAACCAGAGCTTATATCTGTTTTTGCCGATTGCGGTTGTTTTGTCATGTTTAAAATAGCACTTTGCTTTGTTCTAAGTAAGATACATATGCTCAATATTTTCTTAATCGTATGTAACTATATAAAAATACATATCCCTTTAAAACTAAGGCAAATGTCGTCGAAAAACATATTCCGCATTCCTACAAAGAAATACTTCGTAAGTTAGCGCTTCTACAGAAAAATTACTTGCTTTTACGTTCTATGATCTTTTATTATTTTGTTTTTTTGGCAAATTATCAATTTCATGAGAGAATATTAAATGAATTAAAAACTCTGTGGAGGCTTTTGATCGGGGTTTCATTAACCAGGAATTTGATATAAAAAGTAGAGTTACTTTTCAGAAGAGCTTGTTCAGGCCCTCATTAAGGACCTTAAGCAGTCAGGATGGGAAAGCCGAGGAAGACGTGAATTAAATTAAGAAAACTAATTCTTATTTTTGGTAAGAGTTTCTCGAATGACTAGACGTGTTTACCATCTCTTACGTTGCCACACCTCAACTTACGCTTAACGCATGTGAGCATGGTTGAGTTCAAATTGGAAACATAACTGATCTACCGTCAGAGTTTCCGTTCTTATTTCACGCAAATTTTGGTGATTTCGAGGTGTTGGTTTGCGTCCTCATTGCCGTCGTCGTGGTTTGCTTAAGCTCCCAATTATTAGGGATTTTTTGCAGTTACGACGGCAACGCCAAAGAAGACGCGCACGTTGATTTAAAAATGAATGTATATTTTTAGCTGGAATTTCGCGAATGAGTGGATATGATTAACATCCCTTACAGTGCCGCAAGTTAACCTCAGTATAGCATACGAGAACAGCGTTGAGTTCCAAATAGAAACTTAGATAATTTGCCGGCGAAGTTTCATTTCTCGGACCACGAAAATTTTGATGATTTCGCGTTGCCATTTTGCAAAGGACGGCTAAGAAATGTACACACTTTGAAAACGCACGAGCTGCGCTATTGTTCTGCTCATTAGATCTTTTGTTTTGCCACTTCCTCGTTGTCATCGCCGTCGTGGTTTGCTAAAGGTCCCTTACTATTAGAGCTCGGCACGAGAGTTTCTTCGCCTGCGGAAAAGTAAGAGGCTTTGAGAAACGCAAACCGGCAAGAAGTGTGAAGTGAGTGTAGGTCTCATATTAGTGCCACTCAGATCCCCGGTACCGATCCCAGAGGTAAACCTCTCGTCGACTCGACTCAAATCTTTTCGTAGGCGGAGAAACACGCGTCCTGTAGGGCTCATAATAAGGGCCTGCATGTAACTTAGTTCCAGAAAGTTCTAACACAAGATCTTTGCGTTTATCATTTATGCTTTTGAAGGTACCTTAGTAACCATGGACAGACCAATGAGAAACCAGATACAGCACATAAATGCGATGAACATCTCTTTACGATAACCACGCCTTAAGTGTCTGGGGAACAGGTCTACGATGGCTGTTACAAATCCCTCAATGCCTACAAACTTGGAATAAGACAAAAATTAGAGGTTATTATCATAATATGCGCCTTCATGTTTTCTTCAATGTCTATGCACAGACTTGTAAAACACACGAGATATCCAGTTTAAAGTATGATAAACTGCAAATTTGCTCTAATACCTCGCTGTCGAGTCCCAGCAGGAAGACCATAAAGAAAAACAGAACCGACCATAGAGGGGCCAAAGGCATCTGAGCAACAGCTTCTGGGTAAGCGATGAATGCAAGTCCTGGACCTGGGGAGGAGGTGATGTGATGAGTTAGAGACCAGTAACAACTTTTTTCTTGGGGGGGAGGGGGGTGGGGGGGGGTTGGAGGATTTGGGAGGGGATCTCATGGTTTTCAGGGGAAACGAAGGGGATCAGTCGCCATCAACAGAGTATAGACAGGGGACTTAAGACAATTTGATTGCCAATGAACTGCCAGTGAGGGGGGATGATATGTATATTACAGAGCCCGGGAAATCAGGTAGATTTTATCGTGAAATAACTAATATCTTCTGAATGAGGGAACAAGATCTTCTTAAACAAAGTTTGAGAAGATACAACTTAATGAACTAATAAACATATGCGAGAGTGGTACGAGTTTTCTGGACTAATTACATAGGGATGGAAGGCAAATCCAATGCAATCTCGACTTGGTTTGAACAATCGTTTGAAAATTACTCTACCCAGGCTCTACCCGTCTTTTCTTACCCCCTTTTGCCACATCCTTCACTTCAACCCCTTGCTTCTGAGCCATGAAGCCAAGAACTGAAAAAATCACAAAACCGCCGTAGAAACTTGTTCCACTGTTTACACAAGCGAATATTATGCTGTCCCTGTGCGAGAAATAGCATTAATTGTTAAGTTAAAATGTTTAACACAAATTTTCGCTAAATAAACAAGACATCCAAGCTTACACTTCTGCTTTTTATTTATTCAGAATTTAATTTTATTGAGAGTTTTCAATTAAGAGTCGAAAACCAAAACCCAAGTGATCACAGAAACCAATCAGAACAAGGGTGGAATCACCATGAACCAATGGGAACTCAAGATATAATCAGGCACCCTGCGTAAAGCGCGGGAAAACACGAGTAACCAAGTTGAGATTGGCTTTAGTTTTGCATTTGATTGATCAAGGTGGTGGAGAGAGTTTTTAGACCAATTACGGGGAAAAGTTAAAAAGACTTATGCAAAGCAATCTAAGACCAGCTGAAAACCGCGCTATCGTGAAATACTTAGTAATTGTGTTTTAAATAGATACAGATGTTCGACCCCTTTGACTCTTTCATTATAAAATCCTATCAATGGTGTCACTGTATTCGTAAATTAGATTCTCCGAGGCAGCATCTAGGTTTTAAAACGTGAGCAAATTTGCTGATTGAAAGCTCAGTTTCGCTAAATGTAATCTCATACAAACAAGGCCATAATATCTCAGCTAGAACTGTGGAAAGGTTATCGAAACGTCACCAAGTAGACAAGGGGCGACACTCTTGGCAAAGAAACCAAGCAAATGTTCTTGTGTTTTCTAACCTGTAACAGTTGTGATGGAATCTGTTGTAACTCCCGAGGGCAATCAACGTTCCAAGTCCAATAGAATATGAAAAAAACACTTGCGTTCCAGCATCAAGCCACACCTTCGAGTTTGAACAAAAACTAAGAGTAAATAAATGACCAAGTGTAAACTTTAATTTATAGGTAGGTCTCAATGGGGTAATAGCTTTTACGGCTAACAGTTAAAATTTTGGCCCATTGACAGCTAACAGTCAGTTTTTTTTTCCCGTTGCAATTAAAAGAACAATTCTTACGGTAAACATTTTTTACGAATAACAGTCTAAAATTGTCAACTTTTTACACCTAACCCATTGAAACCCTCTTAAAGGTTATAGTTGATAAATAACTAATAAAAATGTTTTTCTGACTTGGCCCATTTCTTCATCATTTCGCACCTGACCATCAGCCAGTCGAGTAAAATTTGGAGTGAGGTAAAACTTGATCCCTTCAGCAGCACCAGGTAAAGTGACGGCTCGAACGAGCAAAATCGTCAAAAGTACATAAGGAAATGTGGCAGTGAAGTAGACAACCTGTGAAAGATATCATTCATGTAATGATGTGTTCCTTTCCCTGTCCGTATGTTTGTTTGTTGTTGTTTTTTTTTACGATTTTTTTTTACTGAGCTGTTGTTGTTAGCTAAGTATATTGGGCAATATTGTTGTCTGTATAGTAAATGTTTTGAACCCAGATGCAACATTTGAACGTGTGGTTTAATCTTCTTGGTGGGGGTAGTCCCGAGAAGGACTGTTGTTGGTAGAAGTGACTGACGTTTCGACAAACTAAGCGGAAGTCATCATCAGGGTCAAATGAAGAGTTTTTGTCAGTCGAAGATCAGAGGTTGAGTATCAGAACGCGTAGGTCGGAGGTTCGATTCATCGTGTTGACAAGACGAAAAAAGCGTAAGTTTTAAATTAACTATGTTAAGATTATCCTAAGAAATTATTTGGGTGAAAGAATAAAAGGCCAGAAAAGAATGAAAGGCCAGAAAGAAGTGCCAGTTAAAAGATTTAAAATAATTTAGATATTCCTTAACCCTTTCGAATTTAGCTTTTAATGAGATATGATAAAAATTCAATTCTCGAGGAAAGTCCTGTGGGAGTTTCATTGGTAAACCGAAGTTATAAGAACGTCAATTAGAAACAAAAGGTTAGATACGTTTCTTATAACAGAAATTATCTCAAACAAGAGTATAAAATTTAAAAGTCCCTTAGACTCGGAAGAAAATTTTACTTAACAACATAATTCTCTCTATGAGAGGCAACCTAAGAGAGCAAGAAACTTAAAAATGTTAAGATTACAGCTCCCTCACCTTTCCTGTGGATTTGACACCTTTGAAAACACAGAGGTAACAGATAATCCAAGCCAACAAGAGACACACAAAAGCTACTTCCCAGTTCACTATGCCGGGTTCATCCAAAGCAGTGCTCAGCTTTAAGACTCTATGTCTGGAAAGATAGGTAAGTAATGTAGTTGGTAATCATCGCGGGGCTCGGTGACTTATGAACCCGCCTACTAGATATATTTGTTCAATTGTTCATATTGATGATACTCTGCGTGAAAATAATAATAGTAATCTTCCCTGTCTAAATGAATGACCGACTGACTGACTGACCAACTGACCCACCGGCCGACTGATCAACTGACTGACTGGCTAACTGACTAACTGACCAACTGACCAACTGACCAACTGACCAACTGACCAACTGACCAACTGACCAACTGACCAACTGACCAACTGACCAACTGACCAACTGACCAACTGACCAACTGACCAACTAATCAACTGACCAACTGACCAACTGACCAACAGACCGACTGAACAACTAACTAAATGGCTGACTGACCGACTGACCGCCTGATAAACCAAGTGATTGACCTACTGACCAACTGACCAACAGACCGATTGAACAACTGACCAACTAGCTGACTTACCAACTGACTGCCTGACAAACCAACCGACTGATCAACTGACCAAATGACCAACAGACCAAATGAACAACTGACAAACTAGTTGACTGACCGAATGACCGCGTGACTGACCAACTGACTGACCGGCTGACTGGCTGACTGGCTGGATGACTGACTAACTGGTCGTCTGACTAACTAACTGACTGACTGACCAACAGACCGATTGAACAAGTGACCGACCAGCTGACCGACCGACTAACCGCCTGACCGACTGACTAACTGACCTACCAACTGACTGAGTGACTAACCTACTAACTGACCGACCCGCTGATTTACCAAATGAATGACTGACCAACTGGCCGATTTACCGACTGATCGACTAGTTTCGAGTACAAGGTACTCTTTTTTCCCGCAATAAATAAGCTTAAAACATCGGGACGCTGCCCATAATCTTTACACATAACGCATACTGTTCATTTGACTTTGACATTTGTTAAAGTGGCTGTAAGGAAAATTTGTTTAACAATAAAGAGCTTCTTTAGTTGGTGATAATTTTTTTTAAAATTTTCGTGACCTAACTGTTTGAGTCAGGGGTAATAAGTTACTCTTAGAGGTCAAAGAGTTAATATTAAACTACCTTACAGCTTCACTCACTCAAAATACTCCTCGCTCGCAGACACTTTAGCTACCTTTGCCACTGCAGTTGGCACTGTTGACATGTTCGACATGCTCGCCATTACGGTTGGTAAGACTGTGGTATTGCTGGAGCCTTTTTCAGATGTGACATAGTCAATACAATTCGGTGTGTTCCATTCATTGCCACAGCGAGACCAGGGAAGCTCGGATCGGAAAGATGCGAACATGTAAAACAGAGCCCAGCCAAGGATGACGATGTAATATATGTTTAAAAACTGAACGATGATGACACTTGCCCATCCAATGCCTGCAATGAAATCAAAGTTCAAATGTTTATATATGTATATATATGTATATATGTATATATATTCACTGTAAGTTGTTGTTCGTAATAAACCCGATATCGTAGAGGTCATGGGTTCGAATACCGTACAGGCCTGAATTTTTTCAGGCCTTACTTTCACTGTTGCTTGAGTAGTTTTCATTAATGAAAGGATCGCTTTCATATTCATTTCTTAAATATTTTCATATATGCACTGCCATCGATTCATCACTTCACGGGTTTATTGCAAACCAACATAATGACAAGCTGCCAGCTGGCTTGTCAACTCGATCAGTTGATAGATCATTGCACTGGTATCGCAAAGGCCATGGGTTAAAATCCCGTATAGGCTTGAGTTTCTTTTCAGGCCTCATTCTCACTACTGCCTAAGTACCATTCATTGCTGCCAAGATCGTTTTCATATTCATATCTTATCAGTCTCTCGTGAACGCAAAAAGGTAAAAGAAAATGCCTGATTGTAGGTATTTCGTTCCTCCCATACATTCTCACTTTCTCTAAAGCTGAATGGAAGACCTAGTGCGAGCAAATGGCGGAAAATTGTCAAGACCCGGTGTAATGTAGTACAACAAGAAAATATCAACTGACGATATTCTCTTGAGTACAACTTGAAAATCGTTAATCGTCTTACTTAACGCTAACAAGATGTCGGCACTCAATGACACAGTAAAAGGTATTTGAAATGTTACATCAGCCAATTTGACTTCTCTTCCCTCGAATTGTTATCGATGTAACCTATTTTTACGTTATTTAATGGTCACGTATTAGTAATACTTCGCTCTTTTAAACATTTATGTTAAATGGGGGCTGATGCTCGAAACGTTAGAATCTCTTTACCTTAAAATCTTTTTACGGTGGCCATTTTTCATTATAAACTCGGCTGATAGCACAAAATTATATCGGGATATCCCCCTCCCTCCTCCCCTACTTACTGACACAGCACCACAGTTTCTTATGGAAACTTACACTCGCTATTTCTTATCATTAACGGGGTTACGAAGAAAATTATAATCATGATTTCTCGATTATCGTTTGCCACACCCAATGGGACAAAAACCAACGATTGAACTATTACATACATTTAAATCGATAAAAGCAAACCTTGAAAAAAGCGGACATATCAGCCATGCTGTAATTCCACCTTGACTTGCAAACTGCCCCAGACAAACTTCCAGGATTAGAACAGGGACACCAGCAAAAACGAGGCAAATTAGGTACGGGATCAGAAAACATCCTACATGAGGTACCCGGTAACACATGAAAACAAAGCAAAAATGTGAATAATGAATCAAGAACGAATCACAACTTAGTGGAAAACACATCAGCCAGAGGCTTTCTTCGTCAAGTGCACCTCTTAACGAAAACCTGTTCATTGCGTTTAAATCAGCAAATAATGTTTAATTGTAAAGAAAAGCTTGCTGTTTCTAATTCTTAAATAGTATACATTGGTCAGCTTTGTTGTCAACGCAATTTTTGATCATAAACCGCCGATAAATCGCTTGAGGCAAAAGACCATCCAAACAAAAGGAAAATTAATTATATTCAGAAAGATCTGAAACAATTATATCTTGACTATTTCAAAATGGAAGCAGTGTAGAGTAGTCTAGGAATGGTTTCAGTTAAAATCTGCATATTTGTATTTTTCCATGCATGCAAAAACTTTTCGATTTCTGTTCCTAACAACGAAAAGAAAAGTTTTCAAGCTTATAGAATAGTTTACTAAAATAATGGCCCTTAAGCCCTTGCTAAAGTTTCAAAGACGTCACTGTTTTGCATAAGTAGTAGGTAAATTGTATTCTTTGTAAACATTCTTAAACGATTGTTCGATCGTGCCTAACGTTATACTTAAGTCACGGAAATATATTAGTTGCTCGCAGCAAGACAAAAATGAAACAGTTTTTCAAATTCAGTGTCAGGTACATCATTAGGCATCTATACAAAGTTCTCAAATGCAATTAAATAAAGTTTGCAGCCTAGTGTTGAGGCACGAGGCATTGACCCGAGTGACACAGAGATATATGTTTGTTAGTTTAAAGTGGTGAAAGAAGCCGTTCAAAACAAGTTTGACTGTTGGGATTACTCGCTTGCTCACTTGGTCTCAGCAAGACAGAAAGAAACAGCTTTCAGATTCATTGTTAAGTACATCACGTGGCCACCAGATAAAATTTTCAAATCTAATCAAATAGAGTTTATAGCCTATGGCTTGTGAGACACATGCATGGCCTTGACGTGAGTGACGCACGGACGGAGGCATCTCAGTATAATGTGGTGAATGGATGTCAAAACAAGATTGACCAAAGACATATTTTACGAACTGTTAATTGTTTTCAAGCTGGCTATGCTGCAGAATACCCTGCCACTCATTTACATGTCACTGAATAAGAATACAGTTTGTTGTATTATGCCTCCATCTTCGAAGCCTCCCGACACATAAATGAGGTGGACCAAAGTGGCAAGGTATTCTGCAGTTGCTCCTTCGCGCTTTATTCGAACATACTCAAATGGAAACGAATGAAGTTTCGCCAGATTATCAAAAGCACCAGCACTTACATAATACAAGTAAATTTACAGTAATTATCATCAACCGTCACGCCATCTACACTCACCTCCACCATTTTTTTATAGCAAAGGTACGGGAAGCGCCAAATGTTTCCCAGTCCAACAGAGAACCCTACGAGGGCAAGAACAAAGTCGATCGTCTTGCCCCAAGTTTCCCGCTTATTGACTTTATTATCCATTGATAACGGGCAGTGTTTAATCTCAACTGTGAGCCGTTGAAAACTATTTCATAAAGAGTGCGTACGCTTCACATTTCCATCTTATTTCCATATTCATGAATCATGCTTTGAATGACAAATGTCTGTAATAATTGGAAATAAGGTTTTCTATTTTTAACTATTTTCTTTTTGGCAGGTCGACCTTTGAAGTGCTTGTGAGGGCGGTTTCCGTGCATGATTAATTGTGCTTTTCGACAAGTTTTCTTTTGTTGAATATGATCATTGAATATTTTGTTTTTTTCTCTGGTTTGAATAACGCTAAACGATATTCAAAAGATAAATATTAGTAAGCTCAAACCTGAAGTAGCTGTAGTCATGTAAAAGTAACGTTTAACTCTTCTGATTATCGGAGAACAAGAGCAAGGAGTGGTCGTATCTAAGAACAAGTGACAATTGTGCACCAAACAAATACTAGTTGCTAAAGGAATTTACTTTAAAACTTTAACAAGAAAAGTTTTACACTCATCCAGAATAGGTAATAAAACATGTGCCTAATAATTGGTTTCCGCTCACGGACGAATGATATTTACATGATCAAGTTAAACGAGCCGTATCATAAGTATGGACTTTGGCATCTAAGCCATTACTTTCTTATCTTAAAACACTCTGCTGATGCTTTATGTTGTTTATTTATCTCTCTCGATTAGGATTATCGTGTAAAATAGCACTTCGTGAGTAGCCGTCATTTGTAACTTTCTCACTGTAACTTCGTCATGTTTTAATTGCCGTGTTATGGTGCAGGTATCTGATACACAAACTGTGCCTTTTAGAACCAAAGAGGTTAAAAAAAACCTTTGAAAAACAACTCTGACCTGAAGTGCAACACAGGAGAGATGCTAAGCGTGACGAAATTTGACGGTCTTGCAAGTCAACAACAGCGGGTAATTTTTTTTTCTTGAGAGTGAACTAAAACATTTTACGTCATAAATCGAAAACAAAGCTGTTACGGAACCCCACGAACTAGAGCAAACTATGTCAGTGGTTTTTTGAACAGCTAATGTTGATTCGTTCTCTTATCTCCGCTTAATCCAACAATAGAGAAATTTGCATATGTCTTTGATAATCAGTCAGCTGTGCGAGGTTTTAAGATTGCAATAGACCTCTATCTCAAAGTTGTATTGATAAATGAATTGCACTAGAACGTGAAAATTGCGATTATTTATTATTATTCTCTTTTGAAGGGAAAGTATAACGAAATTAGAAGGAACGTACAGCAGAGAGAATGCATGGTCATTCCCAACTAAAGGGATACAACTATGAACAGAACGCAGCTCTTCTCGTTTTCAAGCTGAAAAATAAACATGTGGGATAGGCGGATTAGTTTTCAATTATCAAGTGATCGGCCAAAATGAGCACGGAAATAAAGAAGTACCACGAAGAAAGATTTATAATGGCAGAAATAGAACTGAGAACAGAAAAAATGTCTTTAAATATGGAATGCTTTTCGAGTTTGTTTGGATACCTGTAGGAAAGATTAATTACCAAGCCTTTGATCTGAACTTTCAGCATACACATCCCTAAATCTTCAAAACTTTTCTGAACCGATCCGGATGCCTTGTAGTGATCCTAGCTCTCCAGTTCCCTGACCTAATATACCTCTACGCTTTAGAAAGCATTTCGCATTAGGGTTTAGCATTAAACACAATCCCAATACTTGATTCGACTATTTCCAATACTTAAGGATCAAAATTTTAGTAGTTATCTTGGTATTATTCATCCGATGTCATTTTTCATTTGATATTAATAAAAAGACAGCCCTTTATTCGTTTCAGTAAAAATGTACGGATGTCACTGGTCCTTAACAGCCAACGTTCTCGGCCAGCAACTAGTCGCCTGATTTTTTTCTGAGAATTATGCTCCGCCTGGCAGAATTGCAATGAAAATTACAAATGTAGGTGTTGATGGAGGGTAGCTTTCTTTTCAGAAAAATGGGGGAAAGGATATCTAAATGGCGATGATAATGATGACACTAGTATTAGTAACAAAGGAATTCTACACTGTCTTTCAATTTTGAAATTTAATGACAATATTCATATCATTATATTCATGTTATGGAAGTAATAACGGTAACATGAAAAATATTCCGTTAACACCATTATTGTTTGAACAAATTAATACGAATATTTGATACAATTGAGGATTTGTAAGTAAATATATTCCAAAAGGATGACCGTTGCCTGACGGTTCCTACAATGATTAAAATAAACAGGTACAGGGTTTGTGAAAAGTCCCAATAAACACATTATAGCTGAGGAAAACCAAATCATACGTATATGCCCTCAAAGCGATGCCGTGGTTTGGAGTTTGTAAGACGCCTGAGGGAAATCGTGCCTTTTGGCCTCTAGTGACTGATTCTTTAGACTGGGCGTGGTCAGGGTATCCCAACGCTGTTGACGAAAATGAATGAAATGCATGAATAAGTTAGATGATGTAAGAGGTCATGAAAAGAAATGATCCTCGCAGAAGTGTTGGAGTTTTAGCCATTGCAGGATAAGCCTAAAAATATTCAGGCTCCGAAGGGACCCGTGTCTCCCAGATTATTGTTGGTCACCACTATGTACCAACTGAGCAAGGAAGCCATTGGTTGGGAGTGACGCAAATTCTATAGGATTCTTATTTTCCGTGAGGAGAAGTCGATGTAAAGATTTTTGTCATCACTCGCGACTATGTGTACGTATAGCGAGTAAAATTATTAGTAGACTCGTCATGTCATCGAAATACTTGGATCTCAACCGGTAAGTCAAGACTACGTCTGTCGGAACGTACAGTTGATCATAAAAATTGCTAATTAATTCTGGGTTAAGGAGAGCTGGAGACACAAGTGTCTTGTCAATGAATACAGTAACTGGCCAGAGCTGGAATTCTGACCGGTTTGGACTCTGCAACAAAGCCCGAGCCCTGACCTCAGCAACTTTCAAGTATAGTCGGTCGAACTATTGTGATTACTTTACATTACTTTCCAATGCAACCGTTAAGGTTCCTCCAATATATGCAAGACATATTCACAATGCCTTGCTTACATTGGAGATAAAATATACAGACGCATAATTTTATGATTGTAATAGGTGTGTACAAAGGAAAATGAGGAATCTTAGTTTGAATTGAAACGTTTTCATCTAAAACTCTTGAAAATCAACTGCCGACGTTTCAATCACTAGTTTTTCATTCGCGCATCGTATTTGAGGTTAGAACATTTTTTTCTCAAACATGGTATCAGTAACACATTCTCCCCTTAAAGGTTAGTGAACACTAATGTGGTAGTTACTTCTCTTAGAGAGCCTGGTGTTGTGGCCAACTTGTATATCATCACAATTGGAATGCACACGATTGAAGACAAAGCCATGATCCAGCCTATGGTTTCTCCCCAGTCAGGGTACTTGTAATCGTTGTATTCTAGAGGCGAGTACGTCACTAGACTGAAAATGAAGACGCCCTGTGGACAAAAGAGATGATATCCTTAAGGTGACTCATTCTGGCCAAGGCTCAAGCCAGACTCTCTTGACCCAGATGCCATTGTGTTAAACGTAACGGCAAATTAACATTTATCTAATAAAGTCACTGCCTTTCCCCCTCTCTATTACGTCTCTTAATGAAACTGAGAACAATTCTGAGACTGATAAATAAATATTTTGTCTTACCAAACAGAAAATAGGTGTGAATATCATCCAGCACCACCTGAGCCACGGGTTGATACGAAATCCGATCATATTCTCCATATCGTCATAGAAACGTTCACCACCTATCGGAAAACCAATGAAATTGGGTCGGTTCATACAAGATACTGAGACAATGGGAAACTCGCACGTGATCGAAGGAAACGTGGACTGTGGAATCGCACTGTCTCCTAATTTATCGTAACTTTCATTGGAGGTTAAAACTCCTTTAGACGGTTGGTCAAAGCATATTCTGTGTCCAAACGTTTTAATAAAGACCACTTTAGTCAATTCAGGCGTATAAACAGAACCTCCGTCCCCACTCCTGGTTGCAACTATTATCTTCTTACCGTAGATCCAACCAATGGCAATACTTTGGAACAAGGCGATCCACAAAAGAGCAGAGCCACTGGCCGAGTAATTGTCAAATAGTTGAAAGACGTACATCCCACCCTGAGAAATAAAGAAAAACATCAACATTTAATGAAAATCGTGGGCTGCAATTCCACAAAGGTATGAAGAGAAGTGAATAAGACATAATCTATCATATGATCAAGCTCCCTAACGCTTTCTCCGTTGCTCGTCTGTTAAAAATGTAAAACCAGAGCTTATATCTATTTTTGCCGATTGCGGTTGTCGTGTCATGGTTAACAAATCGCACTTTTCTTTGTTTCATGTTGGAGACATATGCTTTTTTTTTTTTAATTGTATGTAACTGTATAAAAATACATATCCCTTTAAAACTAGCGGAAATGTGGTCGTAAAACACAATCCATTCCTGCAGAAAAATACTTCGTAAGTTAGCGCTTTTACAGAAAAAATCATTTACTTTTACGTTCTATGATCTTTTATTATTTTGTTTTTTTGGCAAATTATCAATCTCATGAAAGAAATTTAATTGAAGTAAAAACTCTGTGGAGGCTTTTGATCGGGGCTTCATTAACCAGGAATTTGATATAAAAAGTAGAGTTACTTTCCGAAGAGCTTGTTGAGGCCCTCATTAAGGACCTTAAGTAGTCAGGACGGGGAAGCAGAGGAAGACGTGAATTTAGGAAACTGATTCTTATTTGTGGTGAGAATTTCACGAATGACTGGACGTGTTTACCATCACTTACGTTGCCACCCAAACTTACGCTTAACGCATGTGAGCATGGTTGAGTTAAAAATGGAAACATAAATGATCTGCCGTCAGAGTTTGTCACGCAAATTTTGATAATTTCGCGGTGTTGTTTTGCCTCCTCGTTGCTGCCGTCGTGGTTTGCTTAAGCGAGAGTTTCTTCGCCTGCTAGAGGCTTTCAGAAACGAAAACCAGCAAGAAGTGTGCACCGAGTGTAGGTCTCATTATTAGTGCCACTCAGATCCCCAGCACCGATCCCAGAGATAAACCTCCCGTCGACTCGACCTAAATCTTTTTGCAGGAGGAGAAAAAAGCGTCCTGCAGGGCTTAATAATAATGACATGCTTGTAATCTAGTTCCACGAGGTTATAACACAAGATCTCTACGTTTTTCTTTTATGCTTTTGAAGGTACCTTAGTAACCATGGACAGACCAATGAGAAACCAGATACAGCACATAAATGCGATGAACATCTCTTTACGATAACCACGCCTTAAGTGTCTGGGGAACAGGTCCACAATGGCTGTTACAAATCCCTCAATGCCTACAAACTTGGAATAAGACAAACATTAGAGGTCATTATCATAATATGCGCCTTTGTGTTTTCTTCAATGTCAATACACATACTTGTAAAACACACAAGATATCCAGAATAAAGTTTGATAAACTGCAAATTCGCTCTAATACCTCGCTGTCGAGTCCCAGCAAGAAGACCATAAAGAAAAACAGAACCGACCATAGAGGGGCCAAAGGCATCTGAGCAACGGCCTCTGGATAAGCGATGAATGCGAGTCCTGGACCTAGCGAGGAGGCGATGTGATGAGTTAGAGACCAGAAACAGTTTTTTTTTTTTCATGGGGGTTTGGAGGATTTGGGAGGGGATCTCATGGTTTTTAGGGGAAAAGGAGGAGTTCAGTCGCCACCAACAGAGTGTAGACAAGGGCCTTAAGAGGATTTGATTGCTAGTGAACTGCCAAAAAGGGGGTATGATATGTATATTACAGAGCCCGGGAAATCAGGTAGATTTTATCGCGAAATAAACAATATCTTCTGAATGAGGCAAAAACTAAGATCTTATCAAACAAAGTTTGAGAAGATACAACTTAATGAACTAATAAACGTATGCGAGAGTGGTGCGAGTTTTCTGGACTAATTACATAGGGATGAAAGGTAAATTTAATACAATCTCGAGTTGGTTTAAACAATCGTTTGAAAATTGCTCTACCCAGGCTCTACCCGTCTTTTCTTACCCCCTTTTGCCACGTCCTTCACTTCAACCCCTTGCTTCTGAGCCATGAAGCCAAGAACCGAGAATATCACAAAACCACCGTAGAAACTTGTTCCACTGTTTACACAAGCGAATATTATGCTGTCCCTGTGCGAGAAATGGCATTAATTGTTAAGTTAAAATGTTTGACACAAATTTTCGCTAAATAACAAGACATCCGCTTTTTATTAATTCAGAATTTAATTGTTTAGAGCAGTTTTCAATTGAGGGCCGAAAACCAAAACCCAAGTGATCACAGAAACCAATCAGAACAAGGGTCGAATCATCATGAACGAATGGGAACTCAAAATAAAATCAGGCACCCTGCGTAAAGCGCGGAAAAAAGCAAGTAACCAAGTTGAGATTGGCTTTAGTTTTGCATTTGATTGATCAAAGTGGTGAGAGAGTTTTTAGACCAATTACGGGGCAAAGTTAAGAAGACTTATGCAAAGCAATCTAAGACCAGCTGAAAACCGCGCTATCGTGAAATACTTAGTAATTGTGTTTTAAATAGATACAGGTGTTCGACCCTTTGACTCTTTCATCATAAAATTCTACCAATGGCGTCACTGTATTCTTAAATTGGATTCTCCAAGGCAGCATCGAGTTTTTAAAACGTGAGCAAATTTGCTGATTGAAAGCTCAATTTCGCTAAATGTAATCTCATACAAACACGGCCATAATATCTCAGCTAGAACTGTGGAAAGGTTATCGAAACGTCACCAAGTAGACAAGAGGCGACACTCTCACGCAAAGAGACCAGGCAAATTTTCTTGTGTTTTTCTAACCTGTAAAAGTTGTGATGGAATCTGTTGTAACTCCCGAGGGCAATCAACGTTCCAAGTCCAATAGAATATGAAAAAAACACTTGCGTTCCAGCATCAAGCCACACCTTCGAGTTTCAAGAAAAACTATGAGTAAATAATTGACCAAGTGTAAAATTTAACTTAAAGGTAGGTCTCAATAGGGTAATAGCTTTCACGGCTAACAGTTAAAATTTTGGCTCATTAATAGCTAACAGTCAATCTTTTTCCAGTTGCGATTAAAAATAATGTTCACGGTTAACATTTTTTACGAATAACGGTCCAAAATTGTCAATTTTTTACGCCTAACCCATTAAGACCCTCTTAAAGCTTGGAGTTCATAAATAATAAAAAAAATATTTTTTGAATTGGTTCATTCAATTTTACAATTTATTCACCATTTCTCACCTGACCATCAGCCAGTCGAGTAAAATTTGGAGTGAGGTAAAACTTGATCCCTTCAGCAGCACCAGGTAAAGTGACGGCTCGAACGAGCAAAATCGTCAAAAGTACATAAGGAAATGTAGCAGTGAAGTAGACAACCTGTGAAATATATCATTTCTGTAATAATGGAGTTTCCAATCAGAGTTTCAGTGTTTGATAAGCTCCTTTCCCTGTCCGTATGTTTGTTTGTTGTTGTTTTTTTTTTATTGAGCTGTTGTTGTTAGCTAATTATATTTGCCAATATTGTTGTCTGTATAGTAAATGGTTTGAACCCAGATGTAACATTTGAACGTGCGGTTTTTAATCGTCTTGGTGTGGGTAGTCCCGAGAAGGAATGTTGTCGGTAGAAGTGACTTACGTTTCGACAACCTAAGCCGAAGTCATCATCAGGGTCAAATGAAGAGTTTTTGTCAGTCGAAGATCAGAGGTTGAGTATCAGAACGCGTAGGTCTGAGGTTCGATTCATCGTGGTGACAAGGGGAAAAAAAAAGCATAAGTTTAAATTAACTGTGTTAAGATTATCCTAAGAAATTATTTGGGTTAAAGAATATGTATAAAGGGCCAGAAAGAAGTGCCAGTTAAAAGATCGAAAATAATTTAGATATTCCTTGACCCTTTCGAATTTAGCTTTTAGTGAAGGATAATAAAAATTCAGTTCTCGAGGAAGCTCTTGTGGGAGTTTCATCGGTAAAGGAGATTGTAAGAACGTCAATTAGAAACAAAAAAAAGTTAGATACGTTTCCTATAATGGAAATTTTCTCAGAGAAGTGAATAGAATTTAAAAGTCCCTTAAACTCGGAAGAAAACTTCACTCAACAACATAATTCTCTCCGTGTTGGGCAACCTAAGAGAGCAAGAAATTTAAAAATGTTAAGATTACAGCTCCCTCACCTTTCCTGTGGATTTGACACCTTTGAAAACACAGAGGTAACAGATTATCCAAGCCAACAAGAGACACAAAGCTACTTCCCAGTTCACTATGCCGGGTTCATCCAAAGCAGTGCTCAGCTTTAAAACTCTATGTCTGGAGAGAGGTAAGTAGTGTAGTTGGTAATCATCGCGGGGCTCGGTTGACTTATGAACCCGCCTACTAGATATATTTGTTCAATTGTTCAAATTGATGATACTCTGCATAAAAATAATAATAGTTATCTTCCCTGTCTAAATGAATGACCGACCGACCAACTGACTGACCAACTGACCCACCGGCCGACTGACTGACTGACTGACTGGCCAACTGACCAACTGACCTCCTGACCAACAGACCGACTGAACAACTGACCAACTGGCTGACCGACTAACCAACTGACTGACCGACTAACCAACTGACCAACAGACCGACTGAACAACTGACCAACCAGCTGACTTACCGACTGACTGCTTGACAAACCAACCGACTGATCAACTGACCGACTGACCAACAGACCGAATGAACAACTGACAAACTAGCTGACTGACCGACTGACTGACTGCCTGACTGACCAGCTGACTGACCGGCTGACTGGCTGAATGACTGGCTGGATGACTGGCTGGATGACTGCCTGGATGACTGCCTGGATGGCTGGATGACTGGCTGACTGGCCATCTGACCGACTGACCAACAGACCAACTGAACAAGTGACCGACTAGCTGACCAACCGACTAACCGCCTGACCGACTGACTAACTAACCAACTAACCGACCAACTGACTGACTAACAAACTAATTGACCCACCCGCTGATTTACTAAATGAATGACAGACCGACTGACCAACTGGCCGATTTACCGACTGATCGACTAGTTTCGAGTACAAGGTACTCTTGTTCCCCATAATAAATAAACTTAAAACATCGGGACGCTGCCCATAACTTTTTTACATATAATGCATACTGTTCTCTAAACATTTGTTAAAGTGCTTATAAGGAAAATTTGTTTAACAATAGAGTTTCTTTAGTTGGTGATCATTTTTTAAAAATTTTCGTGACCTAACTGTTTGAGTCAGGGGTAATAAGTCACTCTTAGAAGTCAAAGAGTTAATATTAAACTACCTTACAGCTTCACTCACTCAAAATACTCCTCGCTCGCAGACACTCTAGCTGCCTTTGCCACAGCAGTTGGTACTGTTGACATGTTCGACATGTTCGCCATTACGGTTGGTATGACTGTGGTATTGGCTATACTGGAGCCTTTTTCAGATGTGACATAGTCAACACAATTCGGTGTGTTCCAATCATTGCCACAGCGAGACCAAGGAAGCTCGGATTGGAAAGATGCGAACATGTAAAACAGAGCCCAGCCAAGGATGACGATGTAATATATGTTTAAAAACTGAACGATGATGACACTTGCCCATCCAATACCTACAATGGAATCAAAATTCAAATGTTTATAATATATATATATATATAAGCTCAGTTATGCACGCATTCTGATTGATTCTTACTTATGATCTATTGGAGGACAAACGTATAGATGACGCCACCATTAAAACTTTTTCCGTATATTTTAATTCTTTATTATATAAAACAAATAGATTCCAAGTTGCATACTGTGCCTCGTGCGCCACTTCTTTGTTCTTACCACATTTTGACGTCATCTGTGATCTATTACTGAACAGACACACGGCAACTTGGAATCTATTTTTAAATATATTCACTGCAAGTTGTTGTTCGTAATAAACCCGGTATCGCAGGGGTCACGGGTTCAAATTCCGTACAGGCCTGAATTTCGTTACTGCCAAGATCGTTTTCATATTCATATCTTACCAGTCTCTCATGAAAGCATCATCTCACCGACAAAAAGCAGCAAAGGTAAAAGAAAATGCCTGATCGTACGTATATCTTTCCTCCCTTACATTCTCACTTTCTGTTAAACTGAATGGAAGACCTAGTGCGAACAAACGGCGGAAAACTGTCCAGGCTCGGTTTAATGTAGGACAACAGGAAAATATGAACTGACGATATTCTCTTGAGTACAACTTGAAAATCGTTAATCAAGGTAATCGTCTAACTTAGTGCTGGCAAGATGTCGGCAATCAAGAACACGATAAAAGGTATTTAAAATGTTACATCAACCAATCTTACTTCTGTTCCCTCGAATTGCTATTGATGTGACCTATTTTCACGTTATTTAATGGTCAGGTATCGGTAATACTTCGCTTCTTTAAACATTTATGGTAAATGGGGCCTGATGCTCGTAACGTTAGAATCTCTTTACCTTAAAATCTCTCTACGGTGGCCATTTTTCATCATAAACTCAGCTTATAGGACCAAATTATATCGGGATATCTCCCCCCCGCCCAAACTTACCGACACAGCACCACAGTTTCCTTTAGAAACTTACAGTCTTTATTCATTATCTTTAACAGAGTTACGAGAAAAATTATAATCATGATTTCTTGATAATCGTTTGCCACATCCAATGGGACAAAAATCAACAATAGAACTGAACTATTACATACATTTTAACTGATTAAAACAAACCTTGAAAAAGTGGACATATAAGCCATGCTGTAATTCCACCTTGACTTGCAAACTGTCCCAGACAAACTTCCAGGATGAGAACAGGTACACCAGCAAAAACGAGGCAAATTAGGTACGGGATCAGAAAACATCCTACATGAGGTACCCGGTAACACATGCAAACAAAACAGAATTTGGATAATGAATCAAGAACGAATTACAACTCAGTGGAAAACACATCAGCCGGAGGCTTCCGTCGTCAAGTGCACCTCTTAACGAAAACCTGTTCATTGCGTTTGAATCAGCAAATAATGTTCAATTGTAAATAAAAACTTGCTGTCCATAATTCTCAAATAATGTACATTGGTCTGCTTCGTTGTCGACGCAATTTTTGATCATAAACCGACGATAAATCACTCGAGGTAAAGACCATCAAAACAAAAGGAAAATTAAATATATTCAGAAAGAGCTGGAAAAATTACATCTTAACTGTTTCAAAATGGAAGCAGTGTAGAATGGTCTAGGGTGGTTTCCTTTAAAATCTGCATATTTGTATTTTTCCATGCATGCAAAAGCATTTAGATTTTTGTCCCTGACAACGAAAAGAAATGTTTTCAAGCTTATAGAAAGAAGGAGATTGATAATGTACTAAAATACTGGCCCTCAGAAGTTTCAAAGACGTCACTGTTTTGCATAAGTACTAGTTGTATTGTGGTCTTTAAAGATTCTTAAACGATTGTTCGATCGCTCCTAACACTATACTTAAGTCATGGAAATATGTTAGTTGCTCTCAGCAAGAGAAAAATGAAACAGTTTTCAAATTCAGTGTCAGGTACATCATTAGGTGTCTACACAAAGTTCCCAAATGTAATTGAATAAAGTTTGCAGCCGAGTGTTGAGGCACGAGGCATTGACCTGAGTGACGCACGGATAAAGGTTCGTTAATTTAAAGTGGTGAATGGAGCCGCTCAAAACAAGTTTGACCGATGGGATTAGTCGCTTTCTCATTTGGTTTCAGCTAGAAAGAAAGAAAAATTTTTCAGATTCATTGTTAAGCACATCACGAGGCCACTAGATAAAATTTTCAAATCTAATAAAACAAAGTTTATAGCCGATTCCTTGTGAGACACGTGGATGGCCTTGACGTGGGTGACGCACGGACGGAAGCATCTCAGTATAATTTGGTAAATGGATGTCAAAACAAGGTTGACCAAAGATATATTTTACGAACTGTAAATTTTTTTTCAAGCTGGCTAAGCTGCAGAATACCCTGCCACTCATTTACGCGTCATTGAATAAGAATACAGTTTGTTGTGTTATGCTTCAATCTTAGAAGCGTCCCGACGCATAAATGAGGTGGACCAAAGTGGCAAGGTATTCTGCAGTTGCTCCTTCACGCTTTATTCGAACATATTCAAATGGAAACGAATGAAGTTTCGCCAGATTATCAAAAGCACCAGCACTTACATAATATAAGTAAATTTACAGTAATCATCATCAACCGTCACGCCATCTACACTCACCTCCACCATTTTTATAGCAAAGGTACGGGAAGCGCCAAATGTTTCCCAGTCCAACAGAGAACCCTACGAGCGCAAGAACAAAGTCGATCGTCTTGCTCCAAGTTTCCCGCTTATTGACTTTATCATCCATTGATAACGGGCAGTGGTTCAACTCAACTGTGTGCCGTTGAAAAACTATTTCATAATGAGTGCGTACGCTTCACGGGCAGTGGTTCAACATTGGTTCAAGAGATTTCCATCTTATTTCCATATTCATAAATCATGAATGACAAATGTCCATAAGAATTGGAAAGGAGGTTTTCTATTTTAAATATGTTCTTGTTGGTAGGTCCACCTATCAAGTGCTTGTGAGAGCTGATTACGTGTATGAGTTTATTTTAGCCTTGAGAAGCAAAAAATCTTACGATTAACACGTTTGTTGTGCTTTTCGACAAGTTTTCCCTTTGTTGGATATGATAATTTTCTTTTAGTTTGAATAATGTTAAACAATATTCAAACGACAAATATTAGTAAGCTCGAACCTGAAGTAGCTGTAGTCATGCAAACGTAACGTTTATCTCTTCTGATTATCAGAGAACAAGAACATGGAGTGGTCATATCCAAGAGCAAGTGACAATAGTGCACCAAACAAATACTAGTTGCTAAAGGAATTTACCTTAAAACGTTAAGAAGAAAAGGTTTACACTCATTTAAAGTAGGTAATATAACATGTTTCTAACAATTGTTTTCCACTGACGGACAAATGATACACACATGATCAAGTTAAACGAGCCGTATCATAAGTATGGACTTTGACATCTAGGCCACTATTTTTTTTATCTAAAAATACTCGCCGCTTGCTTTATATTGTTTATTTGTCTCTCTCGATAAGGATTGTCATGTAAAATAGCGCTTCGTGAGTAGCCGTCATCTGCAACTTTCCCACTGTGACTTTGTCATGTTTTAATTGCCGTGTTGTCGTGCAGGCGTGTGATACACAAACTATGCCTTTTAGAACCTAAAAGGTTAAAAAAAAAAACCTTTGAAAAACAACTTTGACCTAAAGTGCAACACAGGCGAGATGTTAAGTGAGACGAAATGTGACGGTCTTGCAAGTCAGCAACAGCTACTTGCACCTGTGCGAGGAAAAAGTAAAGCAACAGCGGGTAATCTTTCTCGAGAGAAAACTTAAACATTTTACGTAATAAATCGAGTTCAAAGCTGTTACGAACTAAAGAACTAAAGCAAACTATGTCAGTGGTTCTTTTAACAGCTAAATTAATTCAATCACCTGAATTCGACCGTTACCTCGAACTTAGGAACCCATTTCCTTTGTTATCAATTTTTCGTTTACTTGATTTCAGCTACACTTCTTGACATAATTAGTTGAAATATTTCTTCTGAAGTACGTCTGAAATGTTCTTCCGTCCCTCTCGCCTTTATAATGATGCTAATTACCAATGTGTCTATGCCAGTGTTTCTATAAATGCTGATCTAACTATGTTAATTTTTCTATAAAGACCAATGTTTTAATAAACGCCCATTTTTCTATGAAGATGTTTCTATGCCGATGTTTCTATACCAGTGTGTCTATACCATTTAGCAGACCAACATCGAGAGGAGCAGGGGAGGATGTAGGTGTCCCAAAATTTGCAAACGGGAGTGTAGCCCGAAATCCCTGACAAATCGAATTGCCGAGTGTCTTTTGTATCACTAACGTAGTCTTGTGCTAGTTCTCAATAGTCACCAAAAGGCAAATACTTAATAGAGTCGACTACTAAACAGTGTACTCGAATTATAACGGAATTTAATTCAACTGCAGCTAACGCATTTGATCATTAGAAGGCTTAAAAGTTAGTACGTTCTTCGAAGTCCTCTAAAGCAATTTTTAAAACCATCTCTCTCCTTTCAATAACTAAGATCTTCGCTTGATCTGATCGCTTATTGTATACTTCTTGTTAATGCTAGACTGCTTAACTCGTTCATATCTCAATATCTAGTAATAATATCACACAACTGAATAAATCGACATAAATATTGCAAATATTCCTTACACTAATTTAAAGTAGGTAATAAAATATGCGTCTAATTATTGTTTTCCACTAACGGACAAATGATACTCACATGATGAAGTTAAACTAGTCGTATCATGAGTATGGACTTTGGCATCTAGGCCATTATTTTCTGATCTAAAAATACTCTCCGCTTGCTTTATGTTGTTTATTTATCTCTCTCGATAAGGATTGTCATAAAAATAGCGCTTCGTGAGTAGCCGTCATCTGCAACTTTCCCACTGTAACTTTGTCATGTTTTAATTGCCGTGTTATGGTGCAGGTATCTGATGCACAAACTGTGCCTTTTAGAACCAAAGAGGTTTAAAGAAACCTTTTAAAAACAACTTTGACCTAAAGTGCAACACAGGAGAGATGTTAAGCGTGACGAAATTTAATGGTCTTGCTAGTCAACAACAGCTACGTCTACTTGCACCTGTGCGCGGAAAAAGTAAAGCAACAGCGAGTAGTCTTTCTTGAGAGTGAACTAAAACATTTTACGTCATAAATCGAAAACAAAGCTGTAACAGAAACCCACGAACTTAAGCAAACTTTTTTGCTAGCTTTTAACAGCTAAAATTAATTAAATTATCTGAAACCGCCCGTTACCTCGAACTCATAAACCCATTTACTTTGTTGCGAATTTTTCGTTTACTTGCTGTCAGCTGCACTTCTAGACATGATTAGTTGAAATATTTCTAAGTACGTCTACAATGTTCTTTTGCCCTCTCGCCTTTATAACGATGTTAATTACCAGTGTGTCTATGCCATTGTTTCTATAAATGTTGATATTCCCATGCCAATTTTTCTATAAATACCAATATTTCAATAAACGCCTATTTTTCTATGAACATGTTTCCATGCCCATGTTTTTATGCCAGTGTGTCTATGCCATTTAACAGACCAGCATTGTGAAGAGCAGGGAGGATGTAGGTTTCCCAAAATTTGCAAATAGGAGTGTAGCTCAAAATCCCTGCCATTTCGAATTGCCGAGTGTCTTTTGTATCACTAACGTAGTCTTGTGCTAGTTCTTGATAGTCACCAAAAGGCAAGTATTTAATAGAGTCGACTACTAAACAGTGTACTCGAATTATGAGTACAAGGAATGAATGAATTATGAGAATGGACTTTACAATGAGTTATGAGTATGGACTTTGGCATCTAAGCCAATATTATCTTTTCTAAAAACACTCTCCGCTTGCTGTATGTTGTTTGTTTATCTCTCTCGATAAGGATTATCATTTAAAATAGCGCTTCGTGAGTAGCAGTCATCTGCAACTTTCCCACTGTAACTTTGTCATTTTTTAATTGCCGTGCTATCGTGCAGGTATCTGATACCCAAGATGTGCCTTTTAGAACCTAAGAGGTTAAAAGAAACCTTTGAGAAACAACTATGACTTAAAGTGCAATACAGGAGAGATGTTAAACGTGACGAAATTTGACGGTCTTGCAAGTCAACAACAGCTACTTGCACCTGTGCGAGGAAAAGGTAAAGCAAAGGCGGGTAATCTTTCTCGTGAGTGAACTAAAAAATTTTACGTCTTAATCGAAAACAAAACTGTTACGAACTAAAGAACAAAAGCAAACTATGTCAGTGGTTCTTTTAACAGCTAAAATTAATTCAATCACCTGAATTCGACCGTTATCTCTAACTTAGAAACCCATTTCCTTTGTTATGAATTTTTCGTTTACATGCTGTCAGCTGCACTTCTAGACATAATTAGCTGAAATATTTCTTCTGAAGTACGTCTGCAATGTTCTTCCGTCCCTCTCAGGTTAATTAAGGCCTGGGTCACCCTGCCTTTAACCCATATTTTTTCACAAAATTGAGAATAACTTAGCTATTTTGCGAGGGTTTTTTCTTATACTTGGCAGAAATGTGTATCACTACCATCTCTCTCGGACTGAATTGTGGCAGCGTAATATGATACTCTCAACAGCCAAAAACAGTTAATTTAGGCGCCAAATTCGTCGGTTGCTTTCTTGAGCTATGAATATTTGAGAGTTTTTTCATTGTTTTCCCACTTGGAATGGCTGCCAAAAAAAAGAGAGATGTGCTAGGCAGATTAAATCAAGTTTTGTCTCCGCGAAGCTGCTTCCTCTATCATGGTTTTTGCCCGAAAACATCTTAGCCTTTACCTGGTTCCAACCGCTGTCAATGAAAGTAATCCTACAGGTTCCTATTTATTTGGAAAAAAGACAAATTAAAATTGTTTAAGAGGTGGGAATTTTGAAAACTCGCAGTCACGTATTCAACTTAGTGTCCGCCATTTTGACACGCGAGTGTTCAGAAGCAATTAAAATTACCTAACAACTGCTTTGGGGGATTACTTTTATAAGTAAATTCATCTGCTTCTTAGAGAAATTGTTTCCAAAGCATTCAAAAGCCTAAATTTTGATAGACACTATGAGTATACACATCATGATATGATAGAGGATTTATCAAGCTAAATTGAATTTCAAAATTGAATGGTATATCCACAATGAAACTTTTTCTATGCATTTGTTACAAAACATAGTACTTTTTTCTATGCATAAGTTACAAACATTGTAAAACGCTATTGAGCTCTAGAAATGAGCGCTATGTTATAAATTAATGTTGCATCGTATTTGCAGTGAAGTCAATGAGCATGTTGAGAGCGGTGTTTAGAAGTCTTCGTAGGTTCCAAAGGGTTCTCTTTGGCTTTAAGATAGCGATATCATGCCATTTTTTGAGGAAATGAAGACAGCAAAGAAAATTTTATTACCTTCTTTTGATGTCTTCCTCTAAATTGTCGGATTCACCAGCGAAGATGGGAAAAACCAATGCAAAGCCGACACTTCAAAATGGCGGATGCCGTACACGAACTACAAGATCTTGATTCCAAGTAACTATGGTCACTCGCGCAGTCCACGCGAATTCCGCGAACCTTGCTGGGGGGCACTGGAGGCGAAAATCATTTTTGACCCAGACCTTAATTAACCTGAGCTCTCTCCTTTATAATGATGTTAATTACCAATGTGTCTATGCCAGTGTTTCTAGAAATACTGATGTTCCTATGTCAATTTTTCTATAAAGACCAATGTTTCAATAAACGCCCATTTTTCTATGAAGATGTTTCTATGCTAGTGTGTTTATACCATTTAGCAGACCAACACTGAGAGGAGCAGGGGAGGATGTAGGTGTCCCAAAAATTATAAATGGGAGCGTGGCCCGAAATCCCTGACAATTCGAGTTTCCGAGAGTCTTTTGTATTGCTAACGTAGTGATACAAAAAGACAAAATTTGCATCTGGCAAGGATTTTCATTTAAGGTATTTTTTGACTTATTTAAACGTTGAAAATGAATGGAAATAATATATTACCATAAGACACTCAGTAAAAATTATAATAAGCCGGATGATCTTTCTTAGTCTTTTTGGCGGTCCTATTTTAACATGTTCGACATCTCTTTTTCTTAAAGGCGACTTACGATATAAACGTGTTGTGTAACAGTCTTCGAGGACTAGTTTCTCTTAAGATATCTTTTCAAGTATGATTCTTATTCTGTTAGTAAGTTCATTATAATTTTTTATATTACTAATCTTGTTTTAAACATCTCGAAGGTATCTACTTAGTATGCGAACTCCGCTCAGCGTAGCTTAACGCGATTCGCTAGTTCAATGTAAAAGCATGACAAAGGTGAGAGATTAGAGATTGATAGCTCAGCAAGCGTCACCTTATAAGCGGTGACCCACACTCTCCTCGCGAGATCTGAGCTAGTACCCGTTGTATTAACTTGAGTAGAAAAGAAGAGAATAAAGAAAAACTCAACAGAACGAGTGTTAGAGTTTTACTTCTAACAGTAGTCATGTGCCAGTTCATACTAGTCACAAAAAGGCAAGTACATATTAGAGTCCACTACTAAACAGTGAACTCAAATTATGACATAATTTACTTTAACTTCAGCTAACGTATTTGATCAATAAAAGAATTAAAAGCGAGTACTTTCTTCGAAGCCTTCGAAAGCAATTTTCAAAACCCTCCATTTCCTTTCAATAACTGAGACTTACGCTAGTTATATTGCTCATTGGGGTAATGATATGATTGCTAATTGTACACTTCTTATTAATGCTAGATCGCTTAACTGGTTCATATCTCAACATCTAGTTGTAATATCACATAACTGAATAAATCGACATCAATATTGCAACTATTCCAAAGAATAAAATGCATTGGCGTTTTCAAGTCATCAGGCCTTCTGCTCTTTTTCCTCGTTGTCTTTCGTCAACAGAGCAGCCTGGTGTCCCCCGCGATCTTCAAGTTCAATTTCATCCCTTTTCTCTTCAATCTCAGGTATAATCAGCTTGTTCAAACGCTGGCAATAAAAGAAAACTTACAACTCACTGAAATCTCATCACATAAAGTAAAACTATCACCAAATGTCTCATTCCATGATTTTAGGGTGATGCAATTATTACTGCGTCGACTAACTACTTAGGTCAGTTGCCCCGTTGTTATGTACTCACAAGAGATCATAATGGAAAACGCCTCGAGTGCAACTTTTTTGTTCTTACCACATTTTGACGTCATCTGTGATCCTTACTTAACAAACGCAAGGTAGCATTGAAAATATTTGTTAACTCTTTAACTCCCATGAGTGACCAAGACAGAATTTCTCCTTACGATATAAATACAATATCAACAAGATAAGTGATGAGAATAAAGAACAATATCAATTTGGGGATAATTATTTGATCTAATACTAAATTCTCTGAACTAACATTAAAAGAATCGTATGGTTGACGGTAAGGAGAATTACAAATTTTATCTGGGAGTGAAAGGGTTGATTAGATTTGTCTCTCTTTCAAGGTATGTGACGCGGGTCGCCGAGGAAGGCATTCTAAGAATTTTCGCAACTTCTGTACTCATTTCCTACGTCTGTGCGCGCACTAATAGAAAATGTCCAACTGCGACCCCACAATGACTGAATCATGTACCTCTCTGATTGTTCCTGTGGTCTTGATCAGTTTGTATATCATCACAGCCGGGATACAGGTTAGCGAGGTTGCCGTCAACAACCAACCAAAAGCCTGGCCCCAGCCTGGATAAACGTACTTGCCATAACTCATGGGCTGATACGTAATCAGGTTAAAGATGAAAATGAACTGCAACAAAAGTTAATACATAATTAGAGTCCCAGCTTGTTTAGCGACTCTACCATGTTCTAACTACGAGGATTATGTCCCACGGGCCAAGCGGCCTATTACTGCCAGACTTTAATCCTGTTTCAACAGCATGAGGGGACTGTATGAGGTAATTTTCATCGGAGCTAACCCTAATCTGTCCCTCTTTGTAGTAAGTTCTTACCTATTCATACGTTATTCGAAAATCTTTACATTTTAAAAACTATGTACCGTAAACTCACCGCACAAAAACTGGCGCGAAAAAAACACCAACACCAACCGATCCATGGATTGATTCGAAATCCCAGCATACTCTCCATGTTGTCGTAGAAACGATTACGACCTGTGTTTAGTTTAAAACATAAATCTTCATTGCTGCACGTTTTGATATAAATATGAAAGCAACAACACACCAAACGTGCGTTTTGTTGGAGGTTTCCTCAGTGTTTTATCAGAGTATTTCAGCAAATGACTTATGGGAACTGATACGTTGAAGGGACTACAAGAAGGTGTAAAACTTCGACCTCTTTTGGTCATATTTGTGGTCTTACTCCGAGACACAACTTCATTGAACTCAAAAGCAAAACAATCTTACAACTTGCCTTATTCGCGCTTATTTGCTCTGACAAGGGGCTAAAACTCAAAACGTCGGCTTTGAAACTCTTTGCGGTGTCTAATTTACATTATCAATTCAGTTGATAAAATGAAATCGTCTTGTCATTCGCATTTAATTTCGCGGGTAATAAATTCTGAGTTTTGCGCGGTTTTCCGAAAAATCGCGAAACTAAAGACTCACACATTTAAAATCTTTGCGGAATTTCATCACGAGAAATGTAATATCCGTATAGAAAATTCAAATCACAGAATTAAAATCTTAACATGTGATTAAACATAACACAAAGAAGATATGTATCGACAAATACACAAATTATCAACTGGTCTCTTTGTTAAGTTCTATTTTGTAACTTCTGTCGTGAAATGGAGATAATTTGCAAAGATTTCGCAAATAAATAGAAAATAAATGACTGTAAATATATAAAAATCATTATGTGAACTTCGGATTGAGAAATGAATATAAAAGTAATCTTCGCAGTAATGAACACTACTTGGCACTACGAGGCCTTAAAAAAATTAAGACCTGTACGGGATTTAAACCAAGATAATACAGTGATATTCTCTTGATTTGAACCCATGACCTCTGCGATACCGGTGAAGTGCTCTATCAAGTGAGCTAACTAGCCAATTAGAAGCTAGTTATTTCAATAGCTAGATTCGAACAAATTCCTAGGAATATCTTTCGAGCAGTCGTCGAAAGTTAAGAAATTTTGAAAAACAAAATAAGGTTGAAAGAGCTTGAACCGCGAAATTTAATGCCCTGTTTTAATATTTGCCTGCTGAAATCGCGAAAACAAAACCCTGAGAAATATTGTTTCGCCAAAACTGCGAAATTAAACTCGAATAAAGTAGGTGAAATCTCACGGCTAATACATGACCCCGATTCCAATGCCCCAGGAACCAACCCAGTTTTTTAAAAATTAAGCAAGCCTAAATATCATCATTCTTCAATGGAGATACTATTCTATCACAGATCACCCCCCATGATAAGCATTCTGTAATTTTACTTCGACAATTTATCGTGAGCCTTTCAACCTCCCTGTCTAAGAAAGGTAAAAGGGAAATTATATCTTTACTGCCTCCCCGCCTCCGCACCCCCTGGGAGCAGAATCAGACTTCCTTAAAGGGTGATACGCATACTGATTCAATTAATTCAGTCTGTAATTGGGTTGGATTGTTACTTACCGTACAGCCACCCAATAGCCAGACATTCGCATATGACAACCAGTAGCAATACAGATCCGCTTCCAGAGTAGTGATCGAACAACTGGAAGACGTACATTCCACCCTAGAAAAGATATTGATTTTACTTGTTTACTGTATGGAAGGAAATTCTCTCTTAAAAGGAGAAGTGTGCTCTAGTATTCCTTTGATTTTAATCTCCACGTTCAAGGAAAATACAAGAGATTTCGAAACTTAGCATGTTTTGAGGATTCAAAGATAAACCTGAAATATTGGCAATATTACTCGATACGCGCCAAAAACTTTACAACTGCTTCAATAATTTAATATGATAGTCGAACATTTTGTGCAGAAATCCTTAACACTGCAGGACAAAGTAGTTTCAAGTTAAAGTTCGTAATTTTCACTACTTCCCAGACTATTTTTCCTTCTAATAAATTCTGAATTTCCGTCATTAATTTGGAGTTGGATCTCAATTACATTACAGTCATGCCGTATTTACTAGGTAACTGAAGCGGCGAGGTATCAGTAAAGTTTTTTGCGACCCAGGTGCTGTCCTAATTCTGTGGAGGCACTCGCGAGAGGGCTATCTTTATATAAAACTAGAATCCTCTTCCTCCTCACAGTAATAGGCGATCATGTTCAAATGATCATTTACTCTCTCGTTTTCAATGGGCTTCTATATTAACAAAAATTTTAATGTCATTGCATCTTCTTTATGATCCAAATTTTTCTATATCGCCGTTTCGAAGTAAAACATTAATGCTTTGCATGAGATGTAGTTTAGGAAAACTTGTACCTCACAGAGACTTGGGACACAATTAACGAATAAGCACTGTATCTTTAGATGCAGCCCTTTTTGGGTGCGACAGTTATTACTACATCCGCTCTCACATGGTTCGCCTGTTCGAGGACGACGCTTAAACAAGGGCGTCACGGTCTATTCGTCACCTTAGTAATTACGGCGGTCTTTTCAATCAAAACAATCGTGGTATACCGCTAGTTTTTTAACAACAAAGCAACCAGAAGTGAAGCATACCTCGGTAACCATGGACAGCCCTAGGAGAAACCAGACTGCACATACAACAGCAGTGAAAATTTCCTTACGGTAGCCACGTCTTAGGTATTGAGGATACCAATCCACAACTGCGGTCACAACACCCTCGATACCTACAAACTTAATTCATAGAGGAATCAAAAATCAGTGGTTACGCAATTCAAAGAAAAGAATGGAAACAAGCTATGGAAACTTACTTTAAGTTATAGACTAAATTGTTAGTGTTCTTGAATATGGTTTCAAAAGGATCTTGTTTTCGTATTGAAGATCCCTCGATTAAAGAATAGGGTTTGACCGTTGTAAAGGTCTGCTTTCCCATCAGTTGTTTTCTATCTCATGTTTTAAAATACTTATCCTGACCATGATAGTCCATTATATTGTTACACACTTAGATGCCATGCTTTTAACAGGAGGTCGAGATTGACCCATTGCAACAGGAGCGATTAGGACGCCAGACTGTAATCTGGTGGTCCAAAGTTCAAGCCTACCGCCCTGCTACTCAATGGATTTGCTCTCGCTAACACCGAGTGCCACTCCTTGACTGCGCATTGTTTGTAGCTAACTGGTCTGCTTCCGGCCAGTTGAGACTTTTCAGCACTATTTTTATTTACATTTTTTTTTCAATTTGTTTGTATTGGCTTGGAAAATGTTACTTTCAAGATAATAAACACTATTTTTTATAAACTTTAAGGCACATTTTACAAGCAAAATACTCTGTCATGATCCCTACTACTTTCACTTCTCCTTCATAACAAGGTCACTTTCAGCCTCACTTCTATGTAGGGGCAAAGCAACCAAGCACACAGCTGTAATTAAAAGAAAGCTATTTAATCATTACTTCTAATACTCAGCCCGAGAGAATGCAGGTAAAAAATATTCTTTACCTCACTGTCCAGGCCCAGCAAAATAATCATGAAGAAAAACAGAGCGGACCACAATGGAGCTAAGGGCATCTGAGCCACGGCTTCAGGATAAACAATGAAGGCCAGTCCAGGACCTACAAAGAAATTAATTAGATCACGAGGCATTTGGAGGAATTTGTAAGTTATACACTTTCAGCGTGATCGCCAGAGTATTGATTGCTTGAGCCGTGTGAAACGTGGTAATCTGACTCCGGAAAGGTTAATCTGGTAAGAGTTTCTGATGCGTTAGTCCTTTGTGAGCTAGGTGCTAAATACTGTTTTACCTGCTTTCGCAACGTCCTTTATTGGAACTCCTTGATTTTTGGCCATAAAACCCAACACAGAGAAGATGAGAAATCCGCCGTAAAAACTTGTTCCACTGTTAAACAGGCTGAATATGATGGAATCCCTACACTCAGAGATAGAAGGTGAACATAGTTAAAAAGCCAATCGTGATACCTGTAAATTGGCAAAACAGCACTTCAGATACATTGACACCTTCATAAAAAGGATCCTAGAGGTCTTCCCCAAGGGAAAACGCACTTAATCTTGAGTAGATGACTTGTGACAAATCGTGTTTATGACTAGTTATTAACCCTGCGGAAGGTTTCTATGGGAGAATAATGACCGCGATCGCTATTACAGACTGAAAGCAATGATGTTTTGACTAGTGACTTAGGTCAAGGTGTCGCAAACAGACCGACCTAGCTCGGTTTTATAGGATGTTTTAAAAAATAAATAATTCTATTTTGTTTCTCTAAAATGGTTCAGGCATCTATTTGCTTACTTCTTACTACTTGGAAGATCACAAGATTTTTCTCCAGCTTTAGCTGGGGTTTAGAATGTTTGGTTACGTAACACATTTTAACCGATCGTGGCTAGCGAAGTATTTGATTGATCATTTAACCACCTGTAAAAGTTGTTCTTGTATTTGTTATAGCTTCCAAGCGCTGTAATCGTTCCTGTGCCAATGGAATACGAGAAAAACACTTGGGTGCCAGCATCAAGCCATACCTGTGGAAAAGCAATTTCTATCTCAATAGAACAGTTTGAAGTTACACACAATGTCGCAACCAAGAAATATGTAGGGCGATTTAAAGATCAAGACGTGTATACCACGTGAGGCGATATTCCACAAGATTGGCCAAGATCGTCAAAAGCCAAATTCCCGATATTAAGTAACCTTTTACAAGCATTTCGTAAACAACTCTCGGTTTTCAGTCTTCAGAAAAATTTGACAAACAGAGAATGCGAAATGACATAAACTTCGATCGTATTCAGACTGGTTTGATAATTATTTTTCTCTGTTAAAACTCGATGATTCTAAGGACTGCTGCATTATATAATTATTATTGGAATAGTATAGAGGGAAGTGAGATACAAAAGAAAATAAAAGAGATGATTGACTACCTTAATTTTCGAACTCGAAAAATGAGAACAATTTTCTTGAAATTAAAAAAGTAAGAAAACGTTTTCTTCTCAGCTTATTAGCACATGTCGTTTTGTGCGTGTTCGGCCGTGCGCATGATTGAGAGTTGGAACAAGCTTACGCTTATAATGTGGGGGGGGGGGAGGGGGGGTTGATTCACCGGGTACGGTAAAATAACAGGTTACCCGGCCATCACCAAGTCTTGACAGATCAGGAGTCAGATAAAACTTAATTCCATCGGCTGCTCCAGGTAGAGTGACACCACGGATTAAGACTGCTGTCAACAATATATATGGTGCTGTGGCAGTGAAATACACAACCTGAAAATTAACAAAACAGTGCTTCTTGAAAATGATCAGCAGCAGAAAGACAGACAGACAGAGGAAAGCAAAGACAGACGGGTGGACAGGACGGACGGAGGAACCGACCGACAAACGGAAAGATAGACAGTCAGAGAGACCATCAGATAGACGGACAGAAGGACAAAATACGACTGGACAGTCGGAAAGTCATACAGTCGAACAGACGGACAGACAGACAAACAGACGGACGGACTAACGGACAGACAGATAAGAAGAAAAACAGAGGGAAAGACGGAGATGAGAACAGACTAACGGACAGACAGACAGACGGACAGATGGACCGACGGACGGACGCACGAACAGATAGGCAGACAGACAGATGGACCGACGAACGGGCGCAAAGACAGACAGACGTACTGATGGGCTGACGCACGGACAGACTAAAACACAGAAAGAAAGAAGGACCGATAGAAGGACAGGTAGAAAGAGACATGTGTGTAGAAATGGGTTGAATGGAAACGATAGAGACATCGTGGGCCCAGGTGAACGGTTAGATAGATCGACAGCCAGAGGGCAAACACGTTAGCCTTTTTCATAAATTTACTTATAAAGCAAATTAGCCCTTACCTTTCCACTGGACTTAATTCCTTTGCAAACACACAGGTAGCAAACAATCCAAGCCAACAATAGGCACAAAGCTAGGTCCCAGTTCACTTGACCCGCTTCATCCAAGCCGCCAGAAAGTCGCAGAACTCTGTAGCTATTTCAAGAAAGAAACAACGAATTTCATAAACTAGGAAGACATTGAATGGCTAAGGAGCTAGCTAACAAGCCATGATACCCTAATTTTTTCTAATAATTGTGATTACCATTGATTCCACCAAAACGTTTTTATCACACTGTTAAACAGACAGGTAATGAAAACAAAGGACAAATAAACTTTGAGACACTGCCTTACGTTGATGAAACAAAAAAAATTGCGAGGTCAGTGGTTAACAACATGAAAATTATCATCTTCAGTTGATTATCCTCAAACATTTTCATAACAGCCTTTATGAAGCATGGAATTTATAAAAATAAAGTGTTCCTTAAATGGTATAAACATTACTTACTCCCAGTATTCCTGACTTGCTGAAACGCTGGTTATGGCCGAAGCATTTTGTTCTGAGATATTTAATTTTTCACCGCTCTTGACACAGTTTGGTGTGTTCCATTTATTTCCACAATGTGACCAAGGCAGCGAGGATTGGAACGAGGCAAACATGTAATAGAAGGCCCAGCCAAGAATCACGGTGTAATAAATGTTAACATACTGCATAACCAGCACCCCAGCGTAGCCAATACCTAGAGTCAAACCAATTTTAGTGACAAATCGATGATAATGACCATGACGATGATAATGACGACGAATAAATCCTGTTGGTTAAACTATAATTATTTAATGTCATTTGACGCCTTAGGAGAAAATTTTGGGGCCCTAATTAAACTTGTGCGACGGCCAATTTATCTTCGAAGTCCCTTTGTCACACACTTATCAGCCACTAGTCGAATATGATTTAACTCATACTGACAATATTTTATTTTACGAGGAATAAAGGACCATAAAATCACTTGATCAATCCCAACACACGGCTTCGTACTACAGTTGTTAGCCTTGGTGCCGAAAAGGGATGAGCATATCGGCCTGATTGGCCTGAACGGATATGTGACGCCAAAACGGGTATGGAGTTTGAGATTTTAATGCCCAAAATACAACACTAAAATAGCAGGGAAGTAGCATTCTCAAGGAAGGAGAAGATAAAGAAAAAGGGTTAATAAATGACGAACATGAAAAATATTTCCCTATCGACGGAACGTGACGAACTTTCAATAGATCTATTTTCTAACATTTGTTCGCCAAGAATTCTCACCCTGAAAAATTGGGCATATTTTCCACGCTGTAATGGCACCTTGACTTGTGTATTGTCCCAAACTTATTTCCAAAACTAAAGCAGGAACACCGGCCAGGATCAGACAGATCACATAGGGAATGAGGAAACAACCTAAAAAGTTGAAAGGATGCTATCAATTTCTGGGAAATGTAAACTTTACAGGTCTTATCTATTAGTCTTACATGCGATGGGGCTCGATGTTAGAGGCATTTGGTTAGGAAATCGCGTGTTCTTCCTAATTCTTAGAAAAAAAAAAGTTCCTTCCGATGCAATACTGTTTGTCCATTAAAATGGCGGCACAGTAGCTATTCACTGCTAGTTCAAAAACGCACGCGAAGCACGTGATACTGGCGTCTTAACTTCCGCCATGAAGCTTGAATACAGTAGACTTCCGATTTGCAAATGAGAGGAATTTATAAATATACATTCCCCTGGAGCGTATATGCTGAGACCCTACCTCTTAAATTAAAACCGCTTGTAATGTCAGGCAAGCGAATGACAACTTACTCAATTAAGGTTCTCCAGCTATTCAAGCTCATAGAGTGATTTAGCAAGAGGACGGGAACGTCATTTCAGAACGGGAAAGCGCGCAGATAGTCTGGACACGACTCTTTTACGACTTCTGGTGTTAGCGTTGCCGTTCTCCCCAACAAGTTCAGGACGTCATTTCGCTGGTTTTCCCGTCTCGATCAAAACGCCTGGGATTTGCGTAAATTTTGCGCTTATAAACGAGATAATGCTGTTTGGAATTATTTCAGGAATTATTTCATAACTCATTTCCAGGATAACCAGGTCCCTTCCTTTGGTTTATTAATCGGTGTATTTTGGGAAAATTTACCGCTTCATTTATGCTGATTCCCGAAAGGAGACAAAATCGTTGGCAAGCGCCGGATCCAAGATTTTAGAGCTCAGTACACTTGTAATTGAGCATGGCTTAAAACAGCGAAAGGGTTGTTCTTTGATACGTTTCTTTAGTCTTGTATGAAAACTCTAAGAATGGGACGCTGTTAATTTTATTATGAATCAATTCATCAATAAATTAAACTTGCTTCATGTTGAAGTTTATCAAAATGAAATATCACGGAGTTTACCTACTGTATTATTCAGTGTTATTTGTTTTTATTGTCGTTTTTACCGTGATTGAAAACTCTTCTGCGAATTGAAGTCAGAGCTGAAAAAAATTGAGAATAGCTCAGGTATGCACTTTTTTTCTGTTTGAAATTTTTGATCAGCACCGGTGAAAACTAAGACAAGAAAGTCATGCTCTCGCTTCGAATCGAGTTGATTTTGGCACAGCTTTTTAAATCTATTTATTTGATTCAGTCTTGAACGACTTCATTCGTTTTAAAAAAAAAAATCAAACAAAAACAAAATAAATAAATAAGTAAAACAGGAACGAAGTCCTATTCCTAAGTCAAACCGTTTCGTTGGTGACTATTTTGAGTTAATTTCATTCTTTCACGGATAAATAGGAACTCATCGTTAACCGACTCCATCGTTGGGTCGCTTGGTTTCTACATGGTTTCACCATAACTCCTGGTGATTTCGTTCAAAATGCATTTCAACTTTAAGAAGGTGGTGCTTAAAAGAGATGTACTGTCATAATAAGGAGAAAAACGACGACGATTTCTAAATTATCCTTTACAAAATTATAAAGAAAAACGAGAAGTGAAGAAATCTAGTAGCACGAAACGTAATGACAGCGACACAAATCATAGGAAAAAAACTATTTTAGTGGGTTAAAAATTTGATAGATGAATCAGCAGACTCGAGACTAAACTGGGATGGAATAGTTTCAAAGTTTAATCGCCCATGTGGATTCATATTAACAACTTACTTGCCGTATCTATAACTATCCTCGGTTTGCGCTTGTTACATAACTCTCAAAGAAGATAATTTCGTTGTCCTTCGAGTGGTCTCTAAAACCGAAAATTCAAAGGTGATGGTGATCTTTAAAAAACCTAGGTGAGGATTCTCGTTGCAACGACTGCTAAATCACTTTTCAACACAACGCGACGGTGTTCTCGACCCAGTTTCTTATCGACATTTTTGCTGAGCGCGCTGTTCTCAAATGACGTTCCCGTCCTCTTACTAGACCACCCTATTGTTACCCTATTCGCTCAAAAATAAAAACAGGTGAACCAGACTCACCTCCACCATTCTTGAAGCACAGGTAAGGAAACCGCCAAATGTTACCGAGTCCAATGGAAAATCCCATCAAAGCAAGGAGAAAGTCGACCTTCGAAGTCCATGTTTCTCTTTCATTGATGCCTTCAGCCATGTTGATTAGCGTATTTCGGTCAATTCAACCAAGTTGTTTTAAAGGAATCTAAGATCATAAGAGAATAGTGATAAATTTATAAAAAATTGAATATAGATATTAAGTAACACAATGTTCTTTAAGGCCGCTTGACATTTCAAAGTCACTACTACTCAAACGAATAATTAATTGGTTTATCGCGCGCAAAAGTGGATGGTGACTTTCTTAAACTTACTCAAATTGCACTCCCTCGACCCTTTTTTTTCTTCCTGTTCGAATGTTTTTACGCATGTCCTATAAATATATGTGAAATGAAGTCTTTTCTATATAACCATTCCGTTTGGGACGCTAGAAAACAAATCTTTTAGCTACATTTTGTGTTTGAAATTAAGGACCTCCATCCTTTGTGTAATTCAAAATGACTACGCACATGTTGTTTTTTTCAGGCGAAATCCGACGTCGATCTAAAAAATGCTGAAAATCTCGAAACTTCTCACTCCAAACGTGGCGCTAAAGCTCTCTATTGCCCTTAAAATTTCCCGCTTTTTCTATGCGCTGCGCCCAGTTCCAGTCACACATCAAGTTTTTCTGTTTCATCTTATTGAATCACCATTGACACTCTACTGTTTAGCTCATGTACATGCAGGTCCGCGCTTAGCAAATTTGTAAAATTGTATTAGATGCGAGTAGTAGACTTTAGCCGTCTTTCTTTCAGTAAAGTGTCGTTTGCTGTTCAGCAGCAAAGATCAATGCAAACTTTAATGATTCCTCGTCCTTGTCTTACAGAGGAGAGCCGAGAGAAGGCTGCAAAGTCTCGAGAGGCACATAATTTTTCAAAATAACCGAAACAGCCAAAAGGTCAAATCCACTTCGGTAGAAATGAAGGACACATAAGTGGTAATCGCTTGCTGATGATCTACGAAAGGGAGTGTTTGATTTTATCAGGGGAGAAAATATTCAAAATATGAAAGCTGCTTATAGTATCAAGCAATGATCAGGACTTTCCGAGCACTGTTGCGAACTTTTATTCGAGGTGAAAGTAGGCGAATTCTGTTCGGTTTTACGGAATTTGTAGAGTTAGATTCTTCGACAAGTTATGAGACCAACAATTCAGAAGAAGACAATTTAGTTTTCATTTTCTGCATGTTTACAGGCGTTGTAATGGTCATCACTCAATAATTAAGACAAGAAACACGAGCCTTTACCCTTCAAAATGCCCGCCACCTTACATTAGATATCCTAGGTGTTCTTTCATGAAACTTAGTGAGACTAGGAAGTTAATTTCCCTGCAGGCTGAGATGACTTAAGGCGATCATTGATCTTTTTGCCTGCGTTACGTTCTCGCTGTAGTAGATACCGTTGATAAAACGCACTTAGAGGACATCATATAGGTGCGCGTGAATACGGATTTTTTTCCTCAAACATTCACGATATCTCTCGAGAGTAACAGATGTTATCAACACGAGAACATTAATTCATATCCACATGCAGCCATTAAGCGTTATTTTTATCTAAGGATAAAGATATTGATTACATATCGTCTGACTCTAAAAACGTTTATGGCTTTTAAGGAGCACTGAATTCCGTATGAATTCAGAGATCACCTTTCGCTAAAAACTACTTCAACTTGCGAAAACATTTGTCACAAGTTCTCGTAACAATAAATGTCTTCCTCTTAAAAGATAATTGTGCTTAACCTTTGAAAGGGTCTTAACTTGAAATAAAAGCCTCTGTGAAAAGTAAACCCCCAAGTTGATAAACCTGGTTGCCATAACGACCTGGAGATCCTGACATGTGAAGAATAAAATAGCACGTCAAAGATGTCATGTTTGGAAAGAGGAAAAAACTCCTGCTATCCATCTATATTTTTATGATAAAATAACAAAGATAGAATTTCCTCTGGAACCAGATTATTGAGTATCCTCAAAGAAACTTCAGATTCCCAAGATATCACAAAATAACAAATAACTTGAAATTTCCACAATGATTTCCCTTAACAATCAGCCTAACACGTCCGGTAAACTCTCAAATTCTATGACTTTACAAGTGCTTTGATCGCCATATTTCGCGGAAATGCCTTAGATAGAGCAATTTACAGCGACTCGCTAGACTATCATCTGGAAACGACCGCATAAAAAACACAGGTCCTTTTACTAATTTTCCGCCCTAATAACATTATGGTTCACCCAAATTTCTCGTAGACTTAATACTCTACGTTTTTGGGAAATGTTATCGGGAACATGATTTGCAATGATTCGCCAGACGACCGTCAAGTTATCTGAGTAGGTGCGACCGACTTCTCGCTGAGAACCACAGTCTTTTCACCAATCTTCTGCTATTTTTGCATCTTTCAAAAGTATTTCCGAATGTAACAGCCCAATTTAACTACCTCAAGACGCTTACCTTTCAATTACACTGAAAACGCAGAACGGTAGTCTAAGATGGCCAATGTGGACAAGACAATTAAGATCAAAATGTAACTTGAGTGGAGTAAGCGGGCAAAGGTTCGTAATTTTACTCTCCGCCTGCGAATCAAGGTAACTCACATAACGTATTTAAATACAAGTTGTGTTAGTTCCGGCTTCTGCTCAACAACATTTCGTCAACAGCCGAGCCGACGGAGTGAGGTGTATAAAAACTGCGAAAACACTTCCAAATGGGACACAATCAGGACACGCAGCTCGCTTCCCGCTGGCGATGCTAGCCATTGAAAGAAAATTTAAAAAAAAATAGATAAAAAAACCAAAACTGTGTGAGTGGTTTACATGCAATCAGTCGATTTAGTCTGCATCGCATTTAAAAATCACCTCTAGTGTTTCAACAAATATACTGCAAGCGATTCATGTTGATCTTCAATGTCCTAAAGTAAAATTTTTGGCGGCGAATCAACGCTAGATGAATTTAATTTGTGATTTAAAGTGTATTGTGTCCATGTTAAAATATACAGCTATAATAAGTTCGAGGGACGGAAGGAGGGTAGCGGCCATTGAAATGTAAAGGAAAACTCATAAGAAATGTCTGAAGAATCTCCGTTGGAAACCAGCTGATTGAGTGGGATTAGGAAGTTATGAATACTTGTTAGTTGATAATATGACATGAGCGTCAGCTTCCCTTTCTTTTCAAATTGGAGAGGTTACACTCCATCTTGTATCCTAAGCGCGAGTCGTTACATGGTTGACCGATCTGTTCTTCCATTGGCAACAAATATTGAGCTCTATTATGGCAAACGGGAATCATGTTCGGCGTTATTAAATCATGGTTTATTCATTTTCTATTGTTTTTCATCAGCCTATTCAAAGTTAAGCACTGAATCGTGGCTGGTATCACAGAGAAGTTGAGTACGAAATTGGGGAAGCAAGTTCAAAATTACTTCCTCTGGAAATGGATATTCACAGAAAAAAAGTTGAAATCGCTATAATCTGTCATTAGTGACTCTTGTTTGAATGAAAATTTGATTCATAACATAATACACGCTAGTTTTTATCAAGAGACAAATCATCATTTATCACCTAAGGGAGGGGGAGGAAAGGATTTTGGTTGTGTCACGATCGATTTTATCTGATCCCCGTTACCGCTCTGTTAAATCTTAGGACCCTTAACAAAGCTGTCAAACAAAGATGGGCTGTCGAAGGATACTAACAGCGTGATTTCGACGTTTTCCCTGACAAATGGGAAAAAAAAATCATATGACAAATCAAGGATCGCATACGAAAACAATCGTCTCGGTTTTCCCGCCTCTTGGGGGCGCTGCAGCTCGTCAAAGTGAATGAGCGTGAATCTTAACAACGTTCCCTGTTTGCCAAGAATCATAGCTTCTAGGTTTGCCGACTTAAAAACAGTTGAGGAGTTTGTAGAGGATCGAGTAAACGAAATTAAGACTAAAAGAGGAGATTTTCCCTTAGCAGCTGAAAGCATACGTAAGTGAAATATTGATTACTTTGCTCGTGCGATTTTTATTTACATGTTGTGAGGATAAACGTTACGCTTTCACCAACCATGACATAATCGACGCACGACCGATCAAGTATGAAATAGCGTTTGCAGATGCATTTTGTTGCCAAGTTCCCGTCTACTTCAGTCTCCAGTTTCAAAACTTGCAAGTTGTTTTTTTTCCATTCCATCCCGATTGAGAGACCTTTTGTAGTAACAAGATATGCTAAACAATAATAGATTCCGACTGAAAACAATGGAACTTTTACTCTTAAAAGCGACGAAATTACAGTATTACTTATACTTCGATTCCCAATTTTTTTTGCCTCTCTGAATAAAGCATGGGACTTGAAATATCTCTAATCACTTATAACCTTGCTTTTTATTCCGAGTATACTTTTCGAGTAGCACGCGATCATTTAGCAAACCCAACGCAATTTTATCAAAAGGAACCCTTTGGACCTCTTGAGTATGTATTCATGTACTTTGAAAAGCGAACCTCAGGCATGATCTGCGATTTTCATCTTAAATCTTGATTTCTGAGGAAAATCTGAATATAATTTTTCATTTCGTTTTACATTTGCAAAAATTGATTTAAATTTCCTTGTTTCATCAAGGATGGTTAAAATACACTGGAGACAAATTCAGTCAGAACATGTCTAACCTCCTGGCTTTCTTCAAGTTCATAAAAAACACCCTTAATTCGTGAAAGATTGCCGAGATTCAGTAAGAGAAGAGTTAACATGAAAGTTCAACTGAAGCAAGACCTCGCAAAAGTAAGCCTGCCTTGTTAGCTCATACTGAATCATGAGCTGATAAATATCGCGCTATAGAAATACTTCATAACTATTATTAAGCCTGTCCACGGTTAAAACTCTTCGTTAGGTGACGTACTGTCTAAACTGTTCTTGCCTCGCTTTCGTCCTAAGACCGCAAATTGTCGATAGCGATATTTAAAATCTCGATTTAGCATATTCCATAGATAAAATTTATGATTGCACGACTTGATGGTGCTGCTATACACATATAGAAAGGCTATTTAAAGGATTTTTTAAACTTTTTGTAAATTTTATCGCAAACTAGCCCCCGAAGCACTTCTATTTACTATGTATCTGTCTGTCGAGCCGGTAATTTGAGTGAAGTAATTGAAGAAGTACAAACACGACTCTTTTTAAAGTATATTTGCAACTTTTAGTGAATGTTATCGCAACTTAGCCCCAGACTACAACTATGTACCATGTATTGTGCCACGATCAAAATCTGCCGCCTCCACTACCCTCTAAAAACACTCTCCGCGAACTGAATGTTGTTAGCTTTTCTCGATTTGGATATGCATGTAAAAGAGCACTTCGTGATTAGCCGTCATGACTACTCATGCTTGTCATGACTTTACGTGCAATACGGTACATTTCAGCAACTGGAATGAATTCTAGGAAAATTGAGAGATTGAAATTGTTATTTCGTCGGTCGCTACCTTCCACGAGGTGTCTTTCATCGGAAAGGGATAGAATTTGATAATTTTTTTGCGGAGATTTCATCACAAACAAGACTGCCCTTGTGTGAAAAAGGTAGAGGACGACTTTCCAATTAAGCAAACAGAAAACCGATGGCTAAAGGTTGTCTAAGTGTGTTCTTCGAAATTCTTGTAGAACTTCTCCTAACAGGAGATAGTCTTTTAACATTCATGTGAATATTGCAGATGAGATTGAGGTTAACATGTAATTTCGTCAGTCACTACTTTCCACGAGGTGTCTTTAAGACATCTCACCGGAAAGGGATAGTATTTGATAACGTTTTTGCGGAGATTTTATCATAAACAAGACTGCCCTTGTGTGAAAAAGCTAGAGGACGACTTTCAAATTAAGCAAACAAAAAACCGATGGCTAAAGCTGGTCGAAATGTGTTCCCTAAATTCTTTCAGAACTACTTTTAAAACGAATCAGTCCTTTAACATTCATATGGAAATTGCAGATGAGATTGAAGTAATTATTTTAAGCGGTCGCTACCTTCCACGAGGTGTTTTTTAGACATCTCACCGCAAACGGATGGAATTTGATAACAGAGTGCAACTGACAGCGGGGCGCGAGAATTGAGATGACTGAATGCATTGAATATCACCCTCTGTTTGTGAAGCAGTTCTGAATCTATTCAATAACTCTGTGAACGGTTGGTCATCCTTTTGTCTTGTATTTTTAGTCAACTCTATCATCTAGAAAAGTAGCCGGGAATGGCAAAAATTGTAAACATTATTTTTATATTCTTCAAAGACAGATTTTCTTCAAATTGGTGGAAGTTAATACAAATCACTCAATGTAATAATGCTAAGTCCTGCAAATAGGCAGTTTTTTGATGTTGACGATATTTATTTTAGTTTTTGATGGATGTCTAGTAGCAAAGTATTTGATACTATAGAGAGTTCATCGATTATTATCAGTTTTAAATCTGACAGTGCCATTCTCATTTGTGTTTTCTTTTTGTCTGACATTGGTGTTATATTGTCACCTGATTCTTTAGGGATTGCATACCAAGAGTTAAAAAACAGTTACAGGATAACTGACCAATAATTACATAAAAACTTAGGCAAATGCAAGCACAAAAAACAAAGTTTATTTCCAACAGAAAGCCCGGGTGAACGCAAATATGCGTCTAGTTATATTTCCATGAAGCACGCGCCTTACGTCACACCAGTGCACTGTTGAGATATAATACACGCAATCTACGTCATCGGTACGAGCGCGCGCAATTCGCAATACATTTTATAAAAGAAATAAAAAACTTGTTCCTCGAGCATTGTTGAGTAATATAGGCACTTGGGAATTTTTAAGAACACTTGAGAAGTGCGAGAAGTACTCACCCTCGGCTCGTGATTGTCCGCACCTTTCTCGTGTTCTTAAAAATTTTCGCGTGCTCATAGAACTCAACGATGCACTCGGCGCGTGCAATGAGCCAATCAGAATCCCTGTTAGGATGGTTCAAATAATCTGATTAGCTATACAAGACTGAAGCTGTCAAAAATGACAAACCATCAAAGCTCAAAAACCGTCAAAGTTCACGTTCTGCTATATATAGTTTGCAAACTTAACTAGTTCGGCAGGTCGAATTTCACACTTTTGCTTGAAGTTTTTTAGTCTCTAATACAGAAACTGAAAGTGCAATGTTCACTGAACTTCGGCCGAATTTTGGCTCATAAAAACACGCAAGTTTTTTCACAAAACAATTAGTTCAAGGCGAGATTTTTATGAATAACCGACAGCCGAATTCACCGGAACATGAAGATCGCTCGAGGATGACAGCGCCGTAAAACTCGGCTACTGTGACTGATGAGGCCTTCCACTGAACGCATCGGAAAGGATATCAGAGCAAGCTCTAATTTTTTCACTCGAAGGGCGGCCGATGTAGTTTATGAGGGTTACTTCACTGCGATGACCAGATATCGCCATGATGAGCCAGCCACGATGGGCATCAGCATGATCGCAATCGTTCTGACATTGTCATGATTTGTATGAATTTCAACATTTATGTCGGTTTGGCATTTATTACTTTAAATTGTAGTAAAACTGAAACTTTATGTATACTTATTATACAGTGAAAATACCTTACTATGATACAGAATAAAGACAAACTAATTTAAACAAATATATAAATTCATGCGAAATAGAATGTCGATTCCGCTCTCCGATGCTCAACGACTGAGCCACAGAGACTATGATGAGCAGGTCCATTACGAAATTCACATATGACACTCGTCTGGCATACTGCTAGGATCCGCGATGTAAAGATCGAGAGCGTCATGTTTTGTAAATAGAATAAGAAAGATAGTAAGTATTAAGCTCGGTAAAAATAGAAAAAGACGTTTCCTGTCTTGCCACGAGCGCGGGACAAAGAAAAAATTCTGAGTCCCATTAGGAACTGAACTTTCGACATTCGGATTCCGCGTTCCGATGCACCACCACTAAGCCATAGAGAGTCTGTCTTCCTTATTCCTGATATTTTTTTCGTCCCCTGATTTTCTAGAAACTTTAGAACTTGCATAACAATAGTCTGACACAAAATCGTAATTCATAAACTGACCGTATTGATGACAAACGTGCTTCCATTATCACAAATTAATCTTGTTTTTGACTACATTTATCATCCGTGTCAGACCTTATTCAACGAGATAAAGACATGCAACCTGTGCCTCAAGGCAAAATGGAAAATATTCTTCATCATATGCAAACTGGGCGCGGGCGCCTTAACACAAATTAAACGAACTGACGGGTGTGCCGGCATGCAAGCAAGTATCTGATAACACATTTTCGAACGACCAGCCTCTAACGGGAACCTCAGTCGGTCAGTGTTTCATGCATCTGTGGTGCAATTTTGTGATAATTATTTAGCTCCACGAGTGTAAAACACTCTGCGAATCAAAGGTAAGGTTTTTACGTATGTTATAAGAGATGTATTTTTAAAACAAAATAGTTTAGGCTTGATTATCACGCGTTAAACAACGAATACGAAGACATTTCGTTAGTCAAATTGAAAACATAGCGTAGCATTGTAAAAATACGTATATTCACTCTCGTGATGATGGCATTATGGGGGCACCGAAGCATGTAAAAAGACAAAGGAACTTTTTTTGATATTTTTCAATTACAGTACTATTTTAAAAAGTAATTAAAAATTCAGTTTTTCATCGAGAGGTTGCACAGAGGTGGTTTTTGATGAAGAATTGTGCGTTTTTTAAAACTACTTTTTTTTTGTAAGTATTTTATATGTTTTGTTATATTAACGCAAATTTTAAGGGACTGATTTATAGGCCAATTTACTGTTTATTTGGCTTGACAAAAGAAAGTTGTAGTAGAGGGGTTAAGCTGGAGTAGTTTAAAGTAAGATTATGCGCTGGTTCCCCCATAATGCTATTATCACATAATAAGAAATATTTTCCTCTCAAAAGATAATTGTGCTTAAGCTTAGCAAGGGTCTTACGTGAAATAAAAGCCTTTGTGAAAAGTAAAGCTTTTATGTTGATAAACATGGTTACCATGACGACCTGGAGATCTTCACATATGAAGATAAAAATAGCACTCTAGTTGCGCGAGGTAAAGGTATCATGTTTTAAAAACAGGGAAAACCACCTGTTATTCATCGATATTTATGTGATAAAATGGCAAGGATAGAATTTCCTCTGGAACCAGATTATTGAGTCTCCTAAAAGAAACTTCAGATTCCCAAGATATCACAAAATAACAAATGAATTAAAATTTTCATAATTATTTCCCTCGGTAAGAAAATTAACCCAACACGCCGGTAAAATCTCAAATTGCACAGCTTTTACAAGAGATTTGATCTCCACGTTTTGCGGAAATGTTCTAGATAGAGCAATTTACAGCGACTCGCTAGACTACCACCTAGAAGCGACCACACAATAAAAACACAGGTCCTTTTACCAATTTTCTGCCCTAGTAACATTATGGTTCACCTGGCCGGCTTAATCAGCCTAACAATTCAGAGTAACTTTTCAAATTTATTGTAAACTTAATAGCCTAAGTTTTCGGAAATGTTAAAGTCGTGAACATGACTAGCAATGATTCGCCAGACGACCGTCAGGTTGTCTAAGTAGGTGCGACCGACTGCTTGATGAGAACCCCGATCTTTTCACCAGTTTACTACTATTTTCTTCGCATCTTTCAAAAGTATTTTGGAATGCAACATTTAACAGCCAATAAAACTACCTCACGACGCTTACCTTTAAATTCCTTTGAAAACGCAGAACAGTAGTTTAAGATGGCCAATAAAAGAGGAATAATGTGGGCAAGACAACTAAGATCAAAATGTAACTTGAGTATGTCTAGAGTAAGCTGGCAAAGGTCAGTAATTTTACTCTCCCGCTTGCAAAACAAAGTAACTCACGCGACGTTTTTAAATACAATTCGTTTTAGTTCCGATTTCTGCTAAACGACATTTAGTCAAAAGCCGGGTTGATGGAGATAAGTGTATGGAAACTGCTGAAAATAACAAAAATATAGTGTATCTCTTTTTTCATATTCATCGAATGTTTATCTTCAATACCCTTGTCTAAAGTTACTAGCGGCGAATGATGTTCGACACTGGATGAATTTAATTCATTGAGTGATTAACGATATATTGTGTCCATGTTAAAAAAAAAAAAAAAAAAAAAAAAGCTAGAATGATTTTGAAGGAAGGATGGAGGGGTGCGGACACAGAAATTGAAGGAAAATTTATCAGAAATGTCAGAAGAATCTTCGTCAGAAACCAGCCGGTGGAGTGGAATTGGGACGGTTAATTATAAAATTAGCGTCAGCTTTGTATTCATCCCTTTCCATGTCATAGAGGTCACAATTCATTTTGTATCATACGCGTGAGTCTTTACATAACTGACCGATCTGTTCTTCCATAGGCAACAAATATTGAGTTTTATTATCCAACTGCAATAAGTAGAGTACAAATAACGCGCGAATGGAGTAGAAACATCCTGCGATATTGTATAGTTATTTGGAAAGTTGGTTATTTTTACTCGTTTGCTTGTTTTTCAATCGTTGTTTGTATTTTGACTCGCCCTGCGGGCCCGTCAAAATACGGCAAAACTCGCAAAAATACTCAGGGATACTCTACATGTCTAAGATGTTATAATAATACGGCAAACGAAAGTTTTTCGCACGGCGAATCATGTTGGGAAATAACAATAATTTGTCATTGTTGGCTCTTGTTTGAATGAAGATGTGATTCACAACATAATGCACATTTGTTTTATCTAAGAGATAAGTCATCGTTTATCGCCTGAAGGGAGGGCGGGCGGATTTTTGTTGGGTCAAGATAGGTTATACCTGAACCCATATGGGGCTTTGTTATCTCTTATGACACTCCTCATCGGCTGTTAAATGGCAGTCAATCTTCTAATGTCCCCTTCCATACTCCATTGCCGACGACCGATCCTCCCTCCGTTCCCCCTAGAAACTATGTCATCATCCCTCGAAATCCTCCTCCTCCTCTTTTCAAAGTATGTTTTCACAATCAAAACACGCCGACTCCCCCACCCCTTAAAAACGCCCCCTGCTTGCTGAATGTTGTTGTTTTTCTCGATTAGGATTGTAATGTAAAAATAGCACTTCGTGAGTAGCCGTCATTAGCAACTTCCCCGCCTTGTTATGTTATGATTTCCTTGTCATTGTACGGGTGTCTGATACACAAGATAATTAATTTAAAACTTTCCATTAGCAACCTGAAGAGATCATGACTTAACGCGCAATAATAAGGTAAAGTTGTAAAGCGGAAAGCCGTTTGACCCTTTTAAGAGCGCCCGTATTTCAAAGTTAGGTAGGCCTTAGAGAGAAACGATCCACTGCATACTTCGTTTGGCTGAATATAGATTTATTTTCGAGGAAACCGATGATAACTGAATTCCGCCATAATTTAAAGCTCAACTACCGCTTTTGAAGCTCAAAATTTCAGGCGGATCTGAACGGGTTACTTTTGACCTATTTTCAAACTAGTCGAAGTAGGTCGGATAAATTCAATTAGATTGTGTAAATAGGCGGTAAAGAATTACTCAACTTATTGTCATCACATGTTTTGATGTTGTTTTTCAAGATTTGGAACTTTTCATCAATCCAGGTTTTTTTTTCATTTTGTGACGCGACGTTCCGAGATCCGCCTGAAATTTTGAGCTTTAAAAGCGTCAGTTTGGCGGAATTCAGTTATTATCGATTTTCTCGAAAACAAATCGATATTCAGCCAAACGAACTATGCAGTGGTTTGTTTCACTCTAAGGCCTACCTAACCTTAGAATATGAGCCGAACTGTTTTTTTTGGCTGTTGCCACCATGTTATGAAAATGTTCGATTTTTGGCCACATTTGTTCTTAATTGTCATCAACTGAAAAAAATGTAGGAACAGTGGGTGATCTCTCTCTCGAGTGAGCTGAAATCTTTGTATCATATATCTAAAACAAAGCCGATAGATAACCTCACAATTCAAGCGAACTTTGTCAACAGTCTTTATAGAAATAGAACTGAGATACTACGAACGCCCTGATTGGTCAAAAACTGCATCAACTGAAGGTAATAATGAAGGCATGTGCATTATTAAAGATATAAATCGATATAAAGAGCGCGCGAGTGCATTGTTGAGTTATATAAGCACTTGGAAATTTTTAAGAACACAAGAGAAGTGCAGACAAGCACGAGCCGAAGGAGAGTGCTTCTCGCACTTCTCGAGTGTTCTTAAAAGTTCGTAAGTGCTCATATAACTCAACAATGCTCGAGGAACAAGTTTTTTTAAATTTCTTTTGTAAAAGGTATCGTGAATAGCGCGCGCTCGTACCGATGACGTAGGCTGCGTGCATTATATCTCAACAGTGCACTCGTGTGACGTAAACCGCATGCTTTATGGGAATATAATGGACTCGTTCTGACCAATCACGCCGCGCGCATTTCTTTGAACATTTTATTTTAAAAAATATTAAAAAACAGAGCTTTCAATAGAACTGAAATAAAATAGTATTTTGGAGGGTTGGTCTATTTTAAGCCACTTCACTTGGATGGTCCATCGTGGTCCGTGGACTGGGGGTCAGTGTTTTGTCCATCATCCTTTACATGAAATGGCGTGGTGATCCAAGAGTGTGTTTCAACAAAAATTATGGAGTTTGAAGATATATAACTCTGTTATCTCTATATCTCCAGCTGAGTTTTCCATACATCATAAAAGATTATCCTTTTTTAACATCTGTAAGATTTGTTACAAAAAATGATTTCAAGTACAAGGTTGTATATATTTCAACAAAGAAGAAAGTGCATCGGCGTATTTATGAGGCCTTCTGTTCAATTTTCTCGTTCTCTGTTGTCAACGGAAGAATCTGATTTCCTTTAAAATCTTCAAGTTCAGTTTCTTCCCTGTCCTCCTCAATCTCAGGTATAATCAACTTGTTCAAACGCTGTGAAAAAAAGGAAGTCTATCAGTATTAACAGAACTTTCACCTGTCCTATTCTAAGATTTTCACCACGATTCACAAAAATACCTGGCCTTGCGCCGGTTAGTGACTATCAACCAAGAGCACATAAACAAGAGAATATTGACTGATATCAGTTGATATTCTCTTGCAATCAACTGATAGTAGCTTAACTGCTGTGTAGACGATAAGCCCATACCATCCAATGGTCATTAATACTGTTTTCTTTTAGACGATATCAGAACCGAAAGCGCGATAATTTTGATAAAGAGATTGAAAGCAAACTGATTAAATAAATGCCTGGAATAAAAATTTGAAGTTTTTAAAGAAAGTACGTGATCACTTTTATATCGATTGACCTAATGTAAGGTCTAGAACACTCAATGTTCGTCGAGTTCTTTTGTGTTTTGATGGACCGAGACGAAGCAGCAAGATAGGCCCATATTGCCCGCTCGGATAGCCAATCAGAACACAAGATTCGCTTCATTTTGCCCACGGGCACAACTAACTATTTAATTAAAAAAAAAGTTATCGAAGGACGAGCTCCACGCATCACGTAATGCTCGTGCGTGTGTCCTTGGATTTATAAATTGAAAATAATGAAACGAATTCGAGAGTGTGTCTGTTTTCGAATGTCTTGGTTGCTGTTCGATTGGAGCTTCACTGATCGCTGCTTCAAAATGAGCGAAGCAAGTTTTTAGAGGAAGGTGCTCTTAGTGTGTTTGCCCCTTTGCACACTGCAAAACAATTTCTGGGTAGGACGCTATGATTAACGAATCATGTACCTCTCTGATTGTTCCTGTGGTCTTGATGAGTTTGTAAATCATCACAGCCGGAATGCAGGTCAATGACGATGCCGTCAACAACCAACCAATAGCTTGGCCCCACGCGGGATAAACGTACTGACCGTAAGTCAATGGCTTATATGTTGCCAGGTTAAAGATGAAGATGAACTGCATATTAAAATCAATGCATAATCATTTAAAGTATTTATAAGAAACGGACACGTTTTTTCATTTAGTTACCACCAGCCCACATGGTATCTTCAGCACGTGCACTCTCTAACGCCAAGGAACTTTGCGACACAAACTTAATGGCCGATTGCTACCGGAGATTACTCCTATTTCAAAAGCAGGCAGGGACTGGACAGGGTAATGTCTATAACAAGTGACCCCCCTCCCACTGAATTTTAGTAGCTTTCTCTGAGAGTCTGAAAGTGCCTATTTACACTTCTGTATGGAGAGAGGCCAGGTGCCTTGTTAGGAACACACCAGGGGTCCTCTTCGACTATTCACATGCCTAGTTGTAGGTTAACGATCAGGGCGCTAACAATTAAAATACGACAGTTCATAAAGCTAAAATGTTTAGGGAGTTGTGCATCCTAGGCACGTCTATAAAATACGTCCTTCTTCTGTGGAAGAAAGTAAGTAACCCTGTAAAGACTATTAACTACAATGAACAAATCAGTTCTCACAATATACATAATCGCTCTCTACGTGTCGCAAATTTTTCATCGCTTTTGTTCGAGGAATGTTTTCTTTACATTCCTTGACAATGCTTTTAGATAAGTTAAAGCTTGGAAATAAAGATACGGCAGCTTAAGGCCTCAATCCAATCACCAATTTAATCAACATGATACTGAAGGACACCTTCAAGCATTTTTTGCATTTTGATTCACCTGTTTAGTATGTTTATTAAATACCAGAAACTTACCGAACAAAACATTGGCGCTAGAAAACACCAACACCAACCAATCCATGGATTGATGCGAAATCCTAGCATGATTTCCATTTTGTCATAAAAACGACGGCGACCTGTGTATAGTTTGACACATTTCTTCAAAGTTTCGTGTTGGAGTATAAATACAAAATGAACGTTACGCTGCACGCAATTTCCCTGTTGACCACTGCCCAGAGTTATTTTTGACATTTATTCAGTGTTAGTTAAGACTTGCTCCGCAAATAATTGCTAGGAGTTTCTATGGTTAAGGGTCTACATGATTGTTTTAGAGGAAGACTCTAAGGTAAAAACTGTGCTATCATTTCAAGGCACTTCTACCCGTGATGACGTGATGAAGCACAAAATAAACGCAGCCTGTCTTTAAGCCTATTCTTAGCCCCTCCCTCTCCCCCCTCCCCCATGGGACACTAGTGTATTCCAGGTAACCCTCAGCATGTTGTGACGCTCCCCTTACAATCTTTCGGTGTTTCTTTTATGCTCTTGGATTTACATGAGGTACTGTGAGGCAGGAGTGTGACGCGGGGCAAAACTTTGCCCGCCGTTCATGGCGCATGCTCAGACCATTCTGAGGAGGGTGGTGGAACACTTACCATAAGACCAACAAAGCTTCTACTCTATATAACAAACCGATTCGAATTTTAAAGAAAAAAAAATATTAGTCATTACTCAAACGTTGGATTGTTTCTTACCATATAGCCATCCCATAGCCACACATTCACAGATGACCACCAACAATAGTACTGATCCGCTTCCAGAGTAGAAATCAAACAACTGGAAAACGTACATTCCTCCCTGGCAAAAGGTTTTCATTCATGATTTGTAAATAGAATAAAAAAGAAGGTAAGTTTTAAGCTCGGTAAAGAAATAGAGAAACATGTTTTTCGTCATGTCACGAGCGTGGAACAAAGTTAATATGCTGGGTCCCCATTAGCTTTTATTTGGTTACTATACAGTGAGGATATCTTTCTACAGTAGTACATGGACTTGTGTGGAGGACCTGAATTTTTCAGGCCAAGTGGACAAAGGTGAAAAGGGACTGGGGTGAGACAAAAATTAGTATATTTTTGGAAGTAACTCCCTGAGTGAGATTATTTCTTGCTCTGAGGATTACCTTCCTTAGCCATAAATTATAAACTCCAGCCACCAGTTTAAAGATTAATCTATTTTACATGCACACTGGTAAGCTGTAGGGGGCAGTAAACGGTGTCCACAAGCTTAAGAGGCGTGATTAATTAAGGTCACGGCCAAAAATGTGACGCGTGAATTTTACGGAAAAGCGGCTGTGATTTGTTCATTCATAGCGTGATGCGTGATTTGCCTCTAGAAATATACGTTACCCGCGCATTTTTTCTTTCATTTCATGGAAACCTCTAGATTTCCCTGATGTACACATGAAAATAGATTTGAAGTTTTTCCTTTGATATATGTGAAGCGTGAATTTTTCGAAAATTACTGCGCCTAACATAATCAGGACGCACTCTTTGTAACCCTCACGGTATACGCTAACTTTCAACAGCTAAGCAATCATGAGTGTCGATATACCTCAGTAACCATAGCTAGCCCAAGGAGGAACCAGATCACACAGACAAAAGCGGTAAACATTTCTTTGCGGTAGCCGCGCCTCAGGTAGTGAGGATACAAATCCACAACGGCGGTCACAACACCCTCGATACCTACAAACTTAATTTATGAAGAAATAAAAAAAAATCAGTGATTGCAGACTCCAGACGAAAAGTATGGGAAAAGATTATAAAGGAAACTGTGCGTGTAGCATTTGTAGTTTACAATGGTCGGTGTCCTTTAACGAGATTTTGACGTGAAATTGCTTCTGCATTATACATCCCTCAGATGAGCAAAAGGTTATCAGATTATCAGAGACCCTCCCTCCCGAACAGCTACTGCCCCCCTACCCCTCTTCTCCCCCTCTCTCTCGTCCCTTTCAATGTTGTTTTGCATGGTAACATTTGGATTTAAGGAAATTGAAAGGGGAAGAGGGTGAAAAAAGATTGTCATGGACGTTGTTCTGGAGAAGTATCCCAACCAATTATTTCTGGGAATGTTGGTCTATGAAAAAAAACTTTGACAATTTGAAACAGCCTCGGCAACCAGAGCAATGCATTTTTGTTCATATATATGCGTTCCAACAACTGTATATTCTTTTGTTCGTTTGACACAGGATTAATAAATTTTTCCACTAGGGAGAGCACGTTTGGCTGTTGAAAAATTTGTACAAAGGTTGTATATCTTGTAACAGGGTAAAAAGCAGTGAATGACTAGACTCTATTGAAGTTTGGAAGCACGTGCATGCAAGCTCTGTTGCATAAAAATCACGATTGTTTTATTTAACAATTTAAGGAAGAGTCTTCTCTTTATCTTTTCGTATTTTGACCATTTAAATTCACCAATCAGTATCAACAAAAGCCGTTTTCCTCAGGGGTTCCAGAAAAGAATTCCGTCGCATCATTCACAGTTTATACGTTGAATGCGACAGCTTTCAATCAGGGTTATCTCGAGATATACTCTAACAATCCCAGATTACAATCGAAACTAAAGTGATAATTGCTCTATGGGTTGATTAGTGACGTCTATACCTCACTGTCCAGGCCCAGTAAAATTACCATGAAGAAAAACAGAGCAGACCACAAAGGAGATAGAGGCATTTGAGCTACAGCTTCTGGATAAACTACAAAGGCCAGTCCAGGACCTAAAGGGTAAATAACAGAGGTTTAAAGCAATGTATATCACACGCGTGTCATTTTACACGTTGAGCGTATCATAAAGCACACCGCTAAAGAAAAGTTACCGTGTCTGTCTCTGTTCCTCTCATTAAACATACACATATCTGCAAATTTGTGACACGCTCGGCTTAGCGTGTCATGACGTGCGTGTCATATTTTCTCGCATAAGCGCCACTCCTGAATAAACGCCCCCCTTAAATAAGTGTCGCATTTGGAACGAAAAAGTTGAAAGGCGCGCCCTTAAGGCCCTCGGTCACAGTACAGCGCTTATTCAAATCCTGAATCCTTTAACTTATCGTTAACTTTAACTTATCTCTGTTTCATATGCAGTCGAACATCTGGGGCGAACTGAATGCAAAAATCGTTTCAAATTCACAGATTTAGTTAGAACTAAGTTGAGCGAAGACACCCTGGTAATGCAATTGAAAAGTGCTGGAAGCCACAAATGGTGACAATCAAAAGACGCCGCCGTTTGTTTCTGTAAAATTTTCTATAAAATTACATTTGAAATGAAAAGAGAATATTTCATTGTCGTGTCCAATTTTTTAATAAGCGCTCCTTTAAATAAGCGTCGCATCGAAGGTGCGAAGAGTTAATTAAGTGTCGCGGAGCTTTTTTGAGTACATATACAAGTATAAAGTGCTGTACAGTTTACTTTGTAAAAATGTCAGACGATTTATGTCACATTTCGTCAAGTTTCCTTGGCAACTTTGTAAATATTGTTAACCTGGTTTAGCAACGTCCTCAACTGTCACTCCTTGATTTTTAGCCATAAAGCCCAACACAGAGAAGATGAGAAATCCGCCGTAGAAACTTGTTCCACTGTTACAGAGGGTAAATATGATGGAATCTCTACATTGAGGAAAAAAAACAGAATTCTGTCTCCGATCATAATTGAAAACAGTTTTTCCTTCATTTTCTCCAACGAAAGTTATGTAATTTATGGTTGTAAGGGGGAAGAGGTTGGAGGGGAGAATATTTGGCTCGACGCTATGAAGTACAGACTTATCTTAAAGAGCTCCGTGCGTCATGACCGAGAGCTGAGAACGCTTATGTTCGCAGGACGTATGGTCCTGCTTTTGCTAACGCGTATGGCTTTTATCATGAGGGATTTTTGTCAAAGAAAGGGCGCGCAGGGTTATAACGGTCATTTGATCAGTACAAGAGAATATTAACTGATATTCTCTTGATAAATGTATTCCTACAGGCTTGTCAAAATTCTCAGCGATACTATACACCAAAAGGTCTAAAAAGTTACTTATTATCCAACTGCTTATTTTTTCTGCTAAGTCTTTCTGTTCGTTTCTCATAAGGCGGGAAAAGCAAATCGGATAGAGAAGCGTAGCGCGCGCAGCCGACTGGTTAAACAGGTTTTTTATAGTACAAAATAACCAACTGTCCAAATAACCGTACAATATCGCAAGATATTTGTATTCTTTTCGCGCGTTATTTATACTCTTACTTTGTGCAGTTGGATAATAAGTACTATTACTGCCTTACCTGTAAAAGTTGTTCTTAAATTTGTTATAGCTCCCGAGTGCTGTCATGGTTCCCATGCCAATGGAATACGAGAAAAATACCTGGGTGCCAGCATCGAGCCAAACCTGGAAAGATATTTGATTTCAGTTTTCAAATTAAATTTTGAATAAGCTGTACAATTTGAAAACATAAAAACAAAATCTCACACAAATGTGAAATTTTTGGGCGAACCATATGAACGAACCATGGATCCTTAACTGTGATCGGGATCAAGATTTACATATAACCATGAAATAAAAAGTTTGAAGCTCAGAATGATTACGTCAAGAATGACTAAGTTGACTTAAGTAAGTTTGGCGATATTTCGCAAGATAGGATAGGTCGGAAGTCACAACTACAGGATAAGCCGAAACCAGTTACAGTTTTTAGCTGATCGTTAACAAAATTCCGTCGAAATAGGATGGACAGAAAATATTTCAGTTTTAGTTTCACAGCTCATGCCATTTTTTTGCATGTTCGGCCGCGTGCATAATTAATAGACAGAAGCCAGCTTCATCCTTTCACTCCCAAGATCTCATAAATAATTTTCCTTACTGTATGCCATAAAATTTTAATAACGTTTGTTCTGAGAACTTGGTATTGGATCATACGACTAATAATCCACTGATTGATATTTTGCTTTGTTTTCATCAATTGTCTGCTCGATTTGGTATTGATATTGTAAGGAGAAATTAGGTCTTGGTCATTCTTTGGAGCTAGTGGGTTAAGTTTAATGCAGAGGGAGGCCTGTTTCACTGGCCTCGTTAAAATAACAGCCTACCTGGCCATCACCAAGTCTTGACAAATCAGGGGTCAGATAAAATTTTATTCCATCGACGGCTCCCGGTAAAGTGACACCGCGGATCAAGATTGCGGTCAGCAGCAGATATGGAGCTGTAGCAGTGAAGTACACAACCTGCAAAAAATTAGACAAGTGTTTTTATAAGAATAAAAAATATCGCAGAAGATTAATCGAGAAATGTACTCCACAAGAATGATCAAGATACTGACAGCCATAACCAAAGAGATCTAAATTATAAAGATAGATTACAACTAAACGTGGATTGAGTGTCAAAGGTAAAAAGAAAGTACGTGCCTAGCTAAAAACACCGATGACCAGAAGGGCAGGCAAAGAAACAAAAAGAACGACAGACTGACAGATTGACAGACTAATAGACTAATAGACTAATAGATTGACAGACTGACAGACAGACTGACAGACGAACGATGTACAGACAGATCTTTAGACAAATCGCAGCACTCCGACAGACAGACAGGTAGACTAGTCGATGATCGACAGACGAAAATTAAAAGTCTTAAGCCCTTTTGATTAATGAGCAACTTAAAAAGAAAAAGAACAATTACCTTCCCACTAGACTTGACTCCTTTGCATACACACAAATAACAAACGATCCAAGCCAACAGCAGGCACAAAGCTAGGTCCCAGTTCACTTGCCCCGGTTCACCCAAGCCACCAGAAACTCGCAGAACTCTGTAGCTATTTTGATGAAGAAACAATGACATTAATAAAATAGCGAAACATAACTAGTGAATTGTTTATCTAAATTTTAAAAGTGGAAGTGGAAGTTTTGTATGAAGGGAAACTCCCTCTCCTGTGCTTCAAAGTGTATACACGTGTCATAAGAGTACAAACACGGTTGCGCAATTGCACTGGACTGAAAGCGTATACAAACCATGTTTTACATAACTATTGCGGCGTTTAGATGAATTTCACATATTCGGTTTATATAATAGCCGTCAAGAAATATAGAATAAATTAGAATTCAGTGTTCCTCGACTGATACAAACATCACTCACTCCCAGTATTCCTGACTTGCTGAAACACCTGCGATAGCGGAGGTATTTTGTAAGGAGCTGTTTCGTTTTACACTGCCGTCTACACAATTTACTGTGTTCCATTCATTTCCACAATGTGACCACGGCAGCTTGGATTGGAACGAGGCAAACATGTAATAAAAGGCCCAGCCAAGAATCACGGTATAATAAATGTTAATGTATTGCATAACCAGGACCCCAGCGTAGCCAATACCTGGAGAGCAAACAATTTAATTGATAAATGCATCCTCACTGGTAGATGGTAAACACATACTCAAATTTCCTGCGAGTTTTGAGTTCTCCGCAATGATAAGACCTTCAAAATAACCTAAGCCGCTAACAAGACATCCAGACGTCGAAATCTTCTCTTGGCAGAGGAAAATTACCGCAAACAGACAAAAGGCGTCGCAAAATGGGTGGAAATGGACTCAGTTAATCGCAATATTAAAGCCTGATGAAAACTTCTGCATGCCTAAATTTCTGTAGTTTCTTTAAAAAATTTCACTCAGCCTGAATGTGGCGTAATTCATGCTACATTTGAAGTCAAACTTATTCAACGGGGAACAAAGAATCCACTAAACATTGGTCTAATGTCCCAATCTGGCTTCATAGCTTCTTTTATAGCAAAATCACATCAACAAATCGACAGAACGATATTTTCAGTCACTTTTGACTTTCAGCTTGAAGGTGACGAACGGCAAGATAACAGCTAAATGAAACAGAAAAGCATAAAATAAACCATTCTAAACAAAGGAAGAATTAAGTTGTGTAAGAATAAAGAGAATAAATAAAGATCGAAACGGAATGATAATGACGAGCTTCGTCGAAAGTTTTCAGGATCCACAAAGCGTGACGTAGCTACGTAAAGAACTGCCTTTTAAGTAACTTCTTTAAACTGATGTGTTTTACAACTCCGTGACATTTCGTGGCGCGCGAGAGTGGACAGAGAAAGAACGTGAATCAGAATGCCGGATGAGGAGTGAGGTTTTGAGGACTTCTTACCTTGAAATATTGGACATATTTTCCAGGCTGTGATTCCACCTTGACTTGTGTACTGTCCCAAACCAATTTCCATGACCAAAACAGGGACACCAGCCACGATCAGACAAATCAAATAGGGAATGAGAAAACACCCTAGGACGTTGAGAAATACCGTAAAAATTAAAAGACATGATTTACAACGGTCATCTTTCTTGGGCTTAATATACGACTGGGCGTTATATTGGAGAGAAATTTGAATAAAAAAATTATGCGCTTCATCTATTCATAAGCAATAGCCTTAAAAAACTTTACCAAAATAGTTCAAGGGACAAGAAGAATAATAATGCCTTTTTAGATTGTTCCTACTTTCCGAGAGTATAAAACAGGCCTGGGGTAAAGATCAGTACCCATGAAGCAGTCCCCAGGAGTTTTAGAAACACATTCTCTTCAAACACAAGTCCTCGAAATGAAAAACAAGTATAACGCGCCAGGTGGCCCGTGACCCACTTAAACAAATCTTATCCCGGTTTCGTAAGACTGAGGCGGCTGGGGTAAGCACCATGCAAACCTAATGAACAGGATGCTAAAGTAGCCCATCGCCGGATTAACCCCCCCTTCCTCGGTCGAAATTCTATATCCAACGTTCACCTACCGAGAGACTGAGAAAATTGTCTCAATTTGCGTCTGGCGTCCTCTTTCCCGCTGATTCTAGCCCCATAAGTTACAAAGACTCAGTATTCTTACTACTCTCACAGAAACAATAACAGGTAAATCAGACTCACCTCCACCGTTCTTGAAGCACAGATAAGGAAACCGCCAAATGTTACCGAGCCCAATGGAAAATCCCATCAGAGCAAGGATGAAGTCGAACTTCGAGCTCCACGTCTCCCGTTCATTGATACCTTCTGTCATTTTGATTTTTGAGAGCAGATTGATTCAGCGAATATATTTCTGCAAGAACCTAAGCATTCACAACACTTATTAAAAGCTATTAAAGCACAATTCTTTTGTTTTTCAAGTTAAGATGTTCGTAGCCTTAATCACGTAGGTTAAGTAGTGCAAAAGTAGCTTGAAGCCGCCTAATATTTCAAAGTCATAACTCACAAATGCTCAAACGAAATAAACTGGTCAGTCACGCAGGCTTGTACATAGTCCTTCTGGCGTAACTGCGCAACTTTAAACATTCCTAACCTTATGACCCCCTAAGAGAGACTAGCATCTAATTTCTCCTTACAATATCACCACTGAATCGAACGTTAAGGCCAGAAAAATAAAGAAATGATCACCAACTAAAGAAGCTCGTGATTGTTGAATAAATTCTCCTTTTCAGCACTTTAAGATAAGTATACAGAAATATATGGCGAATATGCATAATGAAGTTAGGGTCTCAAGTTCAGTATTTGATAGGTCTTCCTTGGAGACATTATCATCTGATATGCTTGTGGAGAGAGTGTATGGGAAATTTCACATTTGACATAATCAGTTAAGAGGTACAGGAAAGCTACTTACTTGAGGTACACCCTTTTTATGCACTTTTTGCTTGTAACAATTGGCTGAATGGAAAAGGTTTGTTTATTTATTCATTTTATTTTAGTTATTTATTTGCGATTTATAGACAGGCTGGCCCAGTTCAGCTTCAGTTTAAAGCTGGTTTAAATGGGGCCTGCATAAACAAAACTAGGCCAGACCACAATACCGGAAACCAAGTTCCCAACTCTTTGCGAGAAGGGCGTTAAGTTCTTTAACGTCCCTTGCTAACCAGTGCAGAGATGATGCAGGAGACGGGGCCTACGGTTTCAGATATTGTCCTTATCGGTGAAGACTAGAATGCTTAACCATTTCGGATGTCATAGCAAAGAAAGAACATTCTCCCCAGTTATTTTAAGGCTCAGGTGTTGGTCCGGTCCAGGGCTTGAGTCCACAACCTTCCGCACGGCAGTCAAGCGCTCTACAACACGACCTTACCACGAAGATCATTGTTGTTGGGTGGATAAATTTGGAAACGTAACTTTAGTTCTTTTTGGTTGGGCCTTGAAGATGCAGAGAACTTCAATTAGTTGCTTAAAAATTAAAATAAAGAAGGCGAAATCGTTGCGATATTTTGAAAGTTGAGTCGTAAGTTTAGGTGTTTATCTGAATTTTCTAAGTTTCTGTTGAGATGATCGAAAATTACCAAATTTTCCGTACTTGTTCCTAGTTTTCAAGTAATTTCTCTCGTTCGTAGTTAGGTTGTCTATTAATCAATCACGAAGAACCGAAAGAGCGAAATTGGTTTCTGTCGTCTGGTCCAATATTTGTTTAAAGCGTTTTTAATTTCCTTTGATTTGACCCTTGAGCTAAGGGAACAGATACACCATTGGCACGCCCCCTTTACGAGACAACATCGATAGCCTTCCCTGAAACAGAGGTGAAGACGTTACCCTTGAAAGGGCAGTAAAGAATATTTCTTTTTCAAAAGGGAAAAACAATTCATTTCTTGCCGTCTGCTTTCAGCTTTGCACCCTGAAGTAATAGGAGTTTGTCGGAGTTGTAAACAAGAGAATTTTCGTCACTATTCCTTTAGTGAAGGTGAATAAAATTAAATCATACGCCTGTACACGTTATTTATGCGAAATTTGTTGATTCGAAGTTTGATGCATTGCAGAGAGGAGCGCTGAGAAAAGGCTACAAAGTCTCAAAAGCACGTGGTCTACTAGTAATTGTTTAATCGTTGCCACGATCTAGTTGCTGTTAGCCTCATGATTTCCATTTAAAGTCACGTGAAGACAAGAAGAAAATGATTCCCCCGAGACCTAGACATTGTTGAGATATCACGGATATAGCAAAACAAAAAGAAATTACATGTTTTAACTTGCAAAGTTATTAGGCCAAAAAACACCGGAAAATTTTCCAATTTAGATGTAATGTTTTCATTTTGCAGAAAATGTCATAGAGAATTTGCTGTGATCCGCTAGACTATCACCTGATTGTGGAGTGGTTACCAGCGCACACTGAAAACGCCGGCCTCTTTACTCGGCAACCTCTCGCACTTGTTATTTGCATCTTTTGACAGTGTCGAAAAAGGTAATATCTAACAGCTCGAATCAACTGCCTCCAAACGCTCATCTTCCAATTCCACTGTTAACACGGCACGGTAATTTAAGTTAGCCGGTCACAACCCACAACAGGAACGCAACGGAACCAAATACAACAGATGCGAGCGTAATATAAGCAAAGGAAAGATGAGTAAGCGCTTGTTTAGGGCCTGTTTACACGTATGCTGAAAACGCCGGCCTCTTTACTCGGCAACCTCTTGCACTTGTTATTTGCATCTTCTGACAGCGTTGCAAAATGTAATATCTAACAGCTCGAATCAACTGCCTCCAAACGCTTACCTTCCAATTCCACTGTTAACACGGCACAGTAATTTAAGTTAGCCGGTCACAACTCACGACGGGAAAGCGACGGAACCAAATACATCAGATACGAGCGTAATATAAGCAAAGGAAAGATGAGTAAGCGCCTATTTGGGGCCTGTTTACATGGAGGTGGGGGTCCCCAGGTAGGTGAGGTAACCCGCCTAGCCGTGGTCGAAAAATAAAAGCGTTTACATGCAATCTTACAACCCCGGGGTGCTGGGGTGAGGTTTCTTGAGGTTGCTGTTGCGCTTGCAATTAGGGAGTTTGAGCAGAGGCTTCCTAAGTTCACATCTCGAAAAAGACGAAAGATTAATTCTCGGACACTTATGTATTTATTCATGAAAGCGTAACGCATTGTGTTACGCGGTGTTTAACTTCGCAAGGAACCGTTGACTTAATACGTTATACGGAATAGTTTGGGAAACCAAATATGGTCGATTTACAACGCTAAATATTCCGAAATGTGAACATTTTACACTCCTTGTGTGTCCGTTGCGGTTTTCTGGTGATTTCTGCCATGAGACGGCTAGGAAGTGTACAAATATTATACATGTTTCGCTTTTGAGCTTTTTGCCATGAATGCGACCCCAGCTAGGCGGGCTACCTCACCTTGACACGTTTACATGGCAAATTGTCACCCCGGCTGACAGGGCTACCCTGTCTGGTAGACCGGGCAACCCACTTAGGCGGGTCACCCCACCTATCATGTAAACGTGATCAAAATAAAATAAGAAATTATAAGGACAGGCGGGTTACCTCATCTTCCTGGGCCCGGTTGTTCAAAACCGCGATTAAACTAATCACCGATTAGGCCTAATCGGCGATTAAATTTCTTAATCGTGGGTTAGTTAATCATTGGTTAAAAAACGGTTGTTCAAAGGGAGATTACTCGGTCGATTTACTAATCCGCGATTAAGCATAAAATGAATTATATTAATTAATTATAATTTATTTTGTGCCAGTTTACGTCAAAAAATTGCCGGAAATTTATTTTTGTCAATATGGCTTCTCCAGCGAAGAAAGTGCGGAAAGCAAACTTTTCACCCGCTGAAATTTCCGTTTTAACGGAAAAATTTGAAGAAAATATGGACATTCTTCAAAGTAAATTTACCAACAGTATAACAAATGCAAAAAAAAATACAAGATTTGGGAAGAAATCTCGGAGGCGGTAAACGCCGTCGGTGTGACAGCAAGATCAACGCAGGAAGTACGAGACAAGTGGAAAAACCTCCAGAGTCACGCAAAAAGAGAATTCAGTTCCTTTAAAAGTGAACAGAAGAAGACAGGTGGTGGCCATGCTCCCCCGAACCCATCAGAAGCCAGTTTAAAAATAATAAACATGTTCAGTGACACACCGTCATTTACTGGGTTACAGGGGTTTGAAACAGGTAAGTTTATAAATGGAAACATTATTGTAATACCTCTCAATGTCCATACCTTGCATAAAATGTATACTTCGCTAACAAACACAAAGCAAAGTGAAAATTAACGGACTTTAGACTTTTGTTTCTTTCTTATTTTCTTTTACATGTACTCCCATGTAAACAAAAAAACAAATGGCGCCGAAAAGTCTGCCTCGGCACACTCTTCTCTTCTCGGCTTCAAATACAATCTTCGGCCAGCGGCCAACTCTAATCAATTAAATATGGCTGCCTTTTAGAAAGGCAGTCAAGTGCAGTTCAAAACACTGCATTTCAACAGATTGTGGTGCTTCGTTATCTAATAAGACTGGCTGGTCCGTAGGTCCAGAAACTCTTGTCCTCGAGGTGGTGTCGAGCGAGACCTCTGCCGATGAGACCCCTAATTCTGTTGCTGAGAAGCCCGACGAGTTAATAAGCAAACACGAAGCCGTGACCAAAGTTGTCGAAGACACCGCTTCCTGTAAAAAAACTATCAAGGAGGTAAGCGAAAAGCCCCCAAAGAGGAAAATAACCCACGACATGGTGCTGGAAGAGCAGTACAAGGCTTTACTATTAAAGCAGAGTAATTTGAAGCTTTATAAGAAGAAACTTGAATTGAGATTGCTCTGTTGGAGCAAAAATGTGCAAATATTAAGGAAACGGAGACCTGTGGTAATTTGATGACCACAATCAATTTAAGCCCTATAGTGGCTGGTCGATCTTTCCTCCCGTAAATTTACATATTTGTCAAGCTGGCTGCAAAAATTTTAAATCATTAAGTACTTGGCTGTTATAAATGCTGACCAACACTTCCTTTTCGGTAAATGGTTTTTTGACAGAAAAAGAAAAAACAATGAAAATAAATAAATAGGCAGAGCTCACCAGTGTTTATCACACTGTGTTACTTACAAGTATATAAGTTACTGAAGGGTGAAAGTATTAATCATATACCTAAGTACAGCAGGCTTAAGTGCCCCACAACCAGGAAGAAATCCTTTCATAGTTTATTTTCCAAGTTCAGTAGGTCATAGCCACTTTGATTTCACTGGCCATCAAACATATGGAATGAGCTGCTTTTATAACTTTTAATCAAGTAAACAGTTCCAAGAAGTGAAGAACTGCAAACATATCGACAATGTCATGCAACCTGTGGTGGACATTCATCATGCTATGTACTTCCATGGCAAAGGAATGTGAACAATTCTTAGCAAGTGCACAAAGAAATTTAAGTTGCAAAATAGAGAAAGTTTTTGACTGCTGAGTATACATTGTTTTTCTAAAAAAACTCAGTGCCTGTGAGCTGTTATAGTATGCTAAAGTTGAATTGGTCCACTACAAATTAAAGCACTATTGGTGTGGCATTTCCAAACAAATATCAAGTGCTCTTAGAGGGTTTACACTTGACTGAATTTTTGAGAGTTCACTCCAGAGTCAGAGCATGAATATTTTCTAAGTGTTGAGACATCAAGTTTTGTAGTAAGCCTAAGCTCAAAAAATTTCCTCAACTACAAAATAATACTTGAAGTCGCTTGAAATTTGTAAACAAAGATCTACCATTGTCAATTAGAAGAAGAATATTATTGAATGAGCTGTTCCATAGAAATTCAGATCTATAATAATTTCAGACTGCCAGGTATCTAGTTTTTTTTGAAATCACTTCCTGGTAGTCAGGTATCAAGACCCAGTGGGTGGGGGAGGTGCAGGTTACTCTCCGATAGGGTCTATTAAGGTATGTATGTGCGCCTAAAGGCGTATGACTTTTCAGCCTCTTTAGCCATAAATAGGGTATCGATTTAAGCCATTTTGATCATTATAGGGTCTGTTTTTTTGCTCTCTAGTCCTGAATTTGGCATGTTTTTCAGAAGAAGCTACTTGTTTATCATTATTGATAAGACTGATCAATGAAAGCCCTTCATGATACCTTTAACATTGAACTGAACAAGGAACTAAGTATAAGGCAAGTTTGAAACAAAGTATTGATTTAGGGTCAGGTCATAAATAGGGTATTGAAAATCACAGATTTTGGTCATAAATAGGGTAAGGGTTTTGCAGAGTGGTCTGCACACCCCACCCAATTGTTCTAGAGTACCCCTGGATCTAGAGACAGTGTATTAAAATAACATACTTAAGATGCTCTTAACAGTCAGTGAATTATTATATAAATAAAACAAGAAAAGAGTGGTTAAGTTATTTGTTAATATTATATATATCTTTATACATACAATAATAAAATGTCAACCTTTTTACAAGCAGCAAAAAAAGTATTTTATTTTTGTATAATAATAACTCTTGCTTTGATTATATAGTAAACAAGAATGATTTATGCACCTAAGTCGTACCACTTGTATTGATTTCATAGTGAAGAATGTTGGAAATGTTGTACTCTGCTGTCACTTTGAAGCTGGAATAACCCCCTGTCCCTTGGTTGTGTTGAACACAAAACATAAATGTAATTTTATTCTTTTTTTGTAAACCATGTAGATTACAACAACAATTGGGCATGACCTTGAAAACTTCATTGAAAAAGTTGAGTCTTGATGCTCAAAATGCCAACTTAGTAATTCTTAGTATGGCGGCGAGTTTATTTTTCAGGTATCTTCACCATAAATAATATTGTTGCAAATTGCAGACAAAATCCCCAGTTTGGATATGAGATATTGCAAATTATATTTTTAGGTAATTTTGATGTGGGAAAAGATGATGGGTAATACATTGAAGTGAAACTGATTTAAGGGAGAAGAACCATTGCAAGCTAAGCCTATTTTAAGAAGGAAAAATATGCAGACTGGAACTGTCAAAAACAATTTCACATCCCAAAAATAAAAACTTGAATGAGCAAGGAAAACTGAAAATTCTCCACCCAATTATTTTTCTTTGGTACATTACTTATGATACATTTGGTCAAAAGGATGGCATCTAGCTGAAATAGGTTTGAGTAATGTGATTTCTGACAGCTTGTCCTTGATTAGGACCACAGTACACATAATCCTCATTTGCTTCCCCACCAACATCTCCATCCTCCATTGGCTCACTGAGGAAAATTGCGATATTGTGCAAAACAGCACATGCACCAATGATGATGCACACTTTTTCTGGAGCCATACGAATTTCAGAATGGAGAACATGAAAGCGACGTTTCCAGCGGCCAAAAGTTTGTTCAATGATTACCCTTGTTTTACAATGAGCATCATTGTAAGCAACTTGAGCTGGGGTGCTTGGGTTGATATACGGGGTCATCATAAATGGGCGCAATGCATACCCACTGTCCCCGAGGAGAATTCCATCATCCAGTGAGTGATGATTTTCCTCTATGTAGCTACATAGATTTGAGGACCTGAACATGAAGCTGTCATGTGTACTTCCTGGCCATCGAGCTACAATGTTAGTAAACAAACCTGAAATAAAGGCAAACAATGATATCATGTAAGGTAATCTGCAAAGGGATTTTACTTCAATGGTGAAACGTTCACTGCAGCCAATCAGTGTGAATGTGACAAAATTTTCAAGTCTACTCAGTGTAGATCACTTAATTGTGTCTATCCCCTGCTGCTATTGAGTAATCTTACTTGAAGGGACAGGTATAGTTGACTGTGTGTTACATGACGGTTAAGACGTTATCTGAAAATGCAACAGTCTACCAAGATGTAAGAAATGATTTTAAAAGCATCGATTACCTTCGTGGTTACATATGCCTTGGACATTGATAGAGTGGAAACCTTTACGGTTCACGTAGCTGTTCTCGTTCTTGTTGGGCGCTTGGATTCGGATATGCGTGCCATCGACGCATCCGATCACGCAGGGAAATCGTCCTCGCTGGTAAAAGGCAGTTTTAAACTGCCCAGCTCTTGCTGTTGTCTTGGCCACTTGACATACTCTTGTTGTCTAGCAACAAGTGCCAGGGATACATTTGCCACCACTCGTGACACTGTCGACTTGTCAACACCAACGGTGTCTCCCACCACTTGAAGGAAGCTGCCACTTGCGTAGAAGCGCAAAGCAATGAGGACTTGTTGGAGAGCGGAGAGGGATGATTGCGGTTGGTTTTACGACGAAGATTATCTGCCAAAAGGTCGGTAATATACTCTATAGACTCCTTTCCAAAGCGATACCTTGCTCTTAATTCTTCGTCTGTATATCCATCTATCGTGAAACCGATGCTCCTAAACTCTCTTTGCTTCCGTTTTCTTCGCCCATCAACACCAACACAACCATACAACAAGTCAGCCATGTTGTGATTTTTATTTTTTAATCTGCCGATTAAGGATTTAATCCACCTAGCGAGCAGGGTTAGATTTAACCCTTGGTTTGATCGAAGGTTAGGAATAATCGGGCTTTGAACAACAGAAACTAATCGGCGACTTAAATTTAATCGGCGATTAGCCTATTTAATCGTGGATTAGCGCTAATCGCAGTTTTGAACAACCGGGCCCTGGGTTCTCCCACCTCCATGTTAGGTGGGGGAACCTCACTCCAGCACCCCGGGGTTGTAAGATTGCATGTAAACGCGTTTTATTTTTCGACCACGGCTAGGCGGGTTACCCCATGCAACTGGGGTCCCCCACCTCCATGTAAACAAGCTCCTACTTACGTGACAAAGCAACTCAATTAAGGAATCGCACACAATGTATTCGAATAACAGTTTTTCGCTCTCAGACACAAGATCGAGGAGGTTTAGTGAAAAGAGATAAACAAATCATGAATAAAAAACAACAACAACAACAAAACAAACAAAAAAAAACAAAAAGAAACAACGGAATAAAAGCAGCGGCATCATCGATCCGCAAAATTTTCGGATGCGTGACATCCATATTCTAGTTTCCGGTTGTAATATTAGAACACATGACTGCCTTCGTTTTATTGTACCTGCTCCGGATGCCAACCACTTGACAAACCGAAATATTACACTAAGCGGGTTATGTAACCCGAATTACGCACTGATATAGATCTCCCAATGACATTAGGCTCATCTTCGCTTTCATCAACTTTTGGAAAAGTCCATGAATCTCGTATCGTGCAGGCAACTCGTTGCGTAACCAAACGATCTGGTGTCCAAATACAGCGAATAATGATCCGTAGAATCGCAAACTAAATACTCGGAGGATAAATTGTGTTCGACACAGTTAAAAGAGACCTTAGTAATTTCACCTTGTATTCGCTAAAGGTATTGCTTTTGACGTCTTTGGTGATGGTTGTAGGTATACCTAAGATCTAATCAACGTTCTTAGCAGACTCTGAAATTTCCGAACCTGTACTGGGCGTTGAAATAAAACTGCGGCATTTTGCTTGCATTGCTTTCCGAATCAGCACGCATCAGCTATATGGATTATATCACTAAATATTGAACTGGTAAGGAAAATTTAAGCCAGCAACTGACTAAGCAACCATCATGGTCAGATGTTGTTTCAACCCAGAAAAATGAAGTCTTCAAAAATGCAGACTTGATAATTTAACTTCAAATAGACAAAAGTCCTAAGTGAATGTATTACTAAATAACCGGAGAAGCAGAACTAGTTTATTGCTTAATTCGTCTGCTGCAGCGTGAAGTTGCTTGTTATCGAAGAATTTAACAACCAATGAACATTAATCGGCAAATTTTCCTAGCCGATAAGATTCACCTACCTACTGTATGCTAATAATCTAACTTACGTGAAGATGTTTTACCGGGTAGATCGCTCAGACTTTATGCGCCGTTTCTCGGATATGCGGGTTCATTTTCTGAACAGGGTTTTATCTTTACTACCATTACTATTAACAATATAATTATCTTTATTAGTAGTAGTAGTATTATTACTATAACAATTATATTTTTACTATTATGATCATGATGATGATGGTTATGATTGTTACTATTATTATTAACTCACACTTAGGCTGAGGTGAACTAAGAACAAAAATAACGTAGATCAATGTTGAATATTCTATTTATTCATAAAATTACTATTCAAAACTTAAATTCATGTGCTTCCACGAGTGTAAAAAGAATGCTAAATAGATACTAATTCAAAAGCTGTCAGGACAAAGGTCATATTTCTAATTACATGATACTACCACGAGAAAGAAACCTAAGCGCTTATTATTTGGAAGAACTGTTTGTCTTGACTGCTACATTTGCTAAATAGGAGTTTCTCGGTAACATCAATCAACATTCAAGTTTTATCAGCTCTTCTGATGAATTCTTCTTAATTAAACATAATAGAAACTAGAGATCGGCCTGGATTGCAACCCCCAACTACTTCCATTTCTCCACGGTAAAATAATTTTCGTTAACTGCAAACGAAGAGCGTGAGAGTTAGACGCGAGCTCCGAAGTAGGGGCAAGAGAAGTTTTCCTTCTGAACCACCCCCCCCCCCCAAAAAAAAAAAAGGATTTTGTTTCCCGCGATCTTTGCAGCGACATCAAGGCAACGAAAAAACCCGCTTGTGAATATCCAACGATTTCAATCCATGCAAGTTAAAAATTATACGTCGCTGAGATATCGCAGTTGTTAAGAACGCTCAAATTTTATTGCGATCTTGCTACGAATTGGAGTAGAAACTGAAACTTCGCTCGATTATTCTTCGGTATTCACGTTAAAGGTGTTTCTTAGCGCATAAAACTATTACCATCAGTGATTGCATTTTACAAAGACCCACAAAAACGATGAATCGGCAAACGCACGAATTTTAGGCGCCGTCCACACGTATCCGGATAAATTTGAAAACGGATAAATATTTATACGGTTACGGGTTCCGTCCACACGTAAACGGCGTTTTCACTCACCGAAAACGGATAAATTTGAAAACGCTCTCCAGAGTGGATAAATTTGAAAACGCTGGCTAAGCGTCTCCGTGTGGACGCCTTATCCGGATCAATTTGAAAACGATTTGAAAACGATGACGTAACAATTCAAACCTAGTCCAACGCGTGCTCTCAGCCGATCCACCATTAATAAAAACATGGCGAATAAACAAGCTCAAGTTTCGGTACTAATGAGTCTCATTTCAAGCATTGTAGCTTATTTTCATATTCTCAGGATACGCCAGACTGCGGGCACATGTTTTGCTCTAAAGAGCATGCTCAGTAGGCGACGTCATCGTTTTCAAATCGTTTTTGCGTTTACGTGTGGACACCGAAAACGATTCACAAAAGGCAACGTGTGGACGCGGATAAATTTGAAAACGGATAAATATTTATCCGTTTTCAAATTTATCCGGATACGTATGGACGGGGCCTTAGTTGCAATGAAATCATCATAAAAATGGAAGCTTCGGTTTCCATGCTCACGATTTTTTCCAAGCACTCACTTCGCATGCAGTTTAGCGTAAAGGAAAAAAACTGCTACGAATAAGTCTGAGGCCTAGTCAACACAATGAGAAACCTTAAAATTTTCCTAAACCTTGACAAATTTGAATTGCGTTGCATAAAATTAATATATTAGCTTAAATCTCAGCGTAGCCATCTTTCTTGAATTTGTTACTCAGAGAGGAACATCCAGTTTTGATCGCACCACCAGTAAACACAATTCCGTCCTGAAAAAAAAAAAAAAAAAAAAAAAAAAAAGTAAAAAAGACATTAAAAAAATATTCACCTTAGCAATTAAAATCCATATATCTATACATCTATATATTCAACAATCACTACCCGCAAAATAGCGAAGCGAATCGAGGCGGGACGGGACTAAACATTAAAATAAATTCTTCAATAACAAGTTTGACTGGACAAAGGAAATAACTGAGAGAGCATGCTTATACTCGAACAATATAAATAATAATAATAATAATAATAATAATAATAATAATAATGATGATGATGATTATAAGAAACAAATAAAAATAAATAATTATAATAATTAAAAAAACACTACGATAAATGATAGACAAGCCAATTAGACATTACACATTACAATTCGAATAAAATTACACGCGAAAAAAGAAACAAAGAAGTGGTGAAAGAAAAGTCAGTGAAACTGAGGTAGCCAAACCATTGTTCCATGCCGTAGGTTCACCCAGTGTTCTAATTTATATTTCTTTACCTTTACAAGGAAAGGAAAGTCGGCCCAGAAAGAGTGGTTTGGTAATAACTCTGGCATGCTCTCTACACCACGGCGATATCGGTTTATCAACACTCCGATGATAATATACATGAGAGCTAATGGAAAAAAGCTGAAAAGAGATAGATCAAGGAACTTTAGGAATTTACATACGAAATTTACAACCGAAAAACAACACACAAACAAACAAACAAACAAAAGAGGTATTGGGAACTTTAGGAATGAAGATAATTCATTACTGCAAAGATCATTCATTATTTATCACTACACGGTTTTACTAAGAACCAACAAAATGACCAGCTCTTAGTTGGCTTGCTAGATGAGCTGGTAAAGAACTGCATCGATGTCGCAAGGGTCATGGGTTGAATTCCCGTACAGGCCTGAATTTTTTTAGGCTTCATATTCATCAAATTAGCTTTTTTATTCACTACTGCTTTAGTCGTGTTCTTTACTGCGAAGATCACTCTCATCTTCATGACTGAGATTCACCTTTTCAGCGCTAGATTATCCAACAAGAGAACTCATTTTACTTTCCATGTGGATACTGCTTCTTTAAAAATAACCTTAAAATGTTTCAATCTTCAGTGGTTTTACCGGTGCAATGAACGATGGGTTTTTGACCAATCAGGGCGCTCGCAGCATCTCAGTTTCTTTTGGAAAAACAAATAAATAAGCCACCTTCCTTAACAAGAGACAACAGTCGTCGATTCTAGTTAGAGCATGTGACTACACTTTCAGCATAATCTTACATAATAAGAAGTATACTGCCAACACTGAGACCTCCTGATGATCCTCCTTCGGCACATGCATACTTTGATTTTAATGTTCCACTCTAGGAAAACAAAAGTAGCAAACGTAAAATTAATTAATTCCTAGATGCACTTTTTCCTCATATTGAGGTGGTTCCGAAATACATGCTTGCAAACCAGTTGCATAATTAGACTTACTTGTTTGCAACCACTTAGCCATTTATAAAACCTTTTCACAAACTTTCATTTATTCTTCTCCCGTGGAATCTATGACGCGCCTTAAAATATATCTACAATGGTTATTCGGCAAAAGATTGAATAGGGGCACTCCGATATCCGCTATTAAACAGTCAGCTTCCTCGTTAGGATCTGACGTTTTAATTTCAGATCGAGATAACCATATTTATTCCAACAAGCACCGCCGCGCTTCTTAACTGTTCGCATCTAAGGCACGGACCGTTTTTCGGAAACAGCCGCCAATAACAGTATCGGCAGCTGCTCCTGAAAAAAGTTCAAATTAAAACCCTTGAAGAACTAAGAATGATGAAAACAACGACACCCTCTTTTTTTCATAAGAATTTTGGAGCGAATGCTTTTTTAACCTTTATTTATACTTCTCAAAAAAAAAAAAGAAAAGGAAAAAGAGCAAAATAAAGACGTTCTTTGGTGACTCTCAGCCTAGGTATGTTCTTAGTATGCTCTTAAAATTTTAGTTAATCTCAGCCTGAACGTTCATCTAAAAGAGAAAGAAAAGAAAGAAAACAGGAAAAAAAGGTGTAGTATTTGTTTCTTCAGTTTTTCATTCATACTACCCGCCATTTCTACAAGTAAAGGAAAAAAAAAAAAACAAACCAAGAGGCAGATAATTACATATGTTGAGGTTCCTGTGCTTGCTCCAGATTCTGTAAATTCTGGTATTTTTCCATTTCCTGGTACACTTCGATCGCACACCAAAGTTATTTTAGACATCCTACAAAGTCACATGTAAAGCAAAACATAAAGACTGGTTATTGTATTTATATCACTACAAACCACAAATGATAACAATCTTTATGCAGATTTGTTAAAATAAGTCGGCAGTTGCAACCGGCGCATTTTACCCTCTACTATGAGAAACACGCAAGCTATTCCGAATAATGCTTGTGGCTCTCAGAACCTTTGCAGGTGGAGGGACCCTCGACCCCCAGCGCCACCAACCTTGCACACAGTCCGGTTACTCAAAATCTTTGTTAACAACCCTGTTTATTTATATATATATATATGCGTGGTTCTGCAAGCAGGAAAGATGATGCAAATTCTCTATTCTGATTGGAGATTAAAGCTAGCAAGAAGGCTTGTAAAATGAAACTTGAGAGAGAAATACCTCAGTCGCCAAAAATCACGGACTACCCCTCTACGCGACCCCACCCATACCTCCCTCGTCTCCATCCTTTGCTCCGCTGCTACTATCGCCGGCGCCTTTTCCCATTTCGCCTCGTCACTGTTTTACAAATGAGACGCCTGGCTCAGGCTACTAGGGACCTTAAGCAGTCAGGACGGCAACGCATAAGAAGACTTCGATTAAAAAATGAATTTCTGTCTTCAATTAAAATTTCAAAAATGACTGCATTTGTTTACCGTCTCCTACGGCGCCATACCTCAACTTCAGCATAACGTATAAAAGAAGCGTTGAGTTTCACATGGAAATTAAAATAATTTGTCGTCGCGGTTTCGGTTCGCAGACGACGCAAATTGTGGCGATATCATGTTGTTGTTTTTCATAGGACGGCTAAGAAATGTACAAAGTTTTAAAACGCACGTGCTGAGCTATTGTTCTGCCAATTAGATCTTTTGTTTTTCCACGTCCTTGTTGCCGTCGCCATCGTGGTTTGTTTAAGGTCCATACTATCTCTCACACAGCCTCGATCCTCTTACTGCCATTCACTAACTGAACTCTCTAAACCCTAACCCTAAGCAATGTTAACCGTAAAAACAATCTACTGCGACAACAGTGGGAAGATATTTAAACCGTTAGCCGTAAATTGGCCAAAATTTTAACCGCTAGCCGTCACATCCATCACCCAGACCCTCCTGGAGAAACTAATGAAGAAGCCTTTTCTGCGATATTTACCTAAGTAAGATTTAGAAATTCGCCTTTCTCAAAAATTATTTTTCGGGATGGTTGAATTACATCAAGGCAGATGTAAATGAGGTAATTCAAAAGACTGAAGAGGCAGGGAAAGATGTCCACATCAAGAACGAAGAAAAATCCGAAATACTAACCTGTCAACTCCCATGAGTGACCAAGATAGAATTTCCCGTTACAATATTAACACAATATCAAGCAGACAAGGAATGAAAAGAAAGACAAATATTAATTAGGGAGATATTAGTTGATCCGATACCATATTCACCGAATTGGCTTTCTAAGAATTGATATGACAGACAATGAGGAGAATTAGTAATACGATCTTGGGAATGGAAGAGTTGAGGAAGATGTTTACAAGGGTCATTTTGACTCCTAAACCCGTTGAGGAAATGGATGCACAGTCTTGTAACGCAAGCCTCCATTTAAACGTCACAATGCCAATGAGTCGAGCTGAAGTGTACCCCGCTGAGTTGCGTGTTTGTCGTCGCTTATGGAAAATATCTCCTGAAAGCTGCTCAACAGGTATATAGTACAACTCAGAGAGAACGAGATATAAAGTTTATCATATTCAAAAAAACGTATTTCGTGGAGTCGTTTCAGAGGGAACCGAATTCGTTATGGTCCACGTTCGATCACCAACTTCACAACTTTGTTACAAACGGGATTTCAACTGATGAACATACGTTTCCCAAGAAATAAGCAAGACAGAGATGAACAAAGGTATGACATTTTTATACTCAGGGAATGCTCATATAACGAACTTAAGTTATTTTAGTTAAAGAGGACAGGTATGCTGATTTGCGTTCAATCGCGCACATGGCGTGACTTGACTAATTTCGTGTCTATTACGGTATTTGAAAATCATTCCTTCCATGGTGAAAAAAATTTATATTCATAAATTTAGAGAGTACTCTGCTTTTGCGAGTGGTTCCAAAATACTGATCAAACCAATTCTTACAAAATTACGTTTTCCACACATGAAAGAGTTCATTTAAGAATATCCTGTGTAAAACTTCCTTGACTCAATATCTTTGAAACGCCAATCGGGGAGGAGTGGTCTATTTTCGGCCTTGCCTAATGTCGTGATCCCATTCAGGTGAATGCGAATTTCGTTTTTCTCGATAGTCTGAACATGTCTCAGGAAAAAAAAAAAACTACAAAGCATTTCAAATCTTACCCGAGGCTACCTGTATGCATAAAATGAGAGAATTTAGAGTATCAGCGCTGTAGAAATTTGTTTATCTTCATTTGATTTTTGCACCGAGGTTCTCTTAACCCTTTAACTGCCATGGGTGACCAACACAGAATTTCTCCTTACAATATCAATACAATATCAAGCAGACAAGTGAGGAGAATAAAGAGAAATATCAACAAGGTGATTATTTATTGATCCAATAATAAATTTTCTGAACTAGTATCTAAGAAATGGATGGCAGATAATAAAGAGAATCACTAATGAGATCTTGGGAGATAAAGGGTTAACTTCATCTGATAAAATCAGATCAGAACAAAAAATAAAAAAAATGGAAAAAAAAGGCTCCAATTTTCCATTATTCATGACAAACTTCACTGGCTTACATCAATAACGCTTGTTGCATGTTACACCTGATTATTTTTTTTTCCGTCATCTTTCATTAACCCTTTAACTTCCAATATCTCTTAAATACTCCTTCTTACTGTCTTTCATACAATTATAATGATGGCAATTTGGAGAATTTGGTATCAGATCAATTAGTAATCCCATAATTGATATTTTACTTTATTCTCATCACTTGTCTGCATAACACTGTCTAGAAATTGTAAGGAGAAATTCTGTCTCAGTCACTCACAGGAATTAAAGGGTTTTTAACAACAGTAAAAAACAGTAAATGCAAGCTGTTTACTAACATTTTTTCCCATGTGTTACAAAAAATGTCTGAAGGATAAAAAACACAATTATAGTCTCCAATTGACATGAAAAAATGCTTGTATTTTTGTCTTTGAATATTGTGAATTCCTTAAAGCTCACAGTTTTCCTCAAACTTCCTTCTCCTAAAACTGTTCACAATTCAGAACAAATACTGTCTGATCAAATATCCATGCCTATTGAAGCCAAAATGAAGGATGTTGTCTGTACATGACATATCAGGGTATCTACATTTGTTGTGTTATGAGTAATTGTTGTTGTAATTAAAAGCTTCTGGAAATCTCCAGACTTCTTGGTCATGCTGACATGCATACCATAGAACTTTCTAGAACTTTTCATCAAGTCATGGTTATAATGTAATACTACTTATTAAAAAATAAATAGTTCTTTTGTAAAGCTTCTGGAATGTTCCAGAACACTTTGTGAATGTATATAAAGACTCAATTATGTAATGGTAGTTGTTGTTGTTGTTGGGAGTTACTGACTGTTTAGAAAGCTAAACTGTGAGAGAGAGCTACAGTGGAAGATTGCTAGTTTGAAGAAATGATGGGGAGAAAATTGTGAGTTCACCTCAGTGGTGAGCTAAGACATAGACTGTGGTGGGCTTAGGTGAGTTTATCGAGGATAAGTACTGTGCTGCCTTTAGGAGTAGTTCCTTATTAAGAATACTACTCATTGTTTAATGAAGTAGATAACTTTGTAGGATTGTAGTTTTTTTCTGTCAGTTAGATTATACTGTAACAGTAGTCCTTCAAAAATCAATTACATTGATACAGCACAACATTAAAGTTGTTTACTTGCCTTCCATGGGTAGGCTGCCCACTTTTTATGACTCCATAGGAAATAACAACATTGCCAGAAGTATCCACACTAAAACTGGTATCTTTGCTTCCAGCAGGGATCCCAGTGGAAGTGGCTATTTGACAAACCTAGGTATATATTGTAAGAATAAATACGAGTTTAAGTATAGCTAACAAGTGCAACATCCAAATTAAGGCCAAGGAATACTTCAGGAGAAAAATCTAGGCACCTTGTTGTGCCACTAGCCACTAGTTGCATACTGCTTCCAAGAAAAGTCGCCACTGATATACTGCTGTCAGTCACAAAAATTAAAACTGGTTTGAATTTGTCCAACAATTGTAGCACCAGGAAAATTTTTCATGGAGTATATGCAATGCTAGATCAACTTGTTCAAGCACTACACAGAATATGCAGATCAAGGTCTGAAACTGGGACTAGCTGATTTTCCATGAGTCTCCTTTGAAGCCATTGTTTGGTCTCATCATGCAACCTTGTTACATGACAAGATAAATAATGGCTGCAAAGGATATTAGTCTCCTATGGCACTAAAAATTGACCTTTGGCAACCAGACTTATATTTGGTCTTGAGAATGTTCTTCATGTTAATCAGTGCTCAAATATTTTATTCTAAAGCTCTCAAACATCATACACAACTGATGATTGTTCATGGGTGAGAATATGCTTTCAGCAGAAAAAAAAAATCACATTCAACACTCTGCCTCTTTGCAATTTTCTGAGGCAAACATTTTACACATTTAACTTTCTTACCAAGCCTCTAGTCTTATAAGCACTATGGAATTTACACAAAATGAGGATCTCCTAGTAAAGCAGGCTAACAATAAAAATCATGTACAAAGGAGATAGGTTCCAAAGAAACTATGTTGATGCATCCATGGGGACTATTACAGGTTAATGTGGTTTATAATATTAATTGGCACTCAGGGAGGTTCTAGAGCTGAAGTTTCAAGCTTTAGCCTTTCATCAGAGAAAAATTGGTTCTGATGCAGGGCTTACGCTTGAAATGTTAGCTTTTGAATTTCTCTATAGTAGCCAATTCACCTTACAAAACTGTTCCTTGACAAAATTTTAATGAGTACATTGACAATTTCAGGGTTTTTAATTTTAAGCATTATACCCAAATTCACTCACCATGACTTGTTCACAGCCTTGAGGATCAACTGGGTCACTGAATGGTGTGCATGGATTCCAGTCAAAAAAGCGGCCAGAGCTGCCACCTATGTTTGTGAAGCTATTTCAAATTTGAACAAAAAAGGGTAAATTCAACTGTAGCATTCTAAGCTTATAATCTTGGTTAAAACGGACAAATTAAACCAAATACTATAAATTATATACAGATTTCTTCCCCTAACTCCTTTAACTCCCAGGGGTGATTAACATGTATCTTCTCCCTATCATACCCATGCATTATCCAGCTGACAGGTAATGAGAATATTCAAACTTATCTGGTAGACATTATAATCTTGATCTAACACCAAATTCTTGTAACTCATTTACAAAGAAACTGTAGCAGCTAAAAGGGAGAATCATAAATCAGATCTAGGAGGTTAAAAGGTCAAAGGATGTTTTAATATTTCCTTGTCATCTAAACTTTTCGCCGAGAACAGATTCTAAAAACATATCGAGTAACATGTATAGTAGGTACGTGCATATTCCACTTGAAGTTTCACAAAATAAAACCAACACTAAATGACTGTGAATAAATAAAATTCATGTATGGGAACTACAAATAAAGACGTGCATATTAAAGCGATCTTCGCAGTAATGAACTTGAGCAGTACTGAAAGTGAGGCCTGAAAAAAAATTCAGGTTTGTACGGGATTTGAACCCGTAACCACCTCTGCGATACCGGTGCAAAGCTCCACAAACTGAGCTAACTTAAGCCAACTGTGAGCTGGTTATTATGTCGGTTCCAAATAAACTCGTAAAGTGATGAATAACTGACTGTGAATAAATGAAAATTAATCAGTGAACTGCGGATAAAGATGTGAATATGAAAGGGTTCTTCACAGTAATGAACACTAGGATCAAGAGCAGTGGAGTTGTGTTCTGTCCAGCACCAGCAGTACCACTTAAGATTTTGAAACTTAACACCGTCCTACCTCGGTTTTGAACCACCGTCCGCATCTTTCAAACTGACTCTCGAACCATTCTTGAACTTACATGTACATACATCAACCTTCTCGCAGGACTCTTCCGATGAAGAAATTGCGACCCTTAGTATGATGAATAGTAGTAGAAGGCCTTTACTTCCTAATTGCGCCATTTTGGACATAATATTATTATGTAGATGTCTGTTCAGATCATGTACATGATCCAGCCAATCAGGTACTGCGATCTATTTTGCAACAGCGGCGTGCAGAGGTTGTTCCAAATTTACCTTTACCGGGAGGTGGGAGGGGGAACGGGCGAGGTTCGTTAACCGGTAAATGACCTTGCAATTCCCTACCCATTTCAAAATGAAAAAAGAGAGATTATTTAGAGTTCTGCTTGTGAGCGTTTTTTTCTTTTGCTAGCATTGGCGGAGCAAATTTAAAACGGACAGTTCAAATTAAACCACCGGTGGCTCAAGCTTGCAAAATGAGCAAATGTGTCTTCGTTGCGCAATGCATGGGCGACATTTAGGGTCACGATATGCGACTAAACTGTCGCACTCTCAACCCTAGGATTCTATAAAGGGCAAAGCAGATGGCCTCAAACCAAATCAGCTCAGAAAACCCACACTATACAAAGGAACAATCTCCTGCGCGAGGTAATTTTGTTTAGTTTTTTTTCAAAACTAGTTCAGATTTTTTAGGTTGAAGGTGTAACCGTTTATTTTTTTAAAGCTCCTTATATTTCGCCCATTGCGTAACGTAAGATTTTTATCTTATTTACGGAGGCTCATTTGCGAGCTTGGGCTATCTGTGTTAAAACTAGGAAAAAGGTGCCGTTTTTAGATCCTTGAAGCTTCCCTTGCACAAGCACTGTATTTCCTCGAATAAGCACCCATGCTATAATCAGCGCTATCCCCTGAATTAATTAGCACCAACCCAAGGCCGTAATGTTAAATAAGCACCCCTCTTGAATTAGCACCCCTCCTTCCTCGATTTCTAAAATAGAAGAGTTACAAGAAAAACCTTTTTCTATTGCCATTTTATTCATAACTTTTTAAAGCGTCAACTACGGCGGAATCGTCACAGGAGAATAGACAGCGAATCAAGGTTGGTTCCCTTTCTTAATCGTACAGCTGTAATTTAAGAACCAGTTAGTATTCGTCTCTTGGCTGGCTATTTTGAATACATATTTTTAGAATCGTAACGTAACACTGAATATGTACATGCAACTTTATCTTATGACAAATAAAAAGTTATTGTTACTTATCAGACTTATCTGTTATGGCCGGGGAGGGGGCCTGGGGAGGGGAGTTGGAGGTTTTCTAGGGATCACTTGGTTTTCAGGGGTAACAGTCGTCTCAGTCGTCTCAGTCGTCTCAAATAGAGTTTAAAAGAAGGACTATACAACATTGATTGCCAATTACCTTGCAATGGGGGGTTGGGGGAGCATAAGAATTAATAATAATTCATAGTCTTATGGGTGGTCACGTAAACTTAATCGTGACACAACCAATATCCTGTGACACCCCAGGCGACAAATAATTAATGACTGCTCCATTACACAGTTAGGTGAACCTGCTAAAATGTTTCCTCTCAATCAATACTTGTGCTTATACTCAGAATCCACAGCCGTTCACGCTGAGGGGATGTGCTGCTCGATGTGCTTTCAACGAAATAAAAGTGTGACATTTTGTTTTAGAGTAGAAACTTGCATGCTATAAATGCGTCGTCAACCCCGTTTTATCATGCAATTTCCCAGGCCCCAAAGAGAGTCACAGTATAAAAAGGAGACTTTATAAATAACCAACCTATACCAAGTCTGAATAGATAGCTTATAACAAACTAACTAATTCGTAGCTCGATATCATTGAAGTCGATTTTCTTCTTATTGACTAATGGGGATGTTCCATGGCGCACTTTTGGGATTTTGAGGGCAAGAAAATTTTGGTAGGTAGGAATTTAAAAATGGTAAGATTAAAAAGCTAAAAAAGTTGTTATCGTATTACCAATCTAAGTAATTAAGATTAGGTCTGTAATTGGCCACAGAGTCTACTATACTGGGGAAGGGGTTCTGAAAGGCCAGCGGCGCATACAAGTACTCCCTTCTATTCTATTGTCATGTAGGTTGCTGTGTTTTCTTGGAATAAACTTTAGATACACGGGAAATTTAGACGACTTTTTCCTGTTGAAATTGAACAAAATTAAAATCTTGTCACTAAATGTAGTTTTCACCTTTTTTGAGATTAAAGCGGAGCGCGAGTCACTCGCTCTAACCGGCTGCGATCTTGCCTGGTCGACGCGTGCTCTGCGCTAACCTAATTTTCAAACGCATATAGCAAGAAAGAATCATTTATAACCACTGCTCGACAGACTACAGTTTTTTTAACTTATAAATCAGACCAAATGTTTCATCCTAGTAAGTTCTTTTGAGAAGAAATGACGCGTTGTTGTGACCGTGTGGGTTACTTCTCTTCCCGGCCTCAATTTTAGCTTAGCTTGGTAACTTTTCTTTTGCACTTAAGGCACGTTTCATTTCATTTTAATATCAAATTTGAGACGAATCATCTAAAATTCAAATTATACTTTTGTTTCAGGTGTTAAATTATGATCACTTTCCGTAACCAGGAGGTCTTAGGATTCGAGATGCATTCCTAAGAGTGCTGAAAATCACTTTGACAATTGCAAGGACAAAAAGTTGCTTTCCTTTTTTTTTTTAATTTTCTTTTTTCTTTTGAAGCTGGGAAGAAACATACAAAGGGATCTGAAAAAGCCTGTCTGTTCATTTCCTTTGATTGCGTTCACTCTTTGAATTTTAATAGACCGAAAGTAGTTTCATTAATTTCTTGCCATTATTGAGTGTATTACCGCATTACGTATTTTTGATTGCAACTGGGAGTAGAGAATGGTATAAAAAGTAAATTCCCTTTGAGTTTACTCTGTTACATAAATCAGTCAGACAGAAAAAGAGAACAAAAAAATTAACCCTTTACGGCAAATTCAAATACTTTCACTCTAGCAATCACACTGCTTACTAGCTTAGTTTTCTAAAGAGTAATTTTTAACCCACTCATGTCTTCAAACAAACTAAATATTCAAGACTTACCCGAGAAACACATAGTCCAGTACTTGAAAGAGGAACATTCCGTCCTGTAAGTCCCTGAAGTGGGCTAACGTTCCGTTATCGTTGCTCTTCAACTGAACAAATGTCTCGTTTATGACGAAACACAAAGCAAGGTCTTTCCTTTGACCATAGCAACCTTCAATGTTCTCTGCTGAATTCTCTTTCAAGGTCAAAACGGCGCTCTTATCCGCCGCTGTGCCCATCATTGTAAGAACTAAGAAAGCGAACACGGGAAGTGAAGGAATAGAGCAAGACAACCACATAATGGATATGAAAGTCGTTCGTCGCTCAACGCAGACGTGAGGGAATGCTATTGTATGTAAGTGTTGAAGTCTATTTCAAAGACTTCCCTTTAGTAAACTGATAGAAAGTGAAAACTTTGTTCATGCTTTGTCAGCTAAGAAAGGGGAGTTCCCCCTGATACTAAATCGATCTTGCGTTGCGTCATCCTATAAGGAACCATGACGTATTAATATTTTTCTGCCATGATCATGGTGGATCCATTAATCAGACCGTTGCAAGCTTCAACACCGACCATATTCATGATGATGGCTGTCCATGTAGCTCCACAGGCCATTTTAAAATTTACATAATTATACAAATTCTAATTCAGACACGCGTCACGGATGCTGGTCACGCAGACTGGTTCGCATTTGAATAAAACCCTCGCACTTTCTATTTTCATAATTTATTCTTTTAAGCAACATTTGTGTTTGTGAAATCCATTCAAAGGTGTTCATCAATTTTAGGTTTTGGGAGTTAAGCTAACAATGATATTATTTCGCGCACTTATCTCGATAAAAATCCTACTTCACCCACCATTTTCATTGAAGTCTTAATTACTTTTTTCGCATACTGCGAGAACCAGTTAAGATTCGTCTCTTGGCTGGCTATTTTGAGTACATATTTTTAGAATCGTAACGTAACACTTACTATGTACATGTAATTTTATCTTATGACAAATAATGAGTTATTGTTACTTATCAGACTTATCTGTTATGGCCGGGGGGGGGGCCGGGGGAGGGGAGTGGGAGGCTTTCTGGGAATCACATGGTTTTCAGGGGTAACAGTTGTCTCAAACAGATTTTAAAAGAAGGACTATAGAATATTGATTGCCAATTACCTAGCAATGTAGAGGGGAAGGGGGGGGGGAGCATCAGAAAAATTCATAGCCTTATGGCTGGTCACGTAAACTTAATCGTGACACGACCAAAATCCTGTGACACCCCAGGCGACAAATAATTAATGACGGGGGGATGGGGGAGCATAAGGGGAGCATAAGAATAATTCATAGCCTTATGGGTGGTCACGTGGTAAATAGTGACTGTTCCAGATTGGTCCCTATATGAGCTTCACGTGGGGAAAAGCTCCTAATTTGACAAGTAAGATCTGGTTTTTAGTTGAACAGTATATATTCAGCCGACCTCCCTTAAATGTTTAGGTTAACAAGTTGTGTTCGTGCTTATGCAATGCAAAACACTCTCCACTCTACAAAACTAGTTTGAGCACGCGCTCAGCAGTTACACAGTTAAAAGGTAATCGGGACGCGGTACTTTCTAGAAAGAGGCTAATGGAGACGTGCCGTTGGACTAAGTCGCATTTTCACCACTAGTTGGGACCGCGCATTTTCGGTATTTTGGGTGTAAGAAAATTTTGGTAAATAGGGATTTAAAAATGTGCAGATTGTTGTGACCGTATTACTAAAGGTAGCTAAGATAAGGTCTATAATTGGCAACAGAATATACTATAATGGGGTAGAGGTTCTAAAAGGCCAGAGGCACATACTCAGCAAAGGTTGACACTACCTCCTTCCCCCTTCCCTCCCTCCTTCGGGAATCTGTCTGCGCGGAGTGTGAAGTGTACTCATTGTAAGCAGCTGGGGTAGCCACCATACCCGTCTTCACAGCTCAATGAGTGAACAATCGGAATGAGGCAGTTTATGGTGTACATGTCATGTCGACAACATTTGTCATGTTCAAAGCAAAGCCGATTTTGGCAACAATTGCCACAAATAAAATACCAACATGAACATCCGTAGCCGCACATTCCTAGACAATCGTTGTTATTGGGATCAGACCTCAAATCTTGACAAGAATTCTCTTCTTGAAAAAGTGTTCTTTTCTTTCGAACGTGTCCAAACTTGGTCTTCCTTTCTTTGTATCGTCCATCTTCATTGCTCCATCGTCTTTCAGGGACAACGCTGTCATTAGAGCCGTATTTTGCTTCTAAAGTCATGGCAAGCATGTGGAACCGCATCAAGAGTGGGTGGTTACCTACGTTCTTTTTCAATTGAGTCGACAGGTGGTGCAATAACACAAGCTTCGTTGTGTTCTTCAGCCGGTCCAATGCCGAATGGAATTTGTCAGCAAATGAATCTCGGTTTGTCATGAGATGTTTGTGTTCCAAGTAGAAGATATCCTTCCAGGTATTGTCATGTAGGTTGCTTTGGCTTGCATTGAGATGCACAGGAAATTTAGACGACTTTTCCCTGTTGAAAGGGTACAAAATTAAAATCAGTCACTTGAGGTATTTTCCGACATGCAAAATTAAATGCAGCCACGTCACCAAATGTAGCTTTCACCTTTTTTTCAGATAAACACGGAATGCAAGTAACTCGCACTTACCGGCTGCGTAAAGTGGCTGGTCGACGCGCGCTTTGCGCTAACCTGATTTTTAAACATACAGCAAGAATCATTGCTCGACAGACTACAGTTTTTGGACTTCTAAATTAGACCAAAAGTTTCCTCCTGGTAAGTCCTTGTTGAGAAGAAATGAGGCGTTTTTGTGACGTGTGGGTTACGTCTATTCGTGGCCTCAATTTTAGCTTAGCACTTAAGACACGTTTCGTTTCATTTTAATATCAAACTTGAATTTGAGACGAATCATCTAAAGATCAACTATATTTTTGTTTCAGGCGTTCGAGATGCTTAAAATTACTTCGACAATTGCAAGGACAAAAAGTTTCTTTCCACTTATTTAATTTTTTTCTTTTTGCTTTGAAGCTCGGAAGAAACGCACAAAGGGATCTGAAAAAGTCTGTCTGTTCATTTCCTTTGTTTGCGTTCACTGAGCCAGACCGAAAGTAGTTTAATGAATCCCTTGCCATTATTGCGTGGATTTTAGCACTACGTATTTTTGACTGCAACTACAAGTAGAGAATGGTCAAAATAAAATCCCCTTTGAGTTTACTCTGTTACCCAAATCAGCCAGACAGAAAAAGAGAACAAAAAAACTAACCCGTCAGTTACGGCAAATTCAAATACTTTCATTTCAGCAACTACACCGCTTACTAGCTTAGTTATCGCGTTTGACGCAAACTTGATTCCTAAAGAGTAAATTTTAACCCACTTATAATTATGTCTTCAAACGCATTTACGTATTCAAGACTTACCCGAGAAACACATCGTCCAGTACTTGAAAGAGAAACATTTCATCCTGTAGGTCCCTGAAGTGAGCTAACGTTCTGTTATCGTTGCTCTTCAACTGAACAAATGTCTCGTTTATGACGAAACACAAAGCGAGGCCATAGCAACCTTCAATGTTCTCTGCTGAATTCTCTTTCAAGGTCAAAACGGCGCTCTTATCCGCCGCTGTGCCCATCATTATAAGAACTAAGAAGGCGAACACGAGAAGTGAATGAATGGAGCAAGACAACCACATAATGAAAGTCGTTCGTCGTTCGTCGTTCAATGCACACGCACGGGAATACTATCGTAAGTAACTGTTGACGTCTACTTTAAAGACTCCCTTTAGTAAATTGATCGAAAGTGAAAACTTTGTTAATGCCTTGTCAGCTAAAAAAAAGGGGAGTCCCCCCGAATACGAAATCGATCTTGCGTTGCATCATCCTGTAAGGAGCCATGACATATATATTTTTTTTCTTCCATGATCATGGTTGATCCATGATTAGACCGTTGCAAGCTTCAACACCGACCACATTCATGATGGTGGCTGTTCTATGGACGGCCGCTCATACTGTTCATGTAGCTCCACAAGCCACCGTTTATAATTTATACGTGCAAATTCTAATTCAGACACGTACACACGTCACGGATGCTGGCCACAAAGACTTGTTCACATTTGAATAAATTTCACGCAACTTCTGTTTTTATAATTTATTCTTTTAAGTAACATTTGTGTTTGTGGATTCCATAAAAAGGTATTCATCAATTTTAAGTTTTTGAAATTCAACTAAATAAGAATTAGAACTAAAAACAGACTCAGTTCTTCGATCTCACCGTCTGAGTTCTAACATTTCCTAGCTCCCTTTTCTTTTCCGAGTACATTCAAAACAAAACATTTCAGGTACTACTCGTCTTTGTTTCGTGTTGTTACTCAAGAAATGTAATTGACTGATTTCTTTTACTTCAGTTTCAATAGTATTTCGCGCTCTGATCTCCATAGAGGTCCTATTTTACACGATTTCCATCCAAGTCTTGATTCCTTATTCTGCTTACTGCGACCATGACTGTAACAGCACAGGCCATGTAAAGTAGATGAGGGTGGTGGGGGTGGGGGCGGGGATGATCTCCCCATAAGGCTAGAGCTGTAACATTCTTATAGTCACTTTTCACTTCCAGTTAATTGGCATTCAATACTATGCTGGCGATGAATGGTCCGCCGCCACCGTTCCCCCCGAGAACCACGTGATCCCTTGAAAGTCTTCCGACCCTCCCCTCCCCCACCTTCCAGGCGATAAATTATGACTAGTCTCTTCGCTCGGAAACCGGTAATTC